CTCACATTAACTTTTTAAATTGCCCCCCAGCCTCCTTACCTTTGGGAGTGCTGGGGAGGGGGGTCTCTCTCTCCCTGGTGGTCCAGTGGCTGCTGGGCGGCGCTGGCTGCTGTGCGGGCGGCTAGCGAGGGAGCACTTCCTCTGAGCTGACTGCTCAGCTCCCTCGCGTGCCGCAGAGTGAGGCTGGGAGCCGGAATATGACGTCATCTTCTGGCTCCCAGCCTCACTCTGCGGCGCGCGAGGGAGCTGAGCAGACAGCTCAGAGGAAGTGCTCCCTCGCCAGCCGCCCGCCCGCCCAGCAGCCAGCGCCGCCCGCCTGCTCGGGATGTCTGTTAGCCGCGAGGCTAACAAGGCATTTGCCCTGGGCATTTGGGGGCGGCGTTTTTTGCCACCCCCTGGAAAATGCCGCCCAAGGCAAATGCCTTGTTTGCCTCGCGGCTAATACGCCCCTGAATATACCCAAATAGTGCTTTTAAAGGGCAATACATCCCAGGGGCCATAGTCACAGGGCAAGAGGCTGGAAGCAGGCCTCTCCAAAACACAGTTGCGAGGTTACTTTTGCCACTGTGTTCTTTTAAGTCTACAGTGTCAATGGAGTCAGTCATGATCCTATTCAAATAATATGTATGTTAGGGGAAAACAATCTATGCTCAGGTCCCACTAAACAACATCTGCTTGCCTGGTAATACAATTAAAAGTTTATTTTCTCAGGCGATGTAGATTAATTTATATGTTACAGTAAATCCTATATTTTACATAAAGTCTGGTAATTACCAAATGTGCCCTAAAACCTGCTCTAGGCTCTCAGAAGATGCTGCCTCACATCAGACTGCACCTCTGGTCGCTACTTGATGAAACTTTGCGTCCTCCACCTCTCCCAATTAGTCATGTTTAATCCCAAATGCAGATACATTATCACATGTACACACAAACAGGTGCATTCCAGTTCACGCTAACACACATGCAAACAACTTATCTCACTAATAACCCAGTGCCATTGTGTCATCTATCAGCACTAATTAACCAAACTGCATACATTTACCCTGCATGGGGAACCTTTCAACCACTGATCACCCATATAGCACTGAGCACTTCCATGGCTTCCACATATCATCCTTATAACACCGACCAGCCAGTGCCACACATCACCCAGTTCTTACCCAGAGAAGAATTAAGATCCAACAGATCCCTAGGTAAGTTACCAGTTTGGGCCCCCCTTTTATTGTTCACATTGGGATGGTTAACAGGAGCAAGCAGGACTTCTGTCTAACTCCTGGCCCAAAGCAACTGCCCAGGATCACCTTATGGTTAATCCTGCTCTGCTCTTACCCACCTATCCAGCCACGCCATGTCAAATGAAGAACCCGGAACCCCTAAAGTAACACTATATAACACACAGTTCAGCAAACTACCCCTCAAACTATAACCCTCAATTCATACACTGCAACATTGAAGAGTCTGATCTCACCTCTCTCTCTTGCTCTCTCTCTCTCTCACTATATATATACACATCCAATAGAATGACAGTATAATTCCTGCCATACTATTCCACAAATTAAATTACAGGGGATCGTATGTATATATATATATGTATATATATATATATATATATATTATTTTTATTTTTTTTAAATGTATGCATACTAAAATGAAACATACATTTAAACATTACTTCCCAGGACTCCCAAATTACTTGGATTCTATAGATTTGTTTTTGCAAACCGATTGGTAGTGAAAGGGCTAAGCTTGTTTGAGCAGGCCCCTCTTCACCTCTTGTATCTGTCATTGCTATTTTGTCTGTTATTTGCTGTTCTATATCCACACTTATATTTGTACATTACTACTACTACTTCTAATAATAATAATAGTAATTTACTTTTCATTTTCTCTTTAGAATGTGAGAACAGATATTGTTCTAGACGTGGGTTCTAATATCAGTCAGACTGTGAACACTGAACAGGTTGGTAAAGATTTTTGGAGAACCTTCTGGGCCTATTGCAGGGAAACCCTGTATCCATCATCAGATGGGGAAAAAAAACAATCTAAAGCAGTGTCATAAGTTTTATCAGTAAGAACTGCACTCACTATATAGTATGATAACAAATAGCTCTTGGTGCTTCAATGACCCAAAGATGGCCAGCTTTTCAGAAAACCAGACAGTAGATAGAAGTAGATCCCAGATAGATTTCTTTCTAATATCTGAAAAACTTTTATCAGCGACCCAATTATGGGAACTATTGTTTGCTATTTGCGAGTTACCCTATAGTTACTCATTATAGGAACACTCCAGGCACCATAACCACTACAACACACTACTGCTACCAAGTCTTGCTACAGGTCTTTTGCAGTCACTCAAGGGTTTTTCATAACATGCCTTCTCAGAAATCTAGTTGTAGCCATTGATAGCTTCCTTTTTCTGCCACTGTTTCTTCAACTTTGACCATGTGAACTATGCTTACAACAGTGTCTCTAGGAGCATTGAGTGCCTTCACTATCTATTTGTATCCTGTTCCTTTTTTTTTTGAAGAGCGTTGATCTCTTCTCTTAACTTTGTGGACCATTCTTTTGACATAGCCATATTTCTAACATGCAGTCAAAGGTGACACTCAATAAACCCCTAGCCAGCTCAGGTATTTGAAGTGTTCCAGCTCAAGCACACCTACTGCAACAAAAGAAGCCCTTGATTAGTTGCATCAGGTGTGCTTGAGACAACACCTGATCAGTTTTGCATATTTGTGCTGTTGTGAGGGATTCTATTCAGGTGGTTGAATAACTTTGAGACTAGAGAAGTCATTAGAAGTTGCATTTTTAGTTGTACTTATATACATTATTTAAAATTGTCCTTCTAAATGTTTCTCGGTAGTCCCTATCTATTTACACTCTAAATGCTGTGTTCTTTCCAGATTAAGGAAGCCTTCCGTGAAGGGCTAGAACTTTTTACAAGAGAAGATTTTAAATACTTTTTTCAAGAATCACATAATGGTATACAGTCAAGCCAAACAGAGAGCGAAAAGTCTGATAATACACCGGAGATATTCAATGTAACTTTGCTACCTTCCAGCCCAAATCCTTACATGATCTGCTCACCCAAAGTAAGTTTCAACAAATGTAAATTGATAAATAAACCTTGTAACCATTGTAAAGTCCAAAAAAAGGCAAGTTTTTTGGCAACCCACCAGCCATCTTTAAATAAATTAGTCTATATGCTCTGAAATTTAAAATGATGATTAAATGAACACTCCAGGCACCATAACCACTACAGCTTGCAGGAGCCAGGTAAATTGATCAACTATTCTTAATGGCTGTAGTGGTTATGGTTCTGGAAGTATTTGTTTAGTAAAATTATGCACATCTGTGGTTGCACTGTATTAGGGTGGAATCAAACCCATACATATATTCTAAAAAAAAAATTGCATTAATGTATTATTTATTTTTTCCAGGCTGTTCAAGAAGTATCCATGTTCCTTGCTTCTTCTGTGTTTTTTGCTATTAAAGATGCCATTCTTGCAGCTCGACATCACACCGGTCTACCTGGTAGCATATTGCTGCCGGTTCCAGTCCGGCCTCAGCATGTACTGATAGCTTGTGGCAGTTACATGACAGACACTGCACGATCCGCAACTCCAAAGGAGGACTCTGTGGACAATCATATTTCAGAAACTTGATACTCCAGTGGGATGTTCATTGTACACGGACCATAACTGCTGCCTGTTGCCATTGATAATCACAGAAAGGGGACTTTTGTAAGAAATTACAGGGTGGCAGACCCACGAGTGAAAATTCTACTTCATAGAAAGGTGATGGATTTATGGAATGACCTACCCTGCTAAGATGCTGAAAACCAATAAAGTAAATAAATTATTGTCGAACTTGATATATGAGTGCTTATTATATTAAACGGTAACCAGCGAGGGCTTAAAAAGAACATTCCGATATGAGTAATGTTTAAATATTGCATATTGTAGTTGACTTCTACCGCTATCATTGTTTTACCCTGTGTTGTATTATTGCATCTGGGCGGACAACGGTTTATCCATGTACCAATACTAGTTACAAACTCACAGTTGCAAAACATTTGAAAAAAACGCTTCTTGTTTTCCACGCTATTTTAAGTGTTAAAAGACTAAAAGAAACTCTCCAAGTTCCAAGCCCGTTGTAGTTGTTATGGTACCAGCAGTCCCATGGTAAGCAGTCAAACCATTTTAGAATGAGTCTTGTGAGGTGCCCAATGGCCGAATCCCTTGCTTTTGGTCTAATTCAATTAATTCTATTCAGCAAAGCAGGACCACGGTCACTGGCTGAGAGCATCCCCTGAGGGCTCCCAGCCATTGAGCATGGTCCTGGATCGTCTGTGCTTAGACAAACAAATAATACAGCAGTAAAATCAGAATTAAAGTGAAGGAGATTTTATTCCAACAGAGTGGACTTTGCAACAATGCTGACTATCAAATTGGTGGAATAAAATATTCTTCACTTTAATTCTGGTTCTATTATTTGTTGTTTGTTTTTCAGCTGGTGGTAGATTATTGCAAGGAGGCCTTGGGAATCAGCACCCAGATGAGTGTCAACCTTTCCTACCAACTTTGTAACTTAGTTCTATAGAGACAGACAACTTCTCCTGCTGGAGGACACTAAATTCAACATAGACACATTAGAAGACCCAGTAAATTTGTCAAACCATTCTAAAACGATTTCACTACTTACCACTGAGTGGCGCCAGAGCATTCTTGGTACCAGGCTATAGAGATTATGGTGCTGGCAGTGTGGCTTTCAAATTTTTTTAGTGCGGTACCAAAATCCCTTTTCACATCTTGTTTAATAAATGAGCAGTGCTTGAGACTTAAAGGAAAACAATAGCTCAACTGTGTTTCTTAACAGAGTTATTCTTAAGCTTTTCAAATGATTTAATGTTTTTAGATAACCTTTTAAAATTTAATATTTTGAAAAATATTTTAATCTTTTGATATATTGACATAGTTTTCGATATTTTAAGATTTTAAAAAAAGTTTATCCAACAATATTGAATCATTTGAATAAGATATTCAAAAATATTAAATCAAGGCCTTAAATTTCTAGAATGGGGAGTTTAGTAAATAAAACTGTAAATGTGATATTTTTTAGCACCATTGTTGCTTTAGGGTGTGCGCAAACGGTGTGCCAACTCTGCTCAGGCACACTCTAATTCATGGTCAAAGTGGCCTCCTTGTTACCTGTTTAGATCTGTCAGGGGCACTTATGCATGTGTTAGGGTCATTTTGTTGTTTTTTTTTTTTATTGAAAAACATGACAATCTCTGTTTATTCCTAGTAATCAGAGGAAAAATGCATATTTGAAAAATTAGATTTTTAAGCAAAGTTTAGATGGAATTTGTTTTTTCGGAGTGCACATCCTAATTCAGTGGGCTGCCACACATATCTTTGATTACCACCATATTTATGTGAAGAGTAACAATCTCTTTACATATCCTAGCAGTTCAAAAAGTACAGGAGCCGTCTATCATCTTTCTGATCTAGTATATCTCAAAAAGGGCTGTTATCATAGGTGGTGTTTAAAGGCAAACTGACCTAAATTACTTTAAGATGTCTTACATACTCCAATGATGAAGTTAGATAACAGCTGTGCAGTTATTGGGATTTGGGGTGAATATACCACTGTTCAGTTTTATTAATTGTAGAGAACTCTTTGTATCACATTTGTTAATAAAATTAAAAAAATTTTACGCTGTAAAAACTACGCTGTAAAAATTTGTAACAGCTAACTCTTCACCTTTAAAATGCTTGGCACAGCTTGCATTGCTGTGTAAATTATATAGCTATACATCCAGAGTACTCAGCAGTTAATTTAAATATATCTATTGGCAGAATATTTATTTATGTGAACAAAATTTATTTTTTCTTAATTTTGTTTTGTTCTAATGCAATCTAAGTTCATTACATTACAAAATAGCATTGTGTTTAACAAGATAAGATAAAACAACATATAAACAAACAGTTACTGTTAAAGGGTAAATGTCATGACAAACACAACCTAAAGGGACGCTATAACAAACTGCCCGGACACTATCTTTTTTTTCCACGAACCCAAGTTGTTCCCCTTGGTTTGGTACTTTTATCTACCGAACACAGACCACCCCCCTGGCTCATTATCTTCTAAACAACCACAAACTCAAGTGCTCTCGCTCTGGGTGGCCGCCATTCGTATAACCGAAAACATGTGCTCTGGAGAATGGCGTACATTTTGGCTTCTGCAGGCAACGGTGCAAGGTTGTGCCTGGAACTCAAAAAAAGATACTTTAACTTGCGAACCTCAGTAACTTTGTACCGCCACCTGCTTCCTTCCCCGACTAGCCAGGAGATCGCTATTTGGTGAAAAAACTCCCCCGGACAAAATTAACTTGTGCTCCCTACGAGCCAGGGGAACCATTTGTTTAATTTTGTGTAGGAACTCCCTACATTCATTTTTACAGTGGCGATTCTAAGCCAGAATAGCTTGAATTTGCTCCAAATCAAAGCATCCCTTATTTGTTTCCATTTTGCCTCAATATTAAGAGTTACTAATAGTAGATGTACAGTATTCTTGGGAACGTTAATGTCCAAATAAGTGGTCATTCCTCTAGTCATAAGGGAAGGATTGTTCCAGGGATTTAATAATTATGTCTAGTATGCCTTTCTGCAAAATACTAGATTTGTGAATGTTTACTTTATGATTTAAAATATTATTATATTGAACCAAAATAAACAGTGAATTAGGAAGAGAAGTCTGTGGATTAGTAAGGGGTAGCATAATATCATCTGCAAACACTCCCAACTTGCAGAACCGTGTTAGAGACAATGTGTAACCTTTATTATCCAGATTCTCATGCACAGTTATTGCCAATGGTTCCAAAGACAAATCATAGATTAAAGTCGGCTCCCTTGACGGGATTCATTGGCAATCTCGAATCTGTTAGTTAAAAGCCCTGAAGAAAATACTGAGGCTGAGGGGTTTGTGTACAAACTTTGCATAGCAGATAAAAAGGAAGTCCAAATCTTCTCATTGTTTCAGTTATATATTGCCACCTTATTGGACCCTGTCAATGTCTTTTCTGAGTCAAGGGAAAGGAGAAGCACTTGAGATTGTGACATTTGAGCATGTTGCAAAATATTATTAAACTTGCGGATATTGTCTGAGAGTTGTCTACCTACGCAGAAGCCCACTTGGTCCAAATGAAGAAGAGTGGGCAACATAGGTGTAAATCTATTAATTAAAATTTTTGAGTAAAGTTTAGTGTCAACATTTAATAATATCGGCCTAAAATTCTGGCATACAGTTAATTGCTTACTTGGCTTTTGAAAAGTCATTACATGAGCATGAGTATATTCTTCAGGGTGATTAGATGATGAACTAAGATATTGGAAATAAATTGGAAGCTGAGGTGTTAAGATTTTAGCAAAGGTTTGGTAATATATTCATGTGAAGCCATCAACTTTTATGCATCAATAGGGGTTGAATCACTCATTCTACCCCATTTAAAAGGTTGTCCGCCAAAAAGATAGAAGCCTGGTCTTGATCTACCTGTTGAATATGTAACTTGTCCAAGAATGTATTAATAGCTAATAATGATGGTTAGTAATGGAAGGATCATTATGTGAATAATATAATGAAGCATATAATGAGGTAAATTCATCCACTATTCTTGCTAAGTTCAGTATCTTTTGGCCTCACAAGGGGATGCAAGTTAGCTGCAGACATGGACACCAACCTGTTCAATTTTCTTGACAATAGTGTCTCTGTTTTATTCATTGGGCATTTGTTTGTTTTGAGCTTGAAATCATTAAACCTTTGTTCTCTCTTATGGAGTGGTTTTATGAAGAGGGCCAATAGCTCCTAGTTCAGAGGGCACGCAATGCATGGAAGTCATGGTGCCTTTGTACAGGATTCAAGGCTACCAGAGACAAACATGCTCTGGTCTATCAGGAGTATCAGTGGGTGGTGAGAAACAATCTTCATTTTACACATTGCAGCACTTAGAGGAAGTAATCTCAGATCACTTCCTACCAGCTAGGGATGTGCATGGGGAAAATATTCTGTTAGGCATTCTGAAATTCGGGACTTCAGCAATTCGGTTTGGAACTTCGGCAACTTCGGAACTTCGGCACTTTGGGACTTCGGCTGTTCTCTTGCAGCCACTTAGTAGATAATTCCCCAATCCCCACGATATTAGGGACCTATCTACCAAAAGGCTGAAAGACCTAAATTGGTCTTTCAGCCAAATTTACTAATACTAAGTAAAAAATGACTTAGTATTAGTCAATTCTGCCCCTACTCACTGTAGCCAGTAGGGGCGTGTCTATTAAACAGTGAGCAGCCTGTGGCTGCTCACATAAAAAAAACAAAAAGTGTCCCCCCTCCCGAGCCCCCACCCGTGCCACGCGACTTTTAAACTGAAGGGGTGACCTATTGCGGTGGGTGGGGGCCCTAATTAAAAATGTAACCCCCCCAGGTTACTAGGGGTCCCCAAACCCCTAGTCACCCCCCTCCCCCAAATATTAGTGAACCCCTACCTACCCACCTTACCCTAAAAATAGTGAGGGTGAAAAAATAACTAGGTACCTGTAAAAAAAAACAAAAAAAACTTACCATTTGATGTCTTATTTCTAAAATCTTCTTTTTTCAGCCCCAAAAAAGGCCAAAGAAAAATCCATAATAACCGTCGCACTTTGAAAAAAAAAAATTAGAGCGCAAAAAAAAGTAAAATAATGGGGTGGGCCTATTTTCCTCCCCCCGGTCCCAACCCCTGAGCGGTAGGTGGGTTCCCTAAATTAGAATAAGGGGGGGACCTATTGTCCTCCCCCGCCTGCCCCCACCCCTGAGACCAATTTAGGTCTTTCAGCCTTTTTGTAGATAGCTCCCAAATACTGTGGGAATTAGGGAGTTATCTACTTATTAATTCCCATGCATTGATTGGCTAAGTAACTTACATTTTATATGAATGTGTTACTTGATTGTTGTAAGTGATGCAAATGCTTACAGCTGAATCCTGGCTATATTTGTATACTTTTTATTTAAATTGGTATACAGTGTAACATGCTTCATTCTTCCACTGAGTATATTAGCACTTTGGCAATTCTGTGCTTCGGAACTTCGGCACTTCGGCAATTCAGCTATTGAGAAGTATTCAAATGTCCGAATTGCCCGAAATTCATCCGAATTGACATTCAGAACGAAACGAATTGCATGTCTACTATTAGCGTTTGTGAATGGAAATTTCCACTGGAGTAGAGGAACCCACAGCAGCTACCACAGCTTCTGCCCTGGACTTGTACCTGGCCGGCCAGGTCCCCACTGAACCCCAGTGAAGCCACACACACTGCTACATATACACAGAGCTACAGAATAAGCTTCCCCCATACAAATAATACAAACAGCCTACACACAAACACACTCACATTCTCCACAAATACAACACTGGCAATCCACATACAAGCACACAACCCCACAAGCATCACAAGCTACAAAGCAACTACATCACTCATAAATAACATAAGAAGAATATGGTAACATGCACAACTCAATTTAAATAAAAATAGAGTTGGCACTACAAGGGAGATCTTGTTTTGGCATTGTACTACTAAAAGGTTCCCTATCCCTGACCTAGTTCGTGTTCTAACTTGAACAAAGTTTAATTCTGCAGTTTATTTCTAAAGGACGCTGCCTTTCCCTTGTTTGGTGAATATACATTTATTTATTTAGTTTTATTTTTTTGTGCATTGATAGAGAAACAAGTGTACAACGACATGGCCACAATAAGAAAACATATAAACATGAGAAGTTGCACATTTAACATATGACATGTCAGAGTATAGAGCACATTTTATAGGAATAAAACAAAATAACAGGCTAGGTATGCATGATTGAACAGCAGTAGGAGTATTATAAGTGGTTACAGAGGCAATTCTTATGTTGAAAAGAAACACCCAACGTATGATGGATAATGCCCCTATGATAATGGTGTTATAAGTACCACGTGTTGGCAACTCACCGGCCCCAGGTCTCAATGCATTCTAGAGCACCTCATTCACAAGTCCCTTCACAGATTGCAAATAGAACTCAGGGCCTCCTTACAGGCAGTCATCTCTCATGCTGAGCAATGATCTCCCAAGAGTGAAAGAAGTGTTTAGAGAACTTTCCCAGAGTAGGCTACATCCTAGAAAGATGTTAGATGAAAGCCACTGATCTAAATTAGTATCACCATAGGTTCAGCCGCAGTGGTTGCCTCCCATCTCCGGGGCACGCCTGCTGCTGATATTCAGGGTCAAGCTCAATCATTTTAGCTATATAAGAGTGGTTCAGCATGGAGCTCGCAAGATGTGCGACCAGTCAGCACGGCTGCTAGGTTCTCCCCCCATGAATATACATTTATGATTGTATACTTTACCCCATTAATTATACGTAATTCCCTATTCCAATCCGAACACTTAGATAAAAGTTGAAATGTTACTGATTAATGGATCAGAATAGATACCCTCCTAGATTTAGAAAGTACATGGAGTGATAACCTACAGGATATTGTAGTTTATTCAATAATGGATTTTTATTATTTTTAAGTGTGCTTCCTGTATACCAATAATATGTTATTTGACTTTAAATGCTCTACAATTAGCTGATGTTGTTTGTTTTTTGAATTAAGCCTTTTTGCAATAATAGATAAAAAAAATCATATTTCTTAAAAAAAAAAAAAATCCCATTGATAAATCTGTACTAGACTTGGGCATTCGCAAACATGTTTTTGACTGTCAATTTGGCAATTCGTCCATTTGTCCGAAAGTCAAATACAAATTACAATGAATGAAAGTAAGAACTAATTGCTTGTTGAACAGAATTTCATCCTTGCAATGCGTTCTTTATTTGTTTTAGTTGTTACAAGGAGGAAGCTACTAGACTTGGGCATTCATTTTCAGACAAACACGTTTTTTACTTGAATTCTCAACAATTTGCCCATCAATCCGAAAAACAAATGGATAAATACAAATTACACCAAATTAAATGAAAACTCGAATTGTTTATTAGATAAAATTTTGGCCGTGCAGTTTGTTCTTCGTTCATTCGTTTTAGTTATTACAAAGAGAAAGCTACCGGCGTGTGGATCCCTCCCTGTAATATTTAATAATAGAAGCGGTGGGAAACTGCGCTCCCTGCTGCTTCAAAAATACTCACATATACCTCCACCTCACTCTTGGCTTGTATTAGCTTAGGAGAGGTTAAACCCTCCCTCCGGCCCCTACCCGTTGTGCTGCGATGTTTAATAACCTGTGCCTGCTCAATGTTATAAAAAAAGGGGCACCTAATAAATTAAGATAGGGTAGATAGGGTCCACCATTTACCCATTTGGTTTTCCGCGAGTGGGTGCTATTAAAATAAATAGGGTACTTAGTGTCATCCTCCAGCCCCCACAAGTGGCCATGGGTGGAGGCTAGTAAATAAAAAGTGTCCCCCAGGGCCTACCCATTGGTGGCAGGTGAGGACGCTAACAATAATAAAGGGGGACATAATGTTCTCCCAGCACCCACCCATTGGTGGCAAGTGGGGTCTCTTCATAATAAAAAGGAGAGGGGTGGACCTATTGCCAGCCAATCCCTACCCATTAGCGGAGTGAACCTATTGTACCCCAGCCACCAGGTGACTACGCCCCTAACTAAAAAAATAAAAAAAATTCTATTGAAGTGCACCCTGGTGATAACATATCTGTGTGTCTTTTAGTTGTCAGGTGATATGTGAAAGACAATGAGTGCTGTTCAACAGGACAGGGGAGAAGCCATCCTACTAAAGCAGTGAGGAATCTATGAATGAAGTTTGCCAAATCAGGCATTTTAGTAGCCTTAAGTTGTTCCTTCTTGCACAATCCTCAAGGTCTGTTACGTTTAACTTAAAGGGACACTATAACCCTTCATCTCATTAAGTGGTCTGGGTCCAGTGTCCTTGCCCCCTTAACCCAGCATTGTAAAACAAGCATTGTAAAACATTGCAGTTTTGGAGAAACCACAATGTTTACATTGCAGTGTTAAGACTGCCTCTAGTGACTGTCTATGAGACAACCACTAGTGGCACTTCCTGTTGTGTCAGGGAGTTTGACACGCTTTGCATGAGGACGTCCAGCGTCAAGCAAAACGCATTGGAAAGCATTGACTCTCCGCACATCAGGGCCGGACTGGCCCACCGGGATACCGGGAAATTTCCCGGTGGGAATGACATCAAATTCCGGCCCCGGTCTCATTAAGCGGCGCGCAGGGGAGGGGGAGCAGAGACACAACAGCCAGCTCCCCCTGCGGCCGCAAGAACAGCCAGTAAACCCTGCGGCCTCCAGAAGAGCTCCCCACAGGTAGAAATTGTGTATGTGTGTGTGTGTCTGTGTTATGTGTGTGTGTGTCTGTCTGTCATGGTGTGTGTGTGTGTGTCTGTCTGTGTCATGGTGTGTGAGTGTCTGTCTGTGTCAGCAATGTGTGTCTGTGTCATTGTTTGTGTCTCTGTGTCATGGTGTGTGTGTCACTGTCTGTCATGGTGTGTGTGTGTGTGTCTGTCTGTGTCATTGTGTGTGTCTCTGTGTCATGGTGTGTGTCACTGTCTGTCATGGTGTGTGCGTCTGTCTGTGTCATGCAATGTGTGTCAATGTCATGGTGTGTGTGTGTGTGTCTGTCATGTAATGTGTGTCATGGTGTGTGTGTGTTTGTCTGTGTCATGTAATGTGTGTCTCTCTGTCACGGTGTGTGTGTGTCTGTGTCACGGTCTCTCTGTGTCGTGGTGTGTGTCTGTCTGTCACAGTCTGTCTGTGTCATGGTGTGTGTGTGTGTCTGTCATGTAAGGTGTGTCTGTGTCACGGTCTGTGTGTGTGTTTGTCTGTGTCATGTAATGTGTGTCTGTCTGTGTCACGGTGTGTGTGTGTGTCACAGTCTCTGTGTCGTGGTGTGTGTGTTTGTGTGTCACGGTCTGTCTGTGTTATGGTGTGTGTGTGTATGTCAAGGTGTGTGTGTCTTTTTTAAGGTGTGTGTCTGTCATGGTGTGTGTGTCTGTCTGTGTCATGGTGTGTCTGTCTGTCATGGTATGTGTGTGTTTCTGTCTGTGTCACGGTCTGTCTGTGTCATGGTGTGTGTCTGTCATGTAATGTGTGTCTGTGTCACGGTCTGTGTGTCATGGTGTGTGTGTGTGTTTGTCTGTGTCATGTAATGTGTGTCTGTCTGTGTCATGGTGTGTGTGTGTCTGTGTCACAGTCTCTCTGTGTCGTGGTGTGTGTGTCTGTGTGTCACGGTCTGTCTGTGTTATGGTGTGTGTGTGTGTGTCAAGGTGTGTGTGTCTTTTTTAAGGTGTGTGTCTGTCATGGTGTGTGTGTGTGTCTGTGTCATGGTGTGTCTGTCTGTCATGGTGTGTGTGTGTTTCTGTCTGTGTCACGGTCTGTCTGTGTCATGGTGTGTGTCTGTCATGGTATGTGTGTGTATGTGTGTTTTTACTCACTTTTTTTTTTTTCAACGTTATGCTGGTCTCCCCTCGCCTGGCCCTGCCTCTACGGCTGAGATCATCAAGCTTGATGATCTCAGCAAATCCGCACTGACACCGGAAGCACCTCTAGTGACCGTCTGAGTGTCTGTCACTAGGAAGCAGTGTAAACACTGCCTTTTCTCTTAAAAGTCAGTGTTTACATTGAAAAGCCTGCAGGGACAGGGTATAGACACCAGTACCACTACATTAAGCTGTGTGTGTGTGCGCGCGCTTGCTTGTGTGTGTGTGTGCCTGCTACTGAGTGAGCTTGTGTTTTTATGTCAGTAACCTTATGTATGAGGCTGTGTATCAATCAGCTTGTGTCAGTGAGATTGTCTGTGTATGCATGTGAGTATGCTTACTGTATAATTAAAAATTTTACTCTGAAAGGACCAATATTTTATATTGGAAAAAGATATATATATATATATATATATATATAAAAATATTGATTGCCAGAGATAGCACTCCAAGGACTTATATAAAATATAACTTTTATTACCTCCACTAAAACAACACAAGGTCAACGTTTCAGCTTGATCCCCTCAAGAGCTAATTGGAGTAGGATGTCAGCCAACTGGAGTCCAATCAATGAGATGAGATTGGAGGTGTTGGTTACAGCTGCCCTGCCCTATAAAAAACACACACCAGTTCTGGGTTTGCTTTTCACAAGAAGCATTGCCTGATGTGAATGATGCCTCGCACAAAAGAGCTCTCAGAAGACCTACGATTAAGAATTGTTGACTTGCATAAAGCTGGAAAGGGTTATAAAAGTATCTCCAAAAGCCTTGCTGTTCATCAGTTCACGGTAAGACAAATTGTCTATAAATGGAGAAAGTTCAGCACTGCTGCTACTCTCCCTAGGAGTGGCCGTCCTGTAAAGATGACTGCAAGAGCACAGCGCAGACTGCTCAATGAGGTTAAGAAGAATCCTAGAGTGTCAGCTAAAGACTTACAAAAGTCACTGGCAAATGCTAACATCCCTGTTAGCGAATCTACAATACGTAAAACACTAAACAAGAATGGATTTCATGGGAGGATACCACAGAGGAAGCCACTGCTGTCCAAACAAAACATTGCTGCACGTTTACAGTTTGCACAAGAGCACCTGGATGTTCCACAGCAGTACTGGCAAAATATTCTGAGGACAGATGAAACTAAAGGTGAGTTGTTTGGAAGAAACACACAACACTATGTGTGGCGAAAAAAAGGCATAGCACACCAACATCAAAACCTCATCACAACTGTGAAGTATGGTGGTGGGGGCATCATGGTTTGGGGCTGCTTTGCTGCGTCAGGGCCTGGACGGATTGCTATCATCGAAGGAAAAATGAATTCCCAAGTTTATCAAGACATTTTGCAGGAGAACTTAAGGCCATCTGTCTACCAGCTGAAGCTCAACAGAAGATGGATGTTGCAACAGGATAATGACCCAAAGCATAGAAGTAAATCAACAACAGAATGGCTTAAACAGAAGAAAATACGCCTTCTGAAGTGGCCCAGTCAGAGTCCTGACCTCAACCCGATTGAGATGCTGTGGCATGACCTCAAGAAAGCGATTCACACCAGACATCCAAGAATATTGCTGAACTGAAACAGTTCTGTAAAGAGGAATGGTCAAGAATTACTCCTGACCGTTGTGCACGTCTGATCTGCAACTACAGGAAACGTTTGGTTGAAGTTATTGCTGCCAAAGGAGGTTCAACCAGTTATTAAATCCAAGGGTTCACATACTTTTTCCACCTGCACTGTGAATGTTTACATGGCGTATTCAATAAAAACATGGCAACATTTAATTCTTTGTGTGTTATTAGTTTAAGCAGACTGTGATTGTCTATTGTTGTAACTTAGATGATGATCAGATCACATTTTATGACCAATTTGTGCAGAAATTCATATCATTCCAAAGGGTTCACATACTTTTTCTTGCAACTGTACATTGCCACAATACAGACAAGGACCGCCAGGCTCATTACAAGCCGGGCGGTCCTGTTGGGGGCTGACAGCTAGGTGTTACTTACCTTCCTGCAGCTTCTGTCAGCTCCCTTCTCCTCCGTGCAGCTCCTCTGTCAGCTCCGTTCTGCTTCCAGTGCAAGTTACCCGCGGGTCTCGCGAGACTTGCACTGTAAGCAGAACGGAGCTGACAGAGGAGCTGCACGGAGGAGAAGGGAGCTGACAGGAGCTGCAGGAAGGTAAGTAACACCTCGCTGTCAGCCCCCCCCACTGAACAACCAATGCCACTGGACCACCAGGGATTTAATATTATTAAAATAATATAATATTAAAATAATATTATTTTATTATTATATTATTATTATTTTAATATTTGCATTATTTTTTTTTAAATGGTGTTTTGTCCCCCCTCCATGACCAGGCAACAACCAGGGAGGGGGGACAAAAAACTATTTAAAAAAAAATTATGCAAATATTAAAATAATAATAATATAATAATAAAATAATATTATTAAAATAATATAATATTAAAATTAAAAAATTTAAATAAAAATGCCCTCCCCTCACCCAGTTTACACACACTGCACAAAGACACACACTGCATTATATACACACTGCATTCATTATATATATATATATATATATACACACACACACACACACACACACACAACACACACACACTGCATTCATTATATATACACACACACAAACACACACTCTGCATTCATTATATACACACACAACAAACAAACACACACTCTGCATTCATTATATACACACACAACACACAAACACACACTCTGCATTCATTATATACACACACAACCACACACTGCATTCATTATATACACACACACAAACACACACTCTGCATTCATTCTATACACACACTGTAAAAAAATATTCAATTAATGTAATTTTATTGGGATCTAATTTTATTTAGAAATTTACCAGTAGCTGCTGCATTTCCCAACCCAAGGCTTATACTCGAGTCAATATGTTTTCCCTGTTTTTTGTGGTAAAATTAGGGGCCTCGGCTTATATTCGGGTCGGATTATACTCGAGTATATACGGTAATTATAACTAATTACAGGACTGCAGTGCTCAGTAACAGTTGGGAAAACACAATCTTTAAATAAATGTATAAAATTCTACTGCACTTGATTTTTTCTTATCAGTATATCAGTATATCTATAAGCTGATAAAGGTTAAATACATTTTAAAATAATTGGAACAGCAGCAGGGTAGGAGTAGTGATCTAAAAATACTTTACACACCTTCACCTTTTTGGTAACCTTACAATGTAATCTGGCAACATCACTGTGCAATTATGTCCTACAGATCCAATTCAGCTATTTGGCACAAGCCCAAGCCCAGGCTAGATTTATGGCGAGCCTAATTAACTTAGTACATTGAAAAGGCCAAGTATCCCCCATATAAGACATCAATATAAGTGGGTTATCACATCTACATATGAATATCACAAAAAACAAGTTCCAGTTTGCATCACACCATTTATACTACTGAAAAATGGTTTTACTTTCAATCAGATGTACCTTACCACAACAGTTTTTTTTTTTAATCTCCTGCTCTGTAAGTTGAACTTTAATTACATACATAGTCTAGCAAGCTATTAACAGAGCAGGATAAAGAAATTATAAAGTAAATAGAATTTGCACAAAAAGTGTAAACATTAGATGACTCTTTACAGGAAGTGTTTAAAAAGGCTGGGTAAGTCACATGCAGGGAGGTGTGGTTAGGGATGCATAAAGAAAGTGATTTAACTTGTAAATGCCAGAGAATTGAGCAGTAAGACTGCAGGGGCAAGACCTATACGTCTAAACTGCTTCATTAAGCTAAAGTTGTTTTGGTGACTATAGTGCATCTTTAAAATCAGGTCTATGCCACTGTTACCTATAGGATCTCTTTGTTATCTCGTGTATCCTGTCCCTGTTATTATTTTTATTGTGCCAACATATTACAGGACACTATACAATAAAAATATTAGAAGAAACTAAATAAGCTAAGCAAGTAAAGAGGAACCAGCACTTCCTATGATTTTTTTATATTATGTTTATTAATCTATATACATTACAAATATTTATTTGTGAAGTATGCTAAATAAAATGAAATGTAGAAATCTACACCATTTTTTCATCCAACTGGGCGACTCCATCTTGGTTCCAAGTCAATCATTGTTATACATTCTATCATTCACACTTGGCAGTCAGCATAGAGAAAGCATACAGAGAAGAGAAGTAATGAAACAACGTTTCTATTTTTTTCCTCTTCCTTTGCAATGTTTGCCCTTGCATTGCCTTGTCTGAACTGGATTATGATATAATTTACTTAATCTTTAATACATAGCCAGGAACACTTACAACAATCAAGTAACATACATTCATATAAAATGTAAGTTACTTAGCCAGTCAATGTAATGACAGGAATGAATAAGTAGATAACTCCCTAATTCCCACGATATTAGGGAGCTATCTACTAAAAGGCTGAAAGACCTAAATTGGTCTTTCAGACAAATTTACTAATACTAAGTAATGATTACTTAGTATTAGTAAATTATGCCCCTACTTGCTATACCGCCACAGGCTGCTCACTGTTAAAAAATAAAAAATAAATAAATAAAAAAAAAGTTTCCCCCCTCCTGAGCCCCCACCTGTGCCGCGCGAGTGGGGGCTTCTAACCTGAAGGGGGGACCTATTGCGCCCTTCCCTGGCCCCCAACCCTGAACAGCGGATGGGGGCCCTAAAGTAAAATAATGGAGGGGGGACCTATTGTCCTCCCCCCGGCTCCCACCCCAAAGCGGCGGGTGGGGACCCTAAATTAGAATAAGGGGGGGGACCTAATTTCCTTCCCCCCTCCCCCCACCCCTGAGCGGCGGGTGGGGGCCCTTTATTAGAATAAGGGGGAACTAATATCCTCCCCCTGGCCCTCACCCCTGAGCGGCGGGTGGGGGCTCTAAATATTAATAAGGGGGGACCTAATGTCCTCCCCCCGGCCCCCACCCCTGAACGGTGGGTGGGGGCCCTAAATTAGAATAAGAGGGGGGACCTAAATAAAAATATAAACTCCCCCAGGTGACTAGGGGTCCCCAACCCCCTAGTCACCCGCCTCCAAAAAAATCCTAACCCCTACCTACCCCCCTCACCCTAAAAATAATGAGGGGGCGCCATTAACTAAGTACCTGTAAAAAAAATGAAACTTACCACTTGATGTCTTCTTTCTTCTAAAATCTTATTTTTTCAGCCCCAAAAAAGGCCAAATAAAAAAAACCATAATAACCGACACACTTAATAATAATAAAAAAAAAAAATTATCCTTCTTCACCCATGGAGGGCTCCGCACAGACTGAGCTCCGCAGGGCGGGGGAAGACTTATAAATCCTTGCCCCGCCCTGCAATTAGGCTCAGAGCACTCTGATTGGTGGGTTTAAGCCATCCAATCATAGTACTCTGACAGGTAAATGAAGAGACTCACAGGTAAGTCTCTACATTTACCTGTCACAGCACTCTGATTGGTTGGCTTGAAATCCACCAATCAGAGTGCTCTGTGTCATTTTACACAGAGTGGGAAAGTTTTTTGGAATTTTCCCACGCTGTGTAATTTGACTCATAACTCTGATTGGTGGATTGAAAGCCCCCACTCGCGCGTCGCGGGTGGGGGCTTGGAAGGGGGGAACCTTTTTTAAACACTGTTTAATAGACATGCCCCTACTCGCGGTATAGCGAGTAGGGGCAAAATTTACTAATACAATTTAGGTCTTTCAGCCTTTTGGTAGATAACTCCATAATACCATGGGCATTAGGGAGTTATCTACTAAGCGGCTGCAAGAGAAGTCCCGAAATGCCAAAGTTCCGAAAGTCCGAAGTTCCGAAGTCCCGAATTTCGGAATGCCGAACCGAACAGAAAATTTTCCCCATGCACATGCCTATTTGGAAACGAGAGAAATATCAATGTATCTTTCCTGGTAAAATATTTTATAAATAAAAATATTTTATAAATAAATAAATATAGCATTGAAGAGCAAGTGACTATTTTTCAGGTTCTGTTTTAGTTGGAGGCAAGGAGAATTTGAAAACAGGTTTAGTTCCCAAATTGTTGGCACGGTATTCTATCATTAAAGAGACACCCAGACCACTTCTGCCCATTGTAGTGGTTTTGGTGCCAACTCCCACTACCCTTAACCCTGCAAGTGTAATTATTGCAGTTTTCATAAAACTGCAATAATTATTGCAGGGTTAAGTCCTCCTCTAGTGGTTGTCTATCAGACAGCCACTAGAGGGATTTCCGTGTTCTTACAACACAAAAAGCGTGTTATACGACGCTGGACGTCCTCACGCTATGTGAGGACCTCCAGCATCGCCGAAATCCCAGTAGGAAAGCATTGAATAATGCTTTCCTATGGGGAGGTCTAATCCGCGTGCGCGGCCATTGACGCACATGCGCATTAGGTCTCCCCTGCCGGCTCACGTCGGCAGGAAAGGAGAGTAGGGGGAGCCTGACCCAGCACCGAGGGACATTGGCGCTGGACTCCGGTAAGTCACTAAAGGGGTTTTAACCAGGGCCGGACTGGGAAAAAAATTAGGCCCGGGCATTTTTCAATTAGAGCGCCCCCCCAAAAGGGGGCGGGGCCAGAGAGGGTGTGTTTTGTCATCACTAATGACAAGCATGCCCCCTCTCAAAGTGAGCATGTTGGTTCAATGCGCAGAGCCCCGCTGAAGAGCTCTAGCATTAGAAAAAGGCCCTGTATTTGTTCTGCGCAGCGCAAGCAAATGTAATAACATGCTTGCGCTGTGTTTGCTTTTAAATTGTCTCTGGTGTCTCCACAAGTGGGATACCAGAGGACAAAAGGGCCAGGAAAGTGTATGTTGCATGTGTTTGGCGCATGCTTGTGGGATTGCCTGTGTGTAGAGTGTGGTGTGGTATTGTGTAAATAGGTCAATTTTGTGGTGTAATATGTGTGGCTAGGGGCTGTAGAGAGTGCGTGTATAGGGGCATAATGTTATAGGGTATGTAGCGAGTGTGTGCATACGGGCAGTAGTGTGTGTGTGTATAGGTGACGTAGTGTGTGTAGGGGTTGTAGAGAGGGCGTGTTTATAGAATGTTGTATGTGTTTGCTTACAAGGAATGTAGTGTGTGTGTGTAGGTGGTGCAGTGTGTGTGTAAGAGATCTAGTGTGTAAAGGACCCAGAGTGTGTATAGAAGATTGTGTGTGTGTGTGTTTGTGTAGAGGATTAAGAGTACATATAGGGTAAGGGATCTAGCGTGTATCTGGAGCGTAATGTGTGTAGTGGTGCAGTGTGAGGGGTGCTGTAGTGTGTGTGTATATATATATATATATATAATATATTTGGACGTATTGTATGTGTGAGGTGCGCAGTGTGTTTGTGTAAGAGGGATGCTGTGTGTGAGGGTGTTTTTTTCTGCCGTCACATTCTAATTTTCTTTGTCTGTTAACTCACTGAGGGTTATTTTATAATATATATATATATATATATATATGTGTGTGTGTGTGTGCTGTATATGTGTGGGAGTGAGGGTGCTGTCTGTCTGGGAGTGCTGTGTGTGTCAGGGGGTGCTGTGTGTGTCTGGGGATTCTGGGGGTGCTGTGTGTGTGTCTGTGGGTGCTGTGTGTGTGTCTGGGGGTGCTGTGTGTGTGAGGGGGCTGATAGGGAATTTATTTTAAAAAAGTTATGTCCCCCCCCCCCTCCCTTCTTACCTTTAGCCTGGGAGGGGGGGAGATCCGTTCTGCCTGGGGGTGGAGAGCCGGGTATCCATTGAGGAGGGAGCCGTGCTGCCTTTCCTGGTGGTCCAGTGGTGAGAGTGAACTCTAGCCTGCAGGCTAGAGTTCACTCTTGCGAGAGCTGAGCGTTGCCGTGGTAACCGCAGCAACGCTCAGAATCCCGCGAGAGGACCCGGCGGAGCTGCTGGTTAGAGCTCCCCGGGTCCTCTCCTCCCTCCCCAGCCTGCGGCCGCCTGTAACTGCCTGTGGGCCGGTGAGGGAGATTTTTTATCTCCCCACCGGCCCATGGAGGCACACAGCAGGGCCGGCGCTCGGATAGCGCTGGCCCTGCAGGGGCTGGCAGGGGAGATCCTGTGATCTCTCCTGTCGGCCTCGGCCCACGGCCATCGCGGCCCACCGGGCATTTGCCCGGTATGCCCCATGGCCAGTCCAGGCCTGGTTTTAACCCCTCCAGCAACTTGGAATCGGGGGTGGGAGGGGCACTACAGGGTCCTGCACTGCCAGGAAAACTAATATGTTTTCCTGGCACTTTAGAATCCCTTTAAGGGAGTAAATAGGACAGAAGGTGTCTGCTATTTTTTAGCACCTACATATGTTTAAATTAATTTTCAACTCCTGCTGGCAGTCTTAAAAGATAACACTAATATCCTATAATTTCTTCAGTTCAAACCACAACTGATTTTTGATCTTCCCCCAAACATGCTGGGCTAGAAAATCTGAGAGAACTTGACCTTACACAGCCACTTTTAGACTCCAAAATGTGAAATGCGATGCAAGGGAGAAAGGTAATGTGGTTGCTGTTGCTGGAGACATTACCAAGGAGAAAAATAATGTGTTTTTTGACAGATTACATATAACTATATGGCCCATTGTACATCGCTATGGAGTTTGCTGGTGCTTTAAAAATAATAATAATTGCCAGGTGTCAAGGTAAAGTTATATCGGACTTGGAGAGCTTGAAACAACTTAACCACTAAATCACTAAACACCGAACTACAATCAAATGAAATTCAAACTTTAGGAGAAATATCTGATTTGGAAAAAAATGTCTATTAGTTCATTATTAGTCTCCATAGTAAACACTTGTGAGTTGTTTAATTAGCAAATGAATCCAAGGCTGAGATTAATCTAAACTTTATAAAAATGAGACAGAAAACATTTCTTTTAAATCCAGTCACTAGATGTATGAGGTGAGACTCTTTAAAATAGTTATTATAATCTAATATAGCAATTAGGCCACCCTTCTGGGCAGTTGATAGATGTTTGGTTGTATTAAAAAAAAAAAACTATTTTATTTTGATGAGCGAGGCCATTGTGATCTGTGTTGAATGATAGGTTGAACAACCAGAATGAATATGTACTGGCTGAGCAGGGTGTGTGAGGGGTACTGGCTGACCTAGAGGCCAAAATGGATAAGCTGTTCGCCAGGTTTTGGAGGAAGATGGCAATCCGGGAGCAAAAGGCTAAAGCACACATTATCGCCACCATGGCACCGGTGTACCCCAAGCGCGAACACACGCCTCCTCGGGTAAACCAAGCCTGCACACGGCGCTGGGGTCGGCGAACTAGAAGAGCCCGAAAGCCCAAACGACTTTTAATGCGGTTGGAAGCCAATCCAAGTGCCTGGTGAACCTGAACCTACCCGAGAGGCAGCAGCGGCACACGGTGCCAATTAAGGACCAAACACGGCCGTGGGCTCCCGGGCAAACTACACGGAACTCCCCAGCCGATGCCATCAAACATCAGACCCTCACCCGGGCAAACCCCGGAGGCGACACCCCCACCAGTGGTAACATAGCCTCACAGACCCCATCACGCTAGCAGTTTCGCTCCACCGGAACGGGGCTTAGACCGCACCGCTGCAAGGACCTCCAACATCATTCAGAGCAGCTGGCCACACAATCGCAGCAAGCAGACCACGTACACTAGACTGAGGTTCCTGAGCTCTGGAATTGGCTAGAGGACTACCAAACACCGGCTACCGTAGCCAAATGCCTGCTCCAGACTACACAGGGACACTTGCACACCTTACCCACACTGCGGATATATTTAATCACAGATAGCAGCGGACTGCTAGGTGTTCCTTTTTTTTTAATTTTAAATTCTCTTTATTATTAAATTATCCACCATAAATACATTTTACACAAAAATATTAAAATGCATTCATCCACATAAAAAACATACATAAAAAGACAAAAAAAAAACAAACTATCCCCCCACCCCACAAGAGTTCTACTGACTTCCAACTTTTTTTTTTTTTTTTTAACTTTTTCAAATAGCAATGCTCGGTGTTCCTTGAGTTATACTTGCTGCATTTATTGCTTTTCTTTTCTTTGCTCCACATCTGCCTCCTAGCCGTAAGTACACACTGGGTGCAAAGCCAGCCCCACTGCCGCTTACCAACCTATTATTTCCTTCTTTTTGTTGCTTTCATCTCCTTGTCTCAAGCCTGCTGTCAGGAAGCAAAGTGTACATATTGTCACTCAGTTGATTCCCTATAGACAGATATGATGTCTTGTTGTAGACTACCACTAGTCTGTAGAGCCACCTACATGCATGTCCTACTGTCGGTGGATTAAATATCTAGCCCTGAACAGGGATTATCATAACCTGTCACTGACCGTAAAGATTGCACAGCATCAGATTCAGTATAAGAACCCTGACAGATAAGTGAGACTAGCCTGCGAAAGCCTGTATGTTATCCACTGTTAATACTGAGCTCAATAACTCAGCTAATATAACTAAATGGAATGAACATGCTATGTATATGCCTCAAAAAATTTAATTTCGCCTGTTAATCTTGTTTCCGTGCTAACACATACCAAGCGAGATCTTTATCGTTGTCTTATGCCTGCATCTTATTTTACTTATGTGACTTCTATTCAGACAAGCACGACTAGCCTGTGTATTAATATACTTAAAAATTGTGCCACTTTCTCATGCCATGTATGTGCTCTACATTGTTATCACTGTTTGCTCGTGGCATCGTGTACCTCTGTATTATCTTGTGCACAGAAAAAATAAAGAATTTAAAAAAAAAATGACTAGAAAAAAATGCAAAGATTATAGTTAGAAAAAAGGTTTAGGTGTGTGTGTGAGAGAAGACACTGTAATATCTCTGTGAATGGCTTTCCAATATTACAGTAAACTTGGGGGGAAAATTTTTTATTTTTTTTTACCCAAAATTGGCAGTCAGATCTCTCCTTGGATCAAGAAGCTATTACCTCCCATATTAACAATTTTATATCTAAATATTATGTCTTGCAAGTATTCATCCAATTGCTGTTTAAACATCTGTACAAACTCTGATAAAACTACCTCCCCAGGAAGAGAACTCCACATCCCTATTCTAATTAGTGTAAAAAAAAACACTTGCATTCCTTAGACTAAATCTCCTTTCTTCCAGTCTAAATGTATAGTCCTGCCTATGAATAGATTTCATGACAATGGTTTGTATTGGCTCTGATTTTACGTGTATAATGCGATTATATCCCCTCTGAGGCACACTTTTTTTTTTTTTTTTTTAATATATAAAATAAATTTAAAATATATATATATATATATAAATTTTCTTCACAACTAAAAAATTTTTCCATTCTTTTTATTTTGTATTACACCTCTGCATTTCTTTCTAGTGTCATATCGTTCTTTAGAACAAGTGCCCAAAATTGCACATCATAATAAAGATGTGGTTTTACCAATGATTTATAACAAGGCAAAATTATATTTTTATGCCCCTTTTTAAAATTATTTATTTTTCGTTGTACATAAGATAACAAAGCTGCCTGCCAAGCAACGACCGCAAAAACAAGCCTAATATTTTGACCGTGCATAACATAGGCATGACATTGCAATTACAGCATATTTTAGGTGATATAAAGAGTTTAGAGAATTATGAAAAATGTGTCATGAACAGAAGAATATATGCTTTTTGATCCAATAACAGTAGATGTGTACAAAAGTGAAGAAAACAAACTTGTCAGTAGTAGAACTTGATACTAATTGCCAGATACTGCGTTATTTTTTTTTTAGGAGTGATAATGGCAGGCTAGCTTTTGGTTCCTAGATTAGGTCCACTGAGAGTGGGAATTATGCTTTTGCCACCCTGGTCTGAGATGTGAGGTACGAACAACACATAGAGATATATGAAGTGCTTTAAAGAGAGCTAGTAGTAGGTGCCCAACTGGTACAGTTAACTCTATGGCCTCTTCCTTCACAAAATGGGGCATAGCACTGGTGATGCAACCGGAGCTTGGCTCAGCCAATCCCTTTAAATAGCAGGAGCAGGGTGCCGTCCGGTGGGCGTTTGTAGTCGGTCCCCTTGAGCGTCAGGATAGAGGTCTCCTCCAGCCCCAGGCCTGAATGAGGGCTGGTGTCCTGGGACCACAGACTCTGAGGTGCCAAGTCCTTGCTCTTACTTTTACACATTACAATACCTTACTAGTTGTGTAGAAATAATTATAAGCAAAACTGTCTGACTCTTTAGAATACTTTTTTGACCCTTATTGCTGCACAACCTTTACCCTGTTTGACTTGACGGTAATTTATGCAACTGCAATGTAACCACTCTAGAACCTGTATTTGAATGTTTATGCTGTGATATTTTTGTATTCTTCCTCATTCTTTAAAAGAAACCGGTTTAAAACAAAATTAATATGTAAGCCTAGTTGCACTTAGTGACACTCTAAGCACCAAAACAACTTCAGCTTCATGAAGCTGTTTTAAGTTATATATCTTGTCCCTGCAGTTTAAAAGAAAGTTTAATTGGCCTTTTCAATGCCAATTATGACCGGTTTATGCAGCCCTAGCCACACATCCCCTGGTTGTGACTCACACTGTCTCCATGTAAAAGTTTTATTTTCAATCTGCCCTTACAGCACAGTGTTTACTTTTAGAAGTTCTGTTAACTGAACTTCATGTGTAAATCACTCAAAGGCTGTTGCAGATGCTAGCTGGTTACCACAGCAGGAGGTGCAAAATTCTAAATTAAACACTGTACTAAAAACAAATAGATTTAAAGTAGATGTGTAGTGAGTCTGTGTGAGTAATAGAACTCCTAAATAGCAGATAATTGAGCAGTAAGACTAGAGGCATGATCTACACACCAAAACCACTTAATTAAAGCACAACGGCTGCTTGAAATAGTTTCTATATTATATAATCATTTCTTATAATCCTTCTCTCAAGTTTTAAAAATAGAGATATGAGATGTCTATATCTAGCTATAATCTCTTTTTTTCAAAACTTAAAGGGATTCTCTAGTGCCAGGAAAACAAAGTTGTTTTCCTGGCACTGTAGAATTCTGGAGTGCCCCTCCTTAACCCACATTCCGTAAGGGGTTAAAACCCCTTCAGAACTTGCCTGAATCAGTGCCGATGTCCCTCGGCGCCGGGTGAGGCTCCGCCCACGGCCCTCCCCTGCCGACGTCAGCCAGTGGGGAAGACCTAATGTTCATGTATGACAACGGCCGTTCTTGCATTGGGATTTTCCCATAGGAAAGCATTATTTAATGCTTTCCTATGGGGATTCTGGAAGTCCTCGTGCATTGCGTGAGGATGTCCAGCGGTGTTTAGATGACCAAAAGTCTTCTAAGCACCCAGAAGTCCCTCTAGTGGCTGTCTTGTGTGTATATATGTCTTGTAGACAGCCACTAGAGGAGGACTTAACCCTGCAAGGTAGTTATTGCAGTTTTGGGACATTGCACTCAGACCAATTCAATGAGCAGAAAAACCCTTTAATGAAAGAATGTGACTTGTGAGGTGGCAGTTCTTTTCAGCAGAAGTTGTCTTGTTAACTATTCTCCTTTTATAGAGTACAGTATATACTCGAGTATAAGTCTAGTTTTTCAGCACATTTTTTGTGCTTAAAAACCCCCACTCGACTTATACTCGAGTCACTGTCTGTATTATGGCAACTTAGAGAGCCGCGGCCGTCAGAGCCATGGCAACGATCCGCGCGGCAACCAGACCGCGAGACTTACAGTGGAGCTGACCGGAACGGAGGAGAAGGGAGCTGACAGGAGCTGCAGGAAAGGCAAGTAAATGCTTCCTGGCGGCCCCCCCACTTCACAGCCCATGCCACTGGACCACCAGGGATTAAGATAGCCCCCCTCCCTGACCGGTTAACAAGCAGGGAGGGGGGACAAAATTTTTTTAAATAATAAAAAAATATATTAAAATTACAAAAAATTAAAAATAATAAAAATGCCCTCCCCCCACCCAGTTCACACACACTACACAAACACACACTTTGCATTATATACACAGTGTGTGTATATAATGCAGTGTGTGTGTATATAATGTAGAATGTGTGTTTGTATGAGTGTGTGTGTGTATATAATGTAGAATGTGTGTTTGTATGAGTGTGTATGTGTATATATATATATGTGTTTGTGAGTGTGTGTGTGTATATATATATATATATATATAATGCAGAAATGTGTGTTTGTATGAGTGTGTGTGTGTTTGTATGAGTGTGTGTGTGTGTGTGTATATGTATGTGTGTATATATATATATATATATATATATATATATATATATATATATATATATATATATTGCAGAATGTGTGTTTGTATGAGTGTGTGTGTGTGTGTGTGTGTATATGTATGTGTGTATATATATATATATATATATATATATATATATATATAATGGCGTGTGTTTGTATGAGTGTGTGTGTGTGTGTATATATATATATATATATATATATATATATATATAATGCAGATGTGTGTTTGTATGAGTGTGTGTATATAATGCAGAGTGTGTGTTTGTATGAGTGTGTGTATATAATGCAGAGTGTGTTTGTATGAGTGTGTGTATATAATGCAGAGTGTGTTTGTATGAGTGTGTGTGTATATATAATGCAGAATGTGTGTTTGTATGAGTGTGTGTATATATAATGCAGTGTGTGTTTATATGAGTGTGCGTGTATATAATTATAAAAATCACAGAATTTCATAGCCCCAAGTTTTACCCTCGACTTATCCACGAGGCATAGCATATTTCACAATTGTTGGTCACAAAACTGCACTCGACTTATACATGAGATCGACTTATACACGAGTATATACGGTACATATCAAATTACACTGGAAGAAACGCATAGCAAAAATGCATCATTAAGCTAAATTGTAACTGGGCCAGTAAGAATTTAGATTATACTTGAGTGTCCCTTCTAGGATCAGTATGGACCCTTACCAGTTTTTAATGGGTTGAGACAATTTTGTTAAAATGTTGAGAGTTCACTAAGGAATTTTCGTCTTAACTTTGGGCAATGTTGCAATTTGGAGTGTTAAAGTGACACTATAGTCATCGGAACAACTTCAGCTTAATGAGTGTTTACTTAATACAGTGTTTACATTGAAAGCTAGGAACCCCTCCAGTTGCAGTCACTCAGAGTGAACCAGAGGGACTTCTGAGTTGATGGAAGTATAATATGCCTCCATCCATGTCTGCTGTGCACGAGCATCCTGTAATTCAGTGTCTCCTCCCTCTGCATGGTGACATTGAACTTTCCTCATAGAGATTCATTGATTCAATTCATCTCTATGAGGAGATGCTGATTGGCCAGGGCTGTGTTTGAATCATGCTGGCTCTGCCCCTGATCTGCCTCCTTGTCAGTCTCAGCCAATCCTATAGGGAAGCACTGTGATTGGATCAGGCTATCACATGTCAGCAGACTGCTTGTTTTTCCTGAGTCTAACAGCATGCAGATTTACAGTTTCTTCCTCTAGTACAGTAAGATTTTTACTATATTTATGGAGGCATGAGGGGCCTAGAGAGGCTAGATGGTCGTGTTAACACTATAGGGTCAGGAATACATGTAGTTGCGCTGGTGACTATAGTGTCCCTTTAAACCTTACTGGTCAAAAAAAGTAATTGTCCATTAAAAAGTGTCACATGATTAAAACCTAAGCCTTTATTGTGTCTAGGGCTTTAGGAGTGAATTATAAGGAAACTTTTTTTTTTCTTTCTTTCTTTGTTTAGTAAAAAAAAATCAAGTGAAAACAAAATCGAAATATTAAGGCTAAAGCAGCAGAGTTAAGAAAACAAAACAAACCCAAAACTCCAACCTTGCTCTAGTAATAGTTTTCCTATTTTATCCTCAATATTTCAACTTGGTATCTATTTCAAAATACCATACTTTAAAATAATTGGTTGTTTCTCCAGCAGTTGCTATGTTTTTGCATTTATTTAAAAAATCCTGAACTGGCAACAAGTACATATCACTATAGAAATATATATTTTACTAAAGCGGAGTTTGCTCTACTGAAATATTCCTACTAGCAAATGATCTGACACTCTTGAGTGATAGTGGTGAAGCAAAAAGAGTACTTGTATTCTAAAGATTTGACTAGAGCAGCATATTCTCCAGTACTGTACAATGTGGGCTTTTACAATATTTACGATTTTTCACCTTAAAATTTAAACCAGTCAAACCTGTACTGTTCACGTCCTTAAAACATGTGCAATAGGCTTAAACTTGTTGACGCTTGAAATATGATTACTGGTTTGGTGTGCTCACTATACTCTGATTTCAACCACCCTAAGGCTGGTCTTTGCCATCATTCTAGAGCAGATTTCTCCATTGTTATTCAATGTGACATTTCAGATCCTGGCAGAACAGTAAAGATGACTGCTCCACCGGCATCTGATGAACTTGTTTTCTATGTAAATGGGCAAAAGGTAGGTTTTCAGTTTAAGCTTTATTTGACATTGTTTTGCTTTTCTTTTGAAGGGGAGTGTGTATTTTATCATCCCCAACCTTCTTTTTACAAAACGCAGTCAATTCAGGTTAGAAAAAAAGTATGTTGTGCCATTAGTACAGAATAAAGAATTTAGCATTTTTTGACATTTGTTACTGCTTTAAAATAAAAAGGTAATTTTTTTCTAATGACTATAGACAGGGGGTAAACAGAATTACCATAAACATTAAATGAACCAAGAATGGAAATTGCAAAATGTGGTAAAAATTGAAAACTTTAAAATGTTAGTTTAGTTGTCCACTGCATTCCCATAGTCAACCAAATTCTTCAATTTAAGATCTTTTTAAATCAAACTGGAAAACCCTCTTAGTGAAACTTTTGACCTGAAACCTTAGCACTGCTGTCATTGTGTATTGGTAAATCCCTGTTGCAAATGTTGTCTTTTATCTTCACTTTACTCACTCTTTTCTTATTAATGCAGATCGTAGAAAAAAATGCAGATCCTGAAGTTATGCTCTTGGGTTACCTCAGAAGAAATTGTATCCTTTTTTGTCTGTTTTATGTTTATATTTCCAAAGCCAAACCGGTAACTGCTCTCTTTCATATAGATACACTTGGGTGTAACAGAACCAGGAACCAGCACCAAGTCCCTAGATACAGTTTGCAACAGAGAAGGTTCAGGCACTCAAAGATATCAAAAAGACAAATTATTTGGAACCCAAATGTCCAGCAGCATTTTGACCAAAACTGTCTTTTCCAAGCTTAAAAAGACCATTTTGGTCAAAATGTTGCTGCAGTCTTACATACTTTTTAAACTTTTTCACTTTATTTTGGCATCTATATTTATTTAAATGTGTGTGCTGGTTTAAAAAAAAAAAAGCAGCATGTCCCGTTGTCTGTCAGATGGCTGAAAAGGATATAAACTCTCCAGGATTATAGTATCAGAATAATACTAGAGTGTCCTGACAATCTGTCTCAAAATGTCCACTCACCCACTGCACATTGACAAAAGGAAACGCTTGTCTGGTCTCACTATCTCTAAGCAGCATTCCAAAGTTTGTCATATAAGAACATATCGTGTATGGTAACAGCATGTTGATCCCAGAAGAAAATCAGTTGGCTATCTTGGAATCTTTTTCTCAGACCTAAAACTTGTCTTTTTATTTTTTTTTTATTTTTTTCCTGCGGTGGGGTTTGTCTGAAATGTACAGATGCATGTAATAAAATGTAAATGTTTCTTTCCTTAACTTCTTGTTCAGTGCGTCTTACAGGAACAAAATATGGATGTGGAGGAGGTGGCTGTGGTGCCTGCACAGTTATGGTGTCAACCGTCCATCCCATCTCCAAGAAGATAATGTATCCTATAGAATAGGAGAATTATACGTTATTGTAATTGGAAAATGGAAGCAAAGTAGTGCCAATGCTAGTAGGCATGTGCATGGGAAAATCTTTCGGTTCGGTTCAGCATTCCGAAATTCGGCAACTTCGGCAATTCGGTAGTTTCAGAACTTTGGGACCCAGCACTTCGGAACTTCGGCAACTTCAGAATTTCGGAACGTCTCTTGCAGCCGCTTGGTAGATAACTCCCTAATTCCCACGGTATTAGGGAGTTATCTACCAAAAGGCTGAAAGACCTAAATTGGTCTTTCAGCCAAATTTATAATACTAAGTAAAAATTACTTAGTATTAGTAAATTGTGCCCCTACTCGCTATACTGCGAGTAGGGGCATGTCTATTTAAAAAAAAAAAAAAAAATGGGTCCTCCCACCTGCGACGCACGAGTGGGGGCTTTTAAACTAAAAGGGGGGGCTATTGCCCCCCCGAACCCCACCCCTGAGCGGTGGGTGGGGGCCCTAAAGTAAAATAATGGGCCTGAGCGGTGGGTGGGGGACCAAAATAAAAAATACCCCCCCGGGTGACTTGGGGTCCCCAAACTCCTAGTAACCCTCCTCCCCAAAAAAATTAACCCCTACCTACCCCCCCTCACCCTAAAAATAATGAGGGGGGACCATTTAACTAAACCCCTGGAAAAAACAAACAAAAAACTTACCATTTGATGTTTTCGTTCTTCTAAAATCTTCTTTTTTTAGCCCCAAAAAAGGCCAAGTAAAAAGCCATAATAACCGACGCACTAAAAAAAATTCCATCTTCACCCAGTGAGGGCTCCACGCAGACTGAGCTCTGCAGGGTGGGGGAAGGCTTAGAAGCCTTGCCCCGCCCTGCAATTTGGCTCAGAGCACTCTGATTGGTGGGTTTAAGTCATCCAATCAGAGTGCTCTGACAGGTAAATGAAGAGACTGACAGGTAAGTCTCTACATTTTAGTACAAAAAAGATTAGGTGTACACTCAGTATTGGAAATTAATGATAAAAACCACCACTGGTGTGCATAAGGAGCGCTTACAAATTTGTTGACTCGCCCATATGGGTTAACATACATATGTATGGAAAACGTGACTCATAGCGATATATCTGAAACAAATGTAAATGCAAGAAATAGTGCAGATAACGTTTTCAATAAGTGCAGTGAGGGAATATTCTATATGGTCTCACTCACATGTAACAGAGCCCTATAGGATAGGCTCAGATCTCAATGGCCTGCGTGTGCTTATGGTGACACAGTACCCAATCGGTCCTCTAGGCGTCTGGAGATCCTTATGCATACTTGAGAGAGAGAGCGAGAAAACAAGGGGAAGAGGAGAACCCCTAGTGCGGTCAATCCCAATGTACAGTGTCAAATAGTGCAGAAAAAATAGCTTCTCACCTGATGTGGAGCCCTATACCTGGCTCCTGGTGTGTAGGTGTCTGTGCCTTTAAGGGGGCAACTACCCTTCTTTAAGCAGCAATAATGGAGGGTGGATTCCAAATATAAAACATTTATTAAATAAAGTAGTAAAAACTTACAAATAAAATATGAACAAAATTGTGAGAAATTATAAAATGTGGAATCTTCAATCCTCCAGCCGAAACATGTTTCACTGTACCCAGTTTTTCATGAACAGCTGTACTGTGTTAGTAATGAGAATGCTCCGGTTTCGGAACAAGTCACGTGACACGTCCAATTTGGGATGCGGCACGTGATGCTTCGGGTCACGTGACTTGTTCCGAAACCGGAGCATTCTCATGACTAACACAGTATAGCTGTTCATGAAAAACTGGGTACAGTGAGTGTAATTTTGAGGGCGTGTAATGCCACCTCGTTATTCTTTTATAGTTGCTTTCCTGTGTGGTTGTGTTTTTTGAGGATTTGTGTATTTGTTTAAAAAAATTTTTCCATTTGTCGGGCTGTATTACTAGGTTTAACTTTTTATTTTTATATTTTTTTTTTTTTTTTTTTTCCCCAAGTGGTAGTGAAGGCCGGCAATTGTTGTGGCCTTGTGGATAGAACTTGGGAGTACATTGTTGATATGTGTTTTGTTCTTATGGATTGGAGGGAACAGCATTTTTCAAAGTTAGTCTGTTCACGGCTGCCGTTGAGGGTTAGGGATTTTGATTGAATAAAGTGTGTTAGTTGCCTGTATTGATATGTTTGCATAGCCGTGGGGTCAGCTATAAATGCCTGTAAGGGCTTTGTTACTTTTGCCCGACAGTTGTCAAGGCATTCTCTAATGTCAGATATGGCGTTGTATGGAAAGCCTGGAAAGATTTGCCGTCTACTCCCGGCTGGAATAGGGGGTTGTGTGTGAGCGGGTATAGTGGCGATGGGTAAGGCGACATCAGATTATGCGTGCGTGTGGTCGCCCACATGCGAAGGGTCGGTGTGATGGTAGGATGTGGGTTGTGGAGCATTAGTACTTGCCCTGATTTGTGCCAGGGTATCGTGTAAATAGGTACTCTGAAAAAGGTGTCTTCTAAGTTCACCCATTGTTTCCCGGATTGTGGAAGGGACCAGTCGTATATCCTGGATAGCAGTATTGCGTTGTGGTATGTTTCAACATCGGGCAGACCCAGGCCGCCCCTGTCTTTTGGTTTTGTGAGTAATGAGTACGATATTCGTGGAGGTTTGTGAGCCCAGATAAATGTGGTGAGTGTTTTTCGGACTGTAGTGAACCAGGACTTGGGAATAGTTATAGGGAGCACTTGTAGTATGTATAGTATTCTGGGTAGGACGTTCATCTTTAGGATGTTCGTCCTACAGAACCACCCAAAGTGTGGTTTGTTCCATGTGGTGAGGTCTTGCGTTATGGCCCTTGTCAGTTCGGGGAAGTTGTTCTCGAATAATTGGGAAAGGTTCCTGGTGATGTTGATTCCCAAGTATTTGATACTGTGTGTTGCCCATGTGAATTGGTGGTCCCTGCGCAGGGCATCTTTCTCTCGTGATTCAATGTGTATCGGGAGGATCTCACATTTGCTAATGTTGGCTTTAAAATTGGAAAGTGTACTGTAGGTAGCCATTTCTGACATCAGGTGGGGTATTGATGCTACCGGATCTGCCAGGGTGAAAAGCACATCATCGGCAAATGCCGCTATTTTGTGCTCCTCCGTCCCCGCCCGGATGCCCTTGATGTTAGTGTTGTCCCGGATCCCCTGCAAAAAGGGTTCCAAAACAAGAACAAAGAGGAGCGGGGAGAGGGGGCACCCCTGTCTGGTGCCGTTGGAGATTACTACCGGGTCAGTGAGTTGTCCATTTATACGGACATTGGCGGTTGGGCATGAATAGATCGCAGAAATCCATTTTTGCCAGTGTGGCCCAAATCCTAAGTGTTTAAGCGTCTGTAGCATCAGGGTCCAGTCTACTCTGTCAAACGCTTTCTCAGCATCAATTGACAGGAGCAGATTGGGGTGCCCGGCTCGTGTGGCGTGGTGCATGAGGTTCAAGATCTTGGTGGTGTTGTGCTTGGCTTCTCTGCCCGGAATAAAACCGGATTGGTCTGCGTGTACTAATCCTGGAAGTATCGGGCGCAGTCTGTTGGCTAGGATTTTCGTGAAGATTTTTATGTCCGCATTTATTAAGGAAATGGGCCTGTAGCTGCCGCATTGGGTTAAGTCTTTGCCTGGTTTTGGGAGGAGGGTGATTGTTGCATTAAGGGCCTGGGGTGGGAGCTTGTCTGAGTGTAGCAGCGAGTTGAATGCGTTTACGAAGTGGGGTATGAGTGTCTTCGCGAAGGTTTTGTAATATTTTGCTGTGAACCCGTCTGGCCCTGGGCTTTTCCCATGTGGTAGATGTTTTATTACGTCTGCACATTCGTCCGTGGAGATGGGCTGTTCTAAGGATTCTTTTATGTTGTTTGGGAGGGAGTGGTGTATTCTCTTCTCTAGGAACGCCGTTATGTCCTGTGTCTGGGGGGCCGTATGTCGGAGGTTGTATAGGGTTGAGTAATAGTCGTGGAAGGCCTTTGATATGTCAGTCATTGAATGCGAGAGTTTCCCTTCTTTATTGCGTATTGCCGCTATGAATGTGGGTTCTCATTGTTTTTTTAGGGCATGGGCTAGGAGTTTTCCACATTTTCCTCCTTGGGCATAGTAGAGGCTTTTTGTTTTATCCAGGGCGTGTTTGGTGCGAGTGTTTAGGATGGAATTAAGTTCCGTCCTCTTTTCTAGTAGTCGCGCATATGTGGTGAGGGAGGAGTCTTGTTTGTGCGTGTCTTCTAGTGTTCTAATTTCATTGGTTATTTTAGTTGCCTGTGCTTCTGTTTTTTGTTTTTAGACGCCAGTTGGATGATCGTTCCCCTAATGGAGCTTTTGTGAGCTTCCCACACAATTGGACATGGAGTTCCGCGTTGTGTGTTTTGGTCAAAGTAGTGAGACAGTCCTTCCCTGATTTGAGTTTGTATCTCCGGTTTGTTTAAGAGGATATCATTTAATTTCCATTGAGATCTATTAGGGTGCAGCAATGGGATGGCGATGGTCATTGATATCGGGGCATGGTCAGACCAGGTAATTGTGGCGTACTTGCATGTGTGGACTAGGTGTAGGAACCGGTGAGGGATGAGAAACATGTCAATTCTAGAATAAGTGCCTGATGAATGAGAGTAATACGAGTAGTCGCGTTTTGCTGGGTTGGTGATACGCCAGCTATCATATAATTGGTGCGAGTCTAGGAGTGCCTGGATGCGGGTTCTGGATGAGGCTTGGTATGTTTGAGCCTGGGAGGTGGTATCTAGTGTCCCATCTAAGGAGATGTTAAAGTCGCCTCCTACTATCAATAGGCCCTCCTTAAAGGTATCTAGCTTGTTCAGTATTTTGCGTAGGGTGGGGGTTTGCTTCCTATTAGGGAGATAAATGTTCACCAAGGTGACTGTTGTATTTCCTATCAGTCCTTTAAGAAAGAGGAACCTGCCATTGTCATCTGTGAGTTGGTCTATGTATATGAATGGTAGGTGGGAGGATAGTAGAATCGCTACACCCCTCGATTTGGCTTCCACAAAATTGCTAAAGTAGCCTTTGGAATAGGTTCTGGATTTAAGGGAAGGGGCGGAGTTCTTGCGAAAATGTGTCTCCTGTATAAATACCACATCTGCCTTGTGTCTGATAGTCTGATAGTGCCATGTGTTGTTTTTCTGCTGTGTTAAGACCCCTAGCATTGTGGGAGGTGACCGTGATAGTGACTGGAGCCCCGGATGCTCCCACCCCTGGAGAATTTGTAGACCTGCTCTGTAGGTGCTTATGCTCCATGGTATCTTGAGCCCCTTGTAACAATGGATGATGTATACACTGTGCAATGTATAGTGCCGTTCAGTACACAAATAAAATAAAATCACATAAACAGTGGTAACGTTAACAATTTTAAACTATATACAATTTGCCAGGTCTAATCCTAGCACGGAAGATGGGTACCGTTGTACAACTGTACGTGCAGTCGCTTATGTGCGACTATGGTGACTGGTGTCGGCCTCTGAGATGTCCCTGAGTCTGCAGAAGGCCAGCTTGTCGTGACGCCGTTATATTTAGATCAGCGTAGGGTGGGGTGAGTGGGTACAGTATTTAAGAGTGGTATCTGGTCCGTTGTGGTGTTTAGATATTTGTCGTAGTGTACTTTGTAAGCCCTGAGGCTGAAAACGTATAAGCTTATACTAGTGTAGTGGAGTATTGGTGCTGTGTAGTGGGGCCTATGGGGGGGGGTACCTTTGTCCCAGAGGACGGCCTAAGTGGTTGGAAGTATTGTCTCAAGAGATGACGTACATTTTTTTTTTTCTCCTCTCTGTCTTTCCTTTACTCTGGTGTGGGTTGTCTCAACAGTTTCCCTATTTGTGTATCTCATTCTGAGGTTTAAGCTGGAAATGCTCTACCGGGTGGTCGTACTGTGAACACGTGTGTTGTAAATGCACATTTTTTTTTAATTTTTTTTTTTTTTAAAAACACATCATTGAGCATACGACCTGGCGTCCATTATGTCGGGGGTCGCTGTGAGTGGGTATATGAAATTACGTTCTCTTCTTCCGTGTGGTTCCGTATGCTAGTGTTGTCATCTTGGGATGGTGAACTTCCCGTGTTGAAGTGAGTGTTGCCGATCCATCTGGGCCTCTTATGTTCATATGAGTTGGTCGTCTATGGCTCCTCTAGGTCTTCTCTCTCGTAGGTGTTGGGGACTGGCTTGTCCAGTTCTCTGTTTTTTCGCTTGTGATTGCCTTCCCAAATCACGTGGTTTTTTATTGTGGAAGGTTGCCGGGTCCGGCGAGTACCAGTCCATAACTTGGGTTTCGTTCAGGTTCAGAGCCCTTATAAATGGGGCGACATCTTGATGCGTTGCGATTGTGAACACAGATCCTCTAGTGGCGACTGTGAGGGCGAATGGGAAGCCCCATCTGTATTTGATGTTGCGAAGTCGCAGCTGGTCTGTGACAGGTTTTAAGGTTCTTCTCGCCTGTAGGGTGAGCCATGATAGGTCCGGGTATATTTGGATTTCTTGGCCTAGGTATAGCAGTGGGGCGGAGGTGTCCCTTAGAGTTTTCAGGATGTCTTCCTTTAGTGTGAAGTAATGCATGCGGCATATTATGTCTCGTGGCATTTCACCTACCCCACTCTTTGGCCGTAGGGACCTGTGCGCTCTGTCCAAGAGTATTTGTGTGTCTGGCGGACGGCCCAGTATGGAGTTGAAGAGGGTGGTTAGTTGGGCGTGCAGATTTTCATTGTCTGCCTCTTGAAGCCCCCTTATGCAGAGATTATTTCTCCGTCCCCTGTTGTCTAAGTCATCTAGTGACCTTTGCATCATGGAGAGGTGTCTGTCATGGGCATTTACTTTAGTGGTTAGGTCCTGTATTTGTGTCTGAAAAGATCCCCTCTCATCCTCCAGGTCTTGTACCCTGTGTCCTACCTTTTGGATATCAGAGCTGAGGCCCTCCATTTTGTGCTGGAATGTAGCTTCAATTTTCCCCAGCATCTGTGCCAGATCTGCTTTGGAGGGTAGGTTTCTCAATAGCTCCTTGATGTCCACATCTGGTGTGTCTGTGGAGCTCTCTGATGCCGCTGGGCTTTGTGGCTGGGAGCATGGGTAGGCCGCCGCCGGCGCCATGTTGGAGTCCCCATGTTCTGAGACGCGGTCAGCATAATCGCGAAACAGGCAGGTTACCGATCCCGGTTTGCCCGCTGGGGTCTTCCCCGTTGGTGGGTGAGTGGGCTGCTGCTTTTTATTATTTCCCATCGCTGTTGCGTGTCTACGTTAGCTGAGTTTTCAGCCCCGTCGGCTCGGAGCTGAGTTAGTGTGCGGCCATTCCGTCCGGTCGTCGGCCACGCCCCCCAGCATTCTCATTACTAACACAGTACAGCTGTTCATGAAAAAGGACGCCAGCAGATTGGAGGGAGGGAAGTTTGAAGGACCACACAGGAGGAAGTACAAAATATTTAAACAAGTAACAGCAGAAACTATATTACCGATTGAAAAAGCTGTCTGGGTACAGTGAAACATGTTTTGGCTGGAGGATTGAAGATTCCACATTTTATAATTTCTCACAATTTTGTTCATATTTTATTTGTAAGTTTTTACTACTTTATTTAATAAATGTTGTTTTATATTTGGAATCCACCCTCCATTGTTGCTGCTTAAAGAAGGGTAGTTGCCCCCTTAAAGGCACAGACACCTACACACCAGGAGCCAGGTATAGGGCTCCACATCAGGTGAGAAGCTATTTTTTCTGCACTATTTGACACTGTACATTGGGATTGACCGCACTAGGGGTTCTCCTCTTCCCCTTGTTTTCTCTCTCTCTCTCAAGTATGCATAAGGATCTCCAGACGCCTAGAGGACCGATTGGGTACTGTGTCACCATAAGCACACGCAGGCCATTGAGATCTGAGCCTATCCTATAGGTCTCTGTTACATGTGAGTAAGACCATATAGAATATTCCCTCACTGCACTTATTGAAAACGTTATCTGCACTATTTCTTGCATTTACATTTGTTTCAGATATATCGCTATGAGTCACGTTTTCCATACATATGTATGTTAACTAGAGATGTCGCGAACTGCTCGCCTAAGTGTTCGCGAACTGTCCGCCGGCGAACAATAGCGTGTTCGCGTTGGGCGAACATATACGATTTCCGGTCCGCCCCCTATTCGTCATCATTGAGTAAACTTTGACCCGGAACCTCACAGTCAGCAGACACATTCCAGCCAATTAGCAGCAGACCCTCCCTCCCAGGAAGTGTCTGCTGACTGTGAGGTTCCGGGTCAAAGTTTACTCAATGATAACGAATAGGGGGCGGACCGGAAATCGTATATGTTCGCCCAACGCGAACACGCTATTGTTCGCCAGGGGACAGTTCACGAACAGTTCGGCGAGCAGTTCGCAACATCTCTAATGTTAACCCATATGGGTGAGTCAACAAATTTGTAAGCGCTCCATATGCACACCAGTGGTGGTTTTATCATTAATTTCAAATACTGAGTGTACACCTAATCTTTTTTGTACTAATCTATAGGGTAGAGAGTCCCTATTTGTGTGGTAGCTGCTGTCATTCTATTCAATTATTAACTGAAAGCGCCTTGAAAACACACAAATTCTTATTTTTGTGAAGTCTCTACATTTATCTGTCATAGCACTCTGATTGGTTGGCTTGAAATCCACCAATCAGAGTGCTGTCATTTTACACAGCATGGGAAAGTTCTTTGGAATTCTGTGAACAGTGAAGGTGGGAGATACCACGTGGGCAGAGCTTGTGGTCTGCTCCTTTGTTGGGTGCAGGCCACTAGGCACCCCACCTAGTCTGCTACTTCTGAATGACTGACTTCTGGCTGAATAACCTAGGAGCAGTGCTCACACTGAAGTAATGGGGCTGTGAGAGAGCACAGATGGTGCCTTCACCCACCAAAGATGCAGACACCATGCTCCTTCAATATTACAAAGCAATGTGAATGTGGCCATTAGGGAGATATTTTGATCTCCTTTTCAGCCATTGGAGCATCAAGGAAACCCCTTTACGAGCCTGACAAATGCCTACCTTGCTTTATAACTTGTCTACATAGGGATTAGGATAAATTGGGGGACTGGGCAGGCAAGTGGCAGATGAGATTCAATACAGATAAATGAAAAGTAATGTATTTTGAAATAAGAAACCCACACATCACTTATACATTAAATGGGGTAGTTAGGGATTACATTAAATAAAAATTACTTTGGAACAATTATAGATCACAAACTAGGCAATAGTATGCAATGCTGGTCTGTCGTTGCAAAAGGTAGTAGGGTAATTTTGTGTATGGAAAGGTTTTGCTTCACATGATCAAAATAGAATTTTGCTTTTTTACAAATCAATGGAATGAAATATTTGGTGCAATTTTGGGCACAAGTTTTAAAGGATATTGCAGAACTAGAAAAAGTACAGAGCTACAAAACTAGTAAGGGGGATGGAAAATCTTATGACTAAAGGCTACAAAAACTGGAGATATGGTAGCCCTATACATATATACAGGGTTAGTAAACAAATATGTGCTAACCTGTTCATTAGCAGGACTATACAACAAACGAGTTCACACACACTGAATGTGGCAAACCTAGCCACTTCAGACTATTTTGTTTCACTTTAAGGGTTGCCCTAGAAAGACTGGTTTATATATGGTTTGATGTGTTGGTTTAAAATGTGAAAGAGGGAATTCGTATGCTAGTGGCCCGAAAGCTGCTAGCATTCATATGGTAGTTTCACGAACAGTGATTTTAAACACTGTTCATGAAACGATCAAAGTACCGAATGGGAACCCACACACGGGGTCGTGTGGCTCCCATTAACCGATCGCAACAATGTATCTATCGGCTGTTAATTGATTCCCCGGGTGGCTGACGTTTGGCTACCGACCATGTGGCGGCGGCCATCTTGGATTCCCTTTTTGCCCAGCGGTGTTTGGTCGTCAAGTGCCTGGAACTAAAATTGGCTACTCGACGGTGCGAACACCGCTGGACTTCCAGGCCGTTCAGGAGCGCCGCTCTTTCTGTACTTTCCCCCCACTTATGTATTCGTGACTTTTATGAGAAATGTAGGCTAAAGTGTATTTCGTGCAGCGTTCAGCTGATTGTGCTTGGATCTGAGCGGTACTTTCATGAAGTATGCGCTCAGACCCCAGCTATCTGCCGAACGGTCATTCGGTACAGTGGCATGAATAAAATAGAAGTTATGTATTTTTATGTAAAAAGCCAGTTCTGCTGTACTGAGGGATAATCCACTCAACAGGATATTCTAGTGGGAGTATCCTTCTCGTACAGCAATGCATGGTGGGAGAAATGTTCTGTATGTTAAGTCCCCCATGTAGTCCCCTACTATACAACCCCTGTAAAGTCAGTAAGGAAACCCCTTGCATGCGGAACCGCATAAATACTGGAGCTTGTGAATAAAATAGTCAGTTGACTCCCAGAACTGTTTTTCGTCCGGTTACTGGGGGATATTCCCTTCAATTTCAGCGCTTTCCTTGGATTACCTTCTGTACCAGCAGATATATTGGGATTTAATATTGCAGCTCTGCTAAACTGAGATTGTTAGAAAGACTGGGGTTTTTGTTTACAGCAGAGGAAGGGTTCTTTACAGTAACTTACTTTAAAAGTTTGTCTCCTGCTCTGTAAACTGAACTTTAATTACATACAGGAGACTCCTGCAGGATCTGGCAAGCTATTAACAGAGCGTGAAGTAAGGAATTCTAAATTAAACCAAACTTGCAATAAAGGAAGTGTAAACATTAGATGACTCTACAGGAAGTGTTTAGGAAGACTATATTAATCACATGCAGGGAGGTGTGGCTAAGATTGCCAAAAAAGTGATTTAACTTCTAAATGGCAGATAATTGAGCAGTGAGACTTCAGGGGCATATCGTGCAGCGTTCGGCTGATTGTGCTTGGATCTGAGCGGTGAGACTTCAGGGGTATGGTCTAAACACCAAACCTGTGTTATGCAGCTAAAGTTGTATTGGTGATTTTTAGTGTCCCTTTAAGCTACTTCTGTGCTTTTGGACAACCTTCAAAATTGAACATGAGAAAATTCCTTTGAACAAGTAATCTACATACTTAACAAATAACCTAAAGGCTAAGGCTGCCTTTGTTGGCTTTTATATAATGTAGAGCTATAAACAGAAGATTAAAATAAAGTAAAGGGATTAGCTAACATTATTCCTTACCCAACACTGTGTGTGGTGGACATTGAAAAAGCAAACCACAGTAAGCAAACATTGACAAAATACTTCATCCTTTTTTTTCTCTTGCAAGAATCTAAGGTCAAGTGACTAGCATTGTATTAAATCAATTGTGACACACAGGGCATGTCTTGTTTATTGCATAATTAAAACCCTGTTGGGCAAAACTGAGCAAGAAACCTGAATTTCAATCTGCATTATCACCTGGGATCCAAGGGTTGTTTATAAACACTCATTGCCTGACATTAACATACTTTCATGCATTTTGATTTTTAAATTGGTTTTAATAAGTTGGAATTGTTCCAACTTATATAGATGTTTTTACATGTGCATATCACTTATGCAGATATTTCTTGCTGCTTACAATTGAGTTTTACTGAGAATTGAACCATGGTTGGTGCAATCTTTATTCGAAGGATCATATCAACCAATTCACCAGAGCCCTGGCTAGAAGAAAAAAATCCATGTATTTTTTCTACCCAACATGTAATGGGTTGCTTTCTGAATTCCAAACAATCCCCCAATGATTCAGCATGATAGTCATCGTGACTAAGGATTTACTTTCTTGAGGGGTAACCGGTTATCTAAACTAATTTGTACTTTTACTATATATTATATAGTCTGTGACTTGTATTGGTTTGTCTATAACCTGCTTATGTAGATGTTACAGCAGATTTCAGAATTTATACATGGTGTAAAATATCGATATAGATAACCTGTATGTTAACATAATGTTCGCAATACAGGTCTGAACAAAAAACTTGGACTTCTTTTTTTGTGTATGATTAGAGGGAGTAGTCATGTGGAGTAAATCAAAATTGGGGGTTTGTGTGTGTTTTTTCTTTTTAATTTATTTTTTTTTAGCAAGAAATCTAAACATGAAGGTTTTAGGGGTTTTAATACTGTTAAATTTTTGCTGGACTAAAGTCCTGAAAGGTTGACATGCTCTCTTACTGGACCATTAGTTGCATTTTAGAACCTTGGAATCAAATGTTAATAGTCTTAGAGTCCATTTTAATCAGACCTTGATCTGCCTGTTTTTGCTATCCTTCACAATTTTAAAGACACTATCCAGCCACTGCATGCTTGCTCCCGATTTGTTCTCTGAATAATATGGCTGTGACTACGACCGAAGGAATAGGCAACTCGGCCAGGCTACACCCAGTGCAGGTACAATATATAATTGAGCAGCAACACTGTTAAAATCTGTATTTGGCATTTTCATTTTCTTTCTGTTGTGCACCCCCCTTAAATTTGTTACACAAATCATGAGTTGGGGGCTGGGGGGAGGTTAAGCACTTTACATCTGAAAAATTTGAGTTTTTGCTAGATGTAGAAATCTGTGTGAAAGGATGGTAGGGACATATTGCAAATTATTCAGTCAAATAACGAATTACCTGAATAAAAGGTCTAATAAGATTTAACACATAGAACTTGTCATGGAGTTTCAGCTGCATTATCAACCATTTGTTCTTATTTTCTAATTTTTATATATAAATTTCTAATTTCTATATGAACCATTTTAATTGTGTATTTATGCCAACCACAGGAAAGGATAGCCAAAGCCCATGGCTCTCAGTGTGGATTCTGCACCCCTGGAATGGTGATGTCCATGTATGCATTACTAAGGAACCATCCAGAACCCACCATGGACCAAATCATGGATGCTTTGTCTGGTATGCACACATTTTTTTACATTAGATAATCTCTTCTAGTATCTGTGACTGACCGCCTGCCACTCCGACCGGGTGCCTCCATCAGTTGATGCTCCAAGCACTCCACCAGACACCATCCGCACTGTAGTCCCCATGTCCAGCGTTACAGCTTGGCTGGGAACTTGCCGTCCTCCACCCACCCTGGACCCAAGAACAGGATCCAGCTTCCAGTGGGTGAACCTTTACTACTCCAGAGAGCATAGCAGGAACAGATCTTAAAAGAGCTAATGATTATAATCCCAGGAGAGTAATGTGATATAGCAATCCCCAGGGTAGATGCAGCCGTTTCCCCCACACATGAGATGAGTCTCTATGTTGAGGGTAACAGGAACTCCATTTAAATGGTGCCACGCTGACCTTTTATGACAATCCCCATGTAAGGGATATGCCCACATAGACCTTGTTGGGAACAGGGACACAAACCAATAAGAACAGTGATTAAATGCATGACACTCCCACATACAATAAGCCTTCCCCTTTACTTAGGAGATAATGGAGTCGAGCACTATACTAAACTCCATTATCCCCAAATACAAAAACACACATTTCTAAAGTCCTGAAAGTACCCCAAAACACACATCCCTACAAATGTTACATCCCCCGATCACCCTGATGTGGGTGACCAACATATACAAAAATCACCCAGATCAGTTCAGGGGTTCAGAAATTTTATGGCAGTCATATTTCTACTGACCATAGGCATGGTCCCATTGCTGAAAATAGTTCCATAGAATCGCGGCTAAGTGTCCCTGGAGGAGCGACCAGAATGGCAAGGTTTTCATGCCGAAAATAGTTAAAGGGCATTCGCGACTGTAAAATATGGATGGGATTGGTGTTAATGTTGAATCCTCTTAATTTCTTCTTATCTTCAGTTGATTGATATATATACGTCTTTTGTATATATATTCTTGGGCCAAATGCTCGCCACAATAACATATGTCTATATTATTGAAAAGTAGTAATACGCAATCTGACTTACGGTTTCTTCAGGTTTATTCTTTGTTACGGATACATAATAAAACATAATAAATGATGTTACAGGATAATGTACATTCAACAGCAGATGGTAATTGCTGGACTTCTGATGGGAGAGTTACATCGTTGTACAGAGCCAAGCCAAGATTAAGACTGAGAGACCTCGTGTCCCTCTGTTACTATATAGAAGTGCTAATACTAACGTCCGCGTTTACCTCTAGCCATATAAGGACAAGACCCCCGAATCCACATTCCAGAGCTCTCGGACAAAGAAAGCCTTGTGACTTATTGATACCATCTGTTACTTATGTCAATCCACACATCCATATATATAATCAATAGAAACATAGAATATGCAATATTCTACAGCGACTAAGTCCCCCTGAAGTCTATTGGCGGTATTGGTCCATGCAAACATGATGGCCGCCACTACGTGGTCGAATGGTTTCGGGAGTTCAAAGTGCCACTTCGAAACTTCGAACTGTTCCTGGTATGAGTCCACAAGGGCACAAACAGTGTTTTTAAACAAAGTCTATTAGAGGCCATAGTCACAGGGTAAAAGGCTGGCAAATAGGCCAGTGACTAGTTTATGTTCGCCAAAGTATTTGCTTGCATGTTGACTTATTATATAGGGGTTTTTGTGGTTGTGGATCCCTCACCATATAGTTGATTAGGCTGACTGGTATCCAGAATACCTTTTCTTGGATAAATTGTCAAACATCCATCTGACTATCACCACCTGCATTCTCAAAGAATCTTGTTTCTCTGGCAGAGCATATGACTATATAAAAGATGTAATATAATACTAGATTATAAACTGATCAGAGAAGTAATAATAGGGTTATTTTATTTCTTTAGATTGTAAACAACTTTAAATTTTTTTACAAAGGATGAAACTGTTTACCAGAGATCTGGTAATGTTGGTGGCATTTCAACTTTGAGGTTTCATTTTATACTGCATATAGTAAGAAAAAAAAAAAATATATAGTTTGTTTTTTTTTATAATTTTTTTTTTTTTTTTTTTAGGAAACTTGTGTCGCTGTACTGGATACAGACCAATTCTGGATGGATGCAAGACTTTCTCCAAAGTAGGTAGTCTTATGCCACTTTGTTAAAATCTATAGATCTAAAGATACATTTTTTTATTGTTTTTCCAAAATAACTGCTGTCTAAATTGGAAACCTGGGGAACGTTATTTAACTTCTACTTAGAAATAGTGAGTCCCTTTGTGTATATAGAATTTCATATTCTATTTAAATAAGTGCCTATAGTGGATATATCATTACAGCTTAGGTCGCTGCAGAGTAAAGTCTTCTGTAGCCTGAAAATATCAGAATAAATAAATATTTGACCCTATATTCATCCAGGTTTACATTTGGGGTAGATTTAAGAATGGCTGTCTGCAACCTTTAACCCCTTAAGGACACATGACATGTGTGACATGTCATGATTCCCCTTTATTCCAGAAGTTTGGTCCTTAACCCCTTAAGGACACAACTTCTGGAATAAAAGGGAATCATGACTGAATATTTCCGTCATGTGTCCTTAAGGGGTTAAAGACGCCCTTCTTTCCTTCTTCCCCCAGCCCAGACTTTCTGTAGCTGTTCAATGAGACTTCCCAATGGAGTTGAATGAGACATCTTTGCAAGGCAGGTTCTTGGGTTTAGTTTTTCTCCTGCGCAGTTTAATTTGTTTTGTTTACTCCTAATCACCTTTCCATTCTCTCAAAGGACTGCTGTCTAAACAAGAGAGATGAAAATATGATCACAGAAACCGAGGTAAACAGATCCATTTATCAATGCATTTTATTTACAGGCTTTGGAACTTTTACCCTCTGCAATCTGCTAGCATATTTTGCACAATATTATGGCCTGTTTTTTGACTAGTTCTGCAAGGTGCTTACAAACACCTTAATTGTGATAATGGCATCTATTCCACAAGAACAGCCTTAAAGATGTTTTTGAGTTCTATATGCCTGGGGGCCTGTTTTATTAAAAGTACATGCTTTATTTTAGACTTCTGACTGACCCAGATCCTTACTGGTGTTTTATTAACCGCAATTAGGACATCTCAATTATTTGTAAATTAATTATAAGACTATAGGTTAATAGGTTTTGCAACAGGCTCTTTTACTCAACAAGGATTGGGTGAGAATAACTTTCTTCAAGTAATGGATCCCTATTGAACTATAGTAATGTCCAGAAGCAAGTTCTAAATTGTCTTTAAAATGACATAATGTTGCACGGAGGAAGCATTGGGGTCTACAGTGCTATCTATGCCAGCCCCAAAAAGTTATCCTAAAATAAGAATACATTCTAATTGACCATTGATGCCTAAGAAACACTATATGCAACTTGTGCTGAAATCAGTCAATGTAGATACTTGCTACTTGCTCTTTTCTACGAACTCTTGGTATTTATTTGCACCTGGCCTCTTTAACACTTATTTATATAGTTATGTTCAGACCTATTATTGTATCTGCAAATACGTCACTAGAACACGGGGCATGTAATGCACTGTATATCCCATGATGCATTGGCTTGTTAAATCTTCAGGTCACTTTCTAGGAATCTGTTGTATATCCGATAAGCACAACATAGTTAGTTGTCTTGTACCCGAAGCATACAAAGACTTCGGAGTGACCTATTTCTCACGTCATTCCACTGGTCTATATGGTATTCAGTACAGGAGTAAAATAGGGAACTAATGGAAAGATTGTGTATTTTTTTTTTTTTTAAATGAAATAGAAATTCTCAGCTTATTCTTGCTATTTGATTTAAGCAGGGTTCTCTTTACTTTGTATGTATTGTATGTCCGTTACTTGCTTTTCTATAACCCTTTGTATTGTAAAGAATTGAACAATATGTTGGCACCATACAATTTATGCTGAATAAGACGTGTTTTTTTTTTTTTTTTTTTTGGAAAACTTTATCTACATAGAGCTCTCCAATGCTCTTCAATGAGAAGGAATTCTTACCCTTGGATGCAACACAGGAGCTGATATTCCCTCCTGAACTAACAGTAAGTGCTTTAATCAGGGCTTTGGCATTTGGGATCCCCCTAGGACTACTTAACCAGTTTTATTAATAGTGATCAATGGGCATCTATTTTCAATGTTGGGGTAATAAACACCCAAACCTTGCAAGGAATACCATGTGGGTTTATAATGCTTATCACAGGCAGAAATCTCCCCTCTTCCTCAATGTGTACCATTGTAGCTGCTAACAGGGCTCAAGAATAAGAATCCCTTCTGTAAACATCGCTTCTTGTATCTAAATCCTAAATGATGTCTGCATATGTTAGCAGTTAATGTAGTGTTGTTTCCAAATATAAAGTGTTTTCAGTTTTCTATGATATATTGATGCACTACACTTATACAAGTAACTCACATTTATAGAGATTAGCTTTACTCCCATAATCAAGTGGTCATTTTGGTACAGTCTGGCACAGAAATGATTTAACTTTCCCATTATACGTTTTATGGTTAGCTACACACTGAAGAAAGACTACAAAATATTTAGGATTTGTAAGTTTCCCAAATCTAGCCCAATGGGTATGAGCGAACCTGGACAATTGCAGGGCCAGCTCTAAAATATGAAGACGTACTATGGAGTAATCAGGCATGAGTGTATTTGTCATTGAAATGCTACACTTTCTGCCTCAGTGCATGTATTCCATTTGTGTTGCTAAAGTAGCTAATATTAAAAATAAACTCTCCTCAGAGATTTAAGTGTAATTATAAATATGTATTTACCATATCCTCTATGGCAACATTGGGCATTCTGATAGTGACCCACCAAGAGCAACCAGAAAGGACATTGGTGTAATTTCATTAATTGCCAAATTTCGTCATTACCAAAATAGTTGATTAATAATTTTGTGCCTTTTATAGTTGAAACATGCCAAGCCGCAAAAAATGAAAGTTTTCCATGGAGAGAGGACAACTTGGTACATGCCTTCCTCACGTCAAGAACTTTTGGAGCTGAAAGTAAAGTATCCCAAAGCACCACTTGTAGTGGGGAACACAGATGTAGGTAGGTTTGGGAATTTTATTTATTTTTTTATTTTTTTGGATGAAGGAAGGTGAAGTGTTTAACTGATGAATTGCAGGATAATTTGATGGGGAAAAAGATAAACTATTAATGTAATACTGAAAGCTTTCCCCCATTATTGTGCATGGTACATGAAGTTCAAAGGCAAACAATGTTACTCCTGTGCTGAGAATCACACAAGGTTTTTGATTCTCTTTATAGAACCATGATGGCAAACAGATGAACACTAAAACACACTTCAGCCCCTACATTTTTTTTTTCAAAACTCTAACCTTATCTGTGTACCTAAAACTACAATTTATTGAAAACTGGCTGTATAATAATTGCAATCTCTATTCTTCAGGTCTGCAGATGAGAATTAATGGGGTCTTCCATCCAGTAATTATCTCACCTGTCCAAATACAAGAACTCTACAAGGTCTCCTCCAATGATTTTGGTAAGAGAATTATGCTTTTGATCCCCAGGTATGGCAGTCCTTGTATTGGAAGGGGCAAAGGTGACAAAAGAAATGGGACCTCAAATTATCTCTTGGCTATAATAAACTCTAATGAATAATTTACCAGTTTATCTACACTATATGGACAAAAGTATTGGCACACCTGACCACTACACCAACTTAGACTACTTTTGATATTGCATTCTAAATACATACACAAATGTTTTTGGTTACCACTCTTCTGGAAAAGGCATTCCACAAGATTTTGGAGATGTCTGTGAATTTTTGCCCATTCATCCAGTAGAGAATTTGAGGTTGGGCTCTGTTTGATGAGAAGGCCAGATTCTCTGCTACAATTAATCCCAAAGTTTTTCGATCAGGTTGAGGTCAGGACTCCCAGTGCATCCCAGTCTAGATCTTCCACACCAAACTCATCCAGTCATGTCTTTATGGACCTTGCTTTGTACACTGGAGCACAGTCATGCTGGAATAGAAAAGGGCCTTCCCTTAACTGTTCCCACGAAGTTGGAAGCATAGCACTGTCTGCTTAGTATCCTGAAGCATTAACATTTCTCTTCACTTGAAGTAAGGGGCCTAACCCAATCCCTGGGAAAAACAGCCCCATACCATTATCCCTCCATCAAAATGTACAGTTGGTACAAGGCAGTCAAGCAGGTAGCGTTCTCTTGACATCCACCAAAACCTGGCTTGCCCGTTTCACTGCCAATAATGTGATTCGTCACTTCACAGAACATGTATCGACTGGTCCAGAGTTCAGTGGTGGCGTGCTTACACAACGATTTGGCATTGTACTTGATGTGATTGCATGCAGCTGTCTGCCATGGAAACCCATTCTATGAAGCTCCTGCCGAAAAGTTTTTGTGCTGGAATTAATGCAAGTGGATGTTTGGAACCCTTCAGCTATGGAATTGGCAGCATGTTGATTTTTATGCACCGTGGGCCTCAGCACTTGGTGACCTCACTCTGTGACTTTATGTTGTCTTCCGCTTCATGGCTAAGTTGTGGTGTTTCTAAACACTTCCACTTTACAATGCCACTTACAGGTGAGATGTGTCCTAATACTTTTGTCCATGTAGTGTGTAGATATTGACACAGATATGTTTCTGGGAATATCTTTCTAAAGATTAGAAAGTAAACCACAACTAAATGGTGTTACTGTCATGCTTCTAAAGCATTTAATTTAATCTTCCTTAAAAATGTCAGTCTTATGATTGTGTTCTGAGCTGGACAACTGGCAAATCATGGCAATTGAAGATATACGATGCGCTTCCTAAAAGGGCATACAAAAGCTGGAGACTCCAAATTATGTATGTGACAAAGTTTTAGAACATAAAGATATAACAAGTGATGTGTGAGCACTCTGTACTGAGTGAATGCAGAATGTGAAGGAGATCTTCCCCTCATGCTGCAGCTCTTACAGTGATTGGTGTTGGACAGCCCAGCACAAATCAAAGAGGGAGCAAGCAGGGAGACCTTACCAGGGACTTTACAGACCCTCTGGGTCTCCTTGATACTGGGGGAAGGGGGACAATGGCATATTTAATATAACCGTGGATAAGCATGACCATGTTCAGCCCCGCTAATTAAATAAATTTAAAGGGCTATGTATGTTGGTGCGTAGTGTCTCTAAATTGATGTAAATTCCTAATGAAACTGGGTAATAGAAAACTAGACCGCCAGGTGCAGCTCCTCAGACTATGATGACTTAGGACGTTTGTGATGCGGCACAGGAGGAGGCCGAGTAATAGTGATCCTCTAAGGAGAAGGCTGTGAAAAAAGAAGCACGAGGGAAATTTAGCAGACCCGAGCAACGAGACGCCCAAAATACCTACCCTATTCGTGAGATCGAGGGAGAGTTTAAAAACCCATTATGTGAATAAGCCCTTTAGGGGAAGAATTTTTTTTTATTTTTTTTTTTGGTTTAAAGGAAAAGCAATTGATATGTATACTCAGTAAAGCCTGTCAACGGAACACCTCTAAATTTACTTGAAGGATATATGGTTGCGGAAAACTTCCAGTGAAAGGGTGGGCTGTAAACTAAATACAACTGATTACAAGTGATAAAGAGAAGGGAAAGGAAAAAGGTGGTGGGGGGCACTAAATGGGAAGGAAAAGAAGAAAGAAGGGGGGAAAAAATTAACTTGTACATATGTGTAGAAGGACCCTGTAAATAAAGTACCTCCAAAGCTATCTTAAGAGAAGTATCAAAATCGGTGAGCGATCAGATACTGAGGCTAAAACTTTGGCTGGCTTGTCTGGATCATTTCATCGTGGAAGCGAACACTAGAGAGAATCTCTGAATTTAAAACAGGAAAGGAAAGGAAAGAAAAGGGAAAGGAAAAGTAAACGTTCCCACGGAGACTAAAGTAAAAGAGTTGAAAAATTCAGAGAATAACGAAAAGGTAAAAGAAATGGCCTTGAAGAAGGGAAGTGATCCCAAAGGCTCAAAAAAAAGTAAAGAGGAGAAAGAGCAGAGATCAAATAAATCACTACTATCATATTATCCTTCCCCAAGCTCAGAAGGAAAATCAACCTCAAGAAGAAGGTTGAGTTCTCTACCCAAACAAAATTAGTGACACCAAAGAGAAACCTCAATCTCAAGATAAAATAGAAATATTTAGATCAAGCAAGAAAATTCTCAATATATTGTACAAGAAGAGCAAGTGCAAATTACCCAAGAGTTTTTAACAAGTCTATTAGAAGAGCATAGACAAAATAAAAAAAGACTACTGTTATAAAAGTCAAAGCGAAATTAAAGAATTTGAACCGAAATGTTCAATAGAACACTGAAAAATTAGAATCCATGAAATTTGAAATGGAAAAACAAGAAAATAAGAACTTATCCAAAAAAGTACCTGAGCTACAAAATAGCTGATGGGAAAGACCGCTGAAGGAAAAGCAATCTTCGGATAAGGTGTCTCAGAAGATGTAAAAAAATAAGAAATAAAAGGTTCTTTATGATGTTTTCAAAGAAATGGCAGGAGAAGTAGGGGAAAAAGAATCACTCCTAGTTAGAGCCCATAGGCTCCTGAAACATCACAGGCACCTACAAATGCCCCTATGGATATTATAGTTTGTTTTCAAAACAATTTATACAATGCAAAGATCTGGAAAGTGAGATACAAAACGAAGCATAAAATCGGGAAATTCAAAGATCTAAAAATTATGAATTATTTATTTTCACTCTGCAACAAAGGTTAAATCTGAGATCTATTATGGAAGTTCGAACAAGAGAACCTAAAATTCACATGGATATATCCAGGAAAAGTTTTCCTTAACTACAATGAAGAGAGAATCATTATTCATTTTAGACCTTGATCTTTAGATGAAATAAAGGACTGGAAAATAGGCGAGACAGGGACCTCACGCTCCTAAAAAAGAAAGGGGTAGGGCGAGGGAAAGGGGAAGGATAAAGAGAATTGCTGTTGGAGGAACGATCTCTTTAAATTAACTAGGTTCTTTCCGTCTCTGACTTCTTGTCTTTACCCGTCATGCTGCGATTAGTTTCCTGGTGGAGTTAAATAACGAATTTATTTTTGTAAGCAGAACATGAGCCTTATCATATTCATGTTGGAGGTTTTTTTTTTCCTGCTTGTTTTGTAGGAATGTAAGTATAAATTAGATGTAAAATACAAACAAGGGTGGGAAAAATTTTTGGGAAAAAAATAAAATATTTTTAATAGACTATGGTTAAATTTTGTTCTATAAATGCACAAGGTTTAAATTCACCTGTTAAAAGGCACAAATTATTAGATATGTTAAACAAAGAAATATACATTGCACTTATTAAAGAGATGCACTGGTTCTCAACACAAAAATATTATGATAAATATTCAAGGCAAATGTCGTGTTATAACAAAAAAAGTAGAGGCACTTTTGTTTTAATAAGTTAATTGATATCTTTAGAGATTGATAAAGAGGGAAGATACAGTATATTGAATTGTAAAATAGATAATGCACGTAATATGAATGCAGTTTCCTTTTTAAATTTTTTAATGGAAAAGGTAGATAAATTTGCACAAGGTCAATTAATATTGGGGGGGCGATTTCAATTTAATAGGTGATACAAATTTGGACAAAAAATTACCAGAAGGGAGAAGCATAAATAAGAAATTGCTATTAGAAGCAAAAAAAAAAAAAATGGTTAATTTGTGATTTAATCGATATATGGTGAACTATAACCCCAGAAAGAAAAGATTATACATTTTATTCTATACCCTTTAATTCCTACTCTCATATAGACTTATTCTCATCTTCAACCTCTATCTTTTATAAAACTTAAAATTGAAATTTCAATTCCCACTTGGTCAGATCATGTTCCATTATTTCTTGAATTAAAACAGAGTAAAAATAAAGTTAGACAAGAATGGAGACTTAATGAATCCCTTCTTAAACAAAAGTATATCATGGAAAGCTTAAAAAAGAAATTCAAATTTATTTCCATGAAAATAAATTGTCAAATCTCAAAGAGAATTACTTGGTGTGCATTACAGGCGGTAATTAGAGGGCACATAATTAGATTTGGTTCAAATGAGGAAAAAGAAAGTTTACCTATCAAGCAATTATATGTCCAATTATCTCGGTTAGAAAAAGAAAAACAAAGAAAATCCATCTCATAAAATTCTTGAAGAAATTTATAAAATTATAGATCAAATAAAACTTAAAGATGTAGAAATAATGAATTTAAACCTCCTGTGTTTAAAACAAAAATGGTATAGCCAAGGAAATGGGCTAATAGAATGATGTTCAACAAGCTAAAAAATCTAAAGAAAAAATTTAAAATAGACAAAATAACAGAAAACGGGAAGACAATACTGGGCATTTTCTTTTTGGATATTTATAACAAATCATATCATTTAGGTAAAGATTATTTGTCAGAAGCTCTGGGAATTTTTTAAAAAATATTTGGAGAAATTTAATTATTCTGATATATCTTATTATAAAACCTTAAATACTCCAATAACCTTGCAAGAAATTTCAAATGTGATTCAAAATTTAGACACATAAAACACCCGGTCCAGATTGATTTTCTAATATTTTATAAAGTTTTTGAAAAGGATCTGGATATTTGGATCTTTTTAGGGAAATTGGAGAAGGGAAAATGCCAAGATAGATGTTACTAGCAAACAGATCTCCCATCTCGAAGCCTGTTAAAGATAAAACATTAATTAAACATTTTAGACCAATCTCTTATAAATGTAGATACAAAGATATACTCATGGGTGTGGGCAAACCAATTTAAAAAAGGTTATCTACAATTTAATAAATAAAGATCAATCCGGTTTTATCCCAAAAAGAAAAGCAGAGGATCACATAAGAAATATAATGAATAGAATGTTTTTGGCCCATAGTCAAAAAAGATCCCTTCTGACCCGGTCATTGGATGCTGAGAAGGCCTTTGACAGGGTCAGTTGGGTATTTTTAGAAGAAACATTTAAGAAAGTTAATTTTGGGGGAGGCATTTTTCAAATCAAAATTGGTTTTTTGTAAAGATCCGCAAGCCTGTATCTTATGTTCAGGAATAAGATCTCCTTGGTTCAAAATATATAATATAATATAATATAACAAGGGTGCCCTTTAGGGATGTGCATGGGCAAAAAATTTGGTTCGGTTTGGCACTTCCGAAATTCGGGACTTCGGCAATCCCCTAACCTTTATCCCTAGTAGGGGTAGGGTAAGGGTTAGGGTTAGATTCCTGTCGTCATTCCCTTAATTTTCCCTCCTTCTCCTGTTTTGCCACTTTTCAGAAATCCAAAGCACTTTGGCACTTCCGTAGTTCGGCATTTCAATGGTTTGGTAATTCGGCAGCGTCCGAATTGCCAAAATTCATCCAGATTTTAAATTTGGAACGAAACTAATTGCACAGGTCTACTGCCTTTTGGCTCCAATGTTATACGTACTCTCATTGGAACCATTTGCTCAAAAAATTAAGGACAACCAAGGGAAAAAGTGAATTTAAATTATCAATTTTTTTTTTTATTTTTTTACTTTAGAAGATCCAGTATCATGGGTAAGGGAGCTTATGAAGGAGATAAAGGACTTTTCTGAAATATCATTCTATAAATTATTTATAACTGCCAAGTGCTAATGGGAACTATAAAGGAGGGTACTAAAAAAAATCTTCAAGAAACATATAAATTTCAGTGGAAAGAGAAAACAATGCACTGTCTAGGGATAAAATTTGCCTTTTCCAAAAAGGAAATAATTGAATTTAATTATAAATCCTTGTTAAATAAATTAAATGAATAGAAACCATTAAATATGACATACTACCTAAACTTGCGTTTCTTTTCAGACCTATTTCATTAGCAGTTCCTAAAATAGTAATATCTGAATTCTAAAACACATTTAATCAATTCGTCTGGAACTTTAAGAAATCAAGAGTTGCATTCGAAGTTATCTAGAACTGTGAAAGAAGGTGGTTTAGGCCTTCCAAGAATAAAAAAAAATGACTCAATTATGCGATTTTTTTTTATTTTTTTATTTTTTTTATTTTTTTTATATAGTGAAATGGTGCAATCCAAATCAAGCCTCACAATGGTTAGAATTAGCAAATAATGCGTTAAATAAAAAGGATGTGAGAATCATTCTATGGTCAAAAAAAGTAAAGTCTGTAATTACCCTATTTTAAAATATTTAAGTTTTTGTTTGGATAAAAATAAAATCTAAATATTTAGCAATATATGAACTGAAATTATGTGGGTGACGAGAGAATTCTTCTAAGTGATATAAGTTTAAAATTTCCCAAAATGTCAAACTCCCACCAAATTAATTTTATAGTTAAGATTGAAAAGTTATTTGGAAAAGGAGATACTGAGGAACAAAAATATAGTAGCAATATTTCTAGGGCAAATAGAAAATAAGATGAGAAAGACCATGTACAATTTAATCAATCATCAAGAACCATTTTCTGAATTGATGCAAGAAGAATGTGCACAAGAAATGGAAAACTGCTACAAATTTTATGAAACATGTTACACATAATGTAAATCTTTTAGAAATATATTTTAAACTCCTTTTCTGATGGTATTTGACTTTTAAAAAATTAAATAGTCAATATAGCGTAATATGCTGATGTTTTAGTGAGGTAGGTTCTTATTTTCCCCGATGGTGGGAATGTAAAGATATTAAACAGGCATGGAACGCCTCATTGCTCATCCTTTTTAAAATGAGCAGAAATGGAAATCAGATCAAATTTACGGTTAGCTTTGTTTCATAGTGACATAAAGGTGCTAAATAGAGATGAGCAAACCAGAACTGTAAAGTTCGGGTTTGTACCGAACATTACGTTTTTTGACCCCGAACCCGGACATTCTCTTTAGGACACCGGCACTGCCTTACTGTCAGTGAACTTAAAGAACCACTATAGTGCCAGGAAAACATACTCGTTTTCCTGGCACTATATTGCCCTGAGGGTGCCCCCACCCTCAGGGACCCCCTCCCGCCCGGCTCTGGAAAGGGGAAAGGGGTAAAAACTTACCTTTTTCCAGCGCTGGGCGGGGAGCTCTCCTCCTCGATCCTCCTCCATTCCTCCTCCTGGGCTGAATGCGCACGCGCGGCAAGAGCTGCGCGCGCATTCAGCCGGTCGCATAGGAAAGCATTCATAATGCTTTCCTATGGACGCTGGCGTGCTCTCACTGTGAAAATCACGGTGAGAAGCACGCAAGCGCCTCTAGTGGCTGTCAATGAGACAGCCACTAGAGGATTAGGGGGAAGGCTTAACCCATTAATAAACATAGCAGTTTCTCTGAAACTGCTATGTTTATAAAAAAAATGGGTTAACCCTAGCTGGACCTGGCACCCAGACCACTTCATTAAGCTGAAGTTGTCTGGGTGCCTAGAGTGGTCCTTTAATTGCTGACTATTGGCGGTTATATTGTCATTTGACACAAACCATCTGTTAGTTTGGTGGGTGAACGCAAAGAATTAGTGTCAAATAAGGGACCCTGGTCGTGGTGCTGCTGGTGTTGGTGGAGCTCCTGTTGCAGGGAAAGGATGTGGTCGATCTGTGCCAGCTACACGCACAAGTGAAACACCTTCCTCAGGTGCGAGTAGGCGACAGAACCTTCTGCCTTATTTGGTAGGCCCGAATGGTGAGGCCAGAACAAGTACAGGCGATAGTAGATTGGATGGCTGACAGTGCCTCCAGTTCCTTCACATGGTCTCCCACCCGGTCCCCTGCTGAAAGCTCAGAGTTGGCACCTGCAGCCCATGGCATCTGTCTTTCACCTCAGCCCCTTGCAAATCAGCCAAGCAGTCTGAGCCACAAGTCATGCAGCAGTCTCTTATGCTTTTTGATGACTCTGCTGGTGGGGGTTCTGTGGGCCATCCACCTAGCCCTGCCCCAGAAGTGAAAGAGATTGAGTGCACTGATGCACAACCACTTATGTGTCAGGATGTGGACATGCGAGGACCACCGCAGCACGTCTGACGAAACACAGGTGCCAACTGCTGTGGCTTTCTGCAGTGTGCAGACCAGCAAGGAGGGCAGGGTTGAAGAGTGGGTGAAAGATGATGTGGAGGAGATCCCACATGGAATGAAGGTCATGCGAGTGATGTGTCCAGTTTGGAGGAAGAGGCTGTGGTCGCACAGAGGCACCAGCACAGCATAAGAGGGAGCAGGGTGCAAAAGCAGAGCGGCTGTCCCCTAGACAGTACGGTTGCTACTGCCCACCGCACCCAGGGACTGAGCACACCAAAGCCAGCTCCAAGGAGTTCCCTGGCGTGGCAGTTCTTCAGACTATGTGCTGACAACAAGACACGAGTGGTTTGCACGCTGTGCAATCAGAGCCTGAAGCGAGGCATAAACGTTATAAACCTGAGCACATCGTGCATGACCAGGCATCTACATGCAAAGCACGAGCTGCAGTGGAGTAAGCACCTCAAAAACCAAGAAATGTCTCAGGCTCCTCCTGCTTCCTCTTCTGTTGCTGTCTCTGCCTCTTCCTCCACCTCTGGAGTGACAGTGGCACCTGCGAACCAGCAAACAGAGGTTGTGGCAGCAACGCCACCACATCCGCCACCATCCCCAAGCATCTCCACACTGTACCATGGAAGCGTTCAGCTGTCCATCTCCCAAACACTGGAGAGAAAGAAGTACCCCCCTACCCACCCGCAATCCCTGTCCCTGAATGTCAGCACTTCAAAATTCCTGGCCTTTGAAATGCTGTCATTCAGTTCTGGTGGAGACTGACAGTTTTAAAAACATGATGGTGGTGGCTGTCCCACAGTACATGATTCCCAGCCGCCACTACTTTTCCAGGCGAGCCATTCCTTCCCTGCATAACCAATTGGTGGACAAAATCAGGTGTGCACTGCGCAACGCCATCTTTGGCAAGGTCCACATAACCACTGATACGTGGACCCGTAGGCAGGGATGCTATATCTCCCTAACTGCACACTGGGCAAATGTAGTGGCTGCTGGGCCTGAGGCAGATAGCAGTTTGGCGCATGTCCTTCCACCACCGAGGATTGCAGGGCATTTCTCTTTCCCTCCTACTCCGCTTCCTCCTCCTCTACCACCTCTCATCCGGTCAGCGTAACACCTTCACCACCAACTTCAGCACAGCCAGGGGGAAACGACAGCCGGCTGTTCTAAAACTCATATGTTTGTGGGAAACCTCACACCGTGCAAGAGCTGTGGACGGGCATGGAACAGACCGATGAGTGGTTGTTGCCACTGAGCCTCAAGCCCGGCCTAGTGGTGTGCGATAATGGGTGAAATCTCGTAGCAGCTCTGGTCCTAGCCGGTTTCATGCACATCCCTTGCCTGGCGCATGTGCTGAATTTGGTGGTGCAGAAATTCCTGAAAAACTACCCAGATATATCAGAGCTGCTGCAGAAAGTGCGGGCCGTCTGTGCGCGCTTTTAGCGTTCTCACCCTGCTGCTGCTCTCATGTCTGCGCTGCAGTGTAACTTGGGCCTTCCCGCTCACCGCCTCATATGCGACGTGCCCACAAGGTGGAACTCCACCTTGCACATGCTGGAGAGATTGTGTGAGCAGCAGCAGGCGATAGTGGAGTTTCAGCTGCAGCACGCATGGGTCAGTCGCTCTGCAGAACAGCACCACTTCACCACCAATGAGTGGGCCTCCATGCGAGACCTGTGTACCATGTTGTGCTGTTTCGAGTACTCCATCAACATGGCCAGTGCCGCTGACGCCGTTCTCAGCCTTACTATCCCGCTTCTATGTCTCCTTGAAAAAACACTTCGGGCGATGATGGAAGAGGATGTGGCACAGGAGGAAGAGGAGGAGGAAGAGGGGTCATTTCCACGGTTATCAGGCCAGTCATTCACAAGTGGCTTGGAGGGTGGGTTCCTGCACCAGCATAGGCCAGGTAAACAATTGTCCAGCAAGGGCACAGTTCTGGAGGAGGAGGAGGAGAAACCGTGTTCACAGCAGGGTGGCACCCAACGCAGCTCGTGGGCATTACTGGAGCGTGGCTGGGGGGATACGGAGGACACAGACAATACACCTTCCACAGAGGACAGTTGGTCCTTGTCTCTGGGCAGCCTGACACACAAGAGCGACTACATGCTGCAGTGTCTACGCAACGACTGAAGAGTTGCCCACATTCTAACTTTAGCTGATTACTGGGTGGCCACCCTGCTGGATCCCCATTACAAGGACAACGTGCCATCCTTAATTCCCTCACTGGAGCGTGATCGGAAGATGCGCGACTACAAGCACACACTGGTAGACACGCTGCTCAGGGCATTCCCAACTACACGTACTGACTGGGTCTGCCCCATATAACTTCTGGGTCTCCAAATTGGGCACATGGCCTGAGCTTGCCCTTTATGCCTTGGAGGTGTTGGCCTGCCCTGCATCCAGTGTATTGTCTGAACATGTGTTTAGCACAGCAGGGGGTGTTATCACAGACAAGCGCAGCCGCCTGTCCACAGCCAACGTGGACAAGCTCACATTTATTAAAATGAACCAGGCATGGATCCCACCAGACTTGTCTGTACCTTATGCAGAATAGACATTTATACCGGCCTCACCCAGCCATTGTTATACTCAAGTGCACTTGTTTGCTTTTTTTTTTTTTTATATTTCCCAATATTTTGGGGGCTACCCCAATTAAAAAAACAAACCACAAAACAAACCGCGTTGGCTACCTCCTCCGCCTCAACCGCCGCTTCCACCTACACCGCCACGGTCACCGCCTTCTCAACCTCCTACTCCACATCCTCCACCTCCTAGTTCAAGATTATTTTTAATTTTTATGTATTTTATGTTATTTTAAGTGATTTCCCTATCCACATTTGTTTGCAGGGCACTTGTCCTACTCTTACCCCCATTTTACTTTCTTTTGCAGCCTTCTAGCCCTTTCCAGGACATTTTTTAGAGCCATTTTAGTGCCCAAAAATTCAATGGGGTTCGGGTCAAGTTTGAGTCCGAACCCAAACATATAGGTGTCCGCTCATCTCTAATGCTAAATAAAAATGTTACAGACATAGCTATTCACTTATTCCTGGTTTTTAAATTACAACTGGTAAGGAAATGGAAAAGTGGTGCAAAAATAAACTTTGCAGTGTTATTTGAACAAGTGGAATATCATGAGCTAATGGAGAAAGGTTACAGGCAAAACAATGAAACAAATTTGGAAATTCATTTTAAAAAATTGTCGCAATGGTACAAAAAGAGGAAACCATATGGAGTGAAATCATAAAAATATCTTTGGGACTGGCGAAGGATTCAAAAAGATAGAGGAATCAGTCTTGTAAATATTAAGATTGATTAGCCCCAAATGGTCAGACTGAGTATGACAGTTTGTTGTCATCAACAAATTAGATAAAGATTGAGAAGACAAAGAAGGGAGAAGAGACAAGGTAGGAAAGCTATGAGAAAGGTACAGTTAGAAGTCTTCTCTCTCCTTAATGTGCTGTTGTAGGTGTTTTTAAATGTATTGTTAGATTTATAGGTGTAATATTATTAAAGATAGGTATATAAATGAGATCTGAAATAAATCAGAGGCTGTTGTTTGGCATAGTCCAAGAAAAATGTGAGATGATACCCATCTGATATTTATATAAAAAAAAAAAAATAATAATAAAATTAAAAAATAAAACAGAACCGAAATACTGTATATTTGAAGGGTCTATATTCTGTTTTTGTAACGTGGGCATAGTTGTGCTCATGTTGGAAATTAATTCACAAGGTTTAAAAAAAAAAAAAATTATATCTCCTCCTATCACTTATGAGCTTAATTACCACCTATTTCATCAAAAACCAAATATCCTTTTTAAACAGGCATAGTGATGCACTGTATGTAGTTCAGCCAGACAAATCAAAGCAGTACATCAGGGATAGATGACCGTAGAATATTCAATACAATGTACAGACTGCAGCAAATTTACTCTGATGTCTGATCTTTTGTTTTTGCACAACATGGCTTTAATATTAATTTTTTCATTCCCTAGGAATAACTATTGGTGCTGCAGTAAAATTGGCTCAGCTTAAAGAGATCTTATCTGAAAAAATCAATAACTTACCAAATCACAAGACCAAGTCATTCCGTGCACTCACCCAGCATCTGCACACCCTGGCAGGAGAACAGATCAGAAACATGGCTGTAAGTATGTCTCCACCAGGTGGAATAAAACATTCCATCGGTTTCTCACATGGATTAATTTTTAGCCATAAAAATTGAACACACTTGTTTTGTCATAATGAGGAGAGAAACATTAACAGGGTTCTTTCCTTAAGTGAGAATTCAAATTGAAGGCCAGCACAGGTGTCACGGCACACAGAGGATTCGACGTGTCCTGTTCACTCCCTGGATGCCACGTGTCTCTCGGCGTTCCAGGAGTGAGAGACACTTCACCTATTTCCTGGTCGCCGGCTGACTCCACCACTTCGCGACGGTGTGCCATTAGCACAAGGCGTACCACCCCCACACCAATTTTCCTGAACCCCGCGACTGCACCACAGGGGTTATGGGGGAAGGGACACAAACTCTGCCCGTCCGTCGGCGTACCTCTCCTCCGGCGGATGGACCAAGTAATATATGTGCCATGACTCCTACACTGCCCCAGGATTCCCCCAGGCTAACAGAAACCTGTGGGACCCATGCTGGTTTACCTGGAAGCCGTGTGGGGATGAATGGCTTTCAGCTGCAAATGGACATAGCGTCCCGCCCACATAGGGAGGTGTGGACATGTTACCCAAAGGAGCTCTCCACTTTTATAGGCCCTTACACCCCTCCTCATGGATGAGCACCGATTTCCTTTTTCCTAGAGCATTACCTGGAGCATTTGGCACCCGGGTGGATCCTGAGCTTGGCACCCCCTCCCCCCCCAAAAAAATAAATAAATAAAATCACATGTTTTTCTTTCTTTCTTTTTTTTTTTTTTATACAATTTGTAAACTTTGCAAAACCGCTGTCAGCCCCTCATACAAAACCCTTGTCCTGCCCCACCCCTCCTTCAAAACCTCTGTCCTGCCCCTTCTACAAATCCTGTACTGCCCCGTCTACAAAACCCCCGCAACCCCCTTCCAGAAATCCCCTGCTTATCCCCCCTTATAAAGACTCCTGTCCCAATACAAAACCCCCGCCCCTTCTACAAAATCCCTGCAGCCCCACACACTCATTTACAGGCAGACAGTCACACGCGCACACACACAGTTACAGGCAGACAGTTACACGCAGACAGTCTCTCACACACACAGACACACACTCTTACTTACAGACAGTGGGATGGAGGAGGACTGGATTCCCTGAAGTCCTTCTCTCAAGCCTGTGGAGAAGCAGAGATTCCATCTTGCTGCACCTCCTAACAGCAGTGGGTAAGGGCCATATTAAGCCCCGCCCCCAGTGCCTGTTTGGCTCCGCCCCAATTTTGCTTAGCTCCACCCCACTTTTCCTCCGTGCGGCCAGTTTATCAGCTGTTTGCTTGTGTGAGCTGTACTGGCCGCACGGCACCCTAACTACCATGGGGCACTGTGCGGCCACAGCTCACACAGCCCCCTCCACCCAGGGCCGGTGCAAGGATTTTTGCCGCCCTAGGCAAAAGTAAAGTTTGCCGCCCCCCCATGTGACATCACAATGCCCCACCCATATGATTTGCCATGTTAACTAACGCCAGTGCTGCAGTGCCGCCGTGTTTACATTAAAAGGCCTGCAGGGACAGGCTATAGACACCAGAACCACTACATTAAGCTGCAGTGATTCTGGGGACTATAGTGTTTCTTTAATGTGAGGTAAATTAAAGCTTAGTGCCACGAATAATATACTAGATTGCCTACTTACTGTCACGACAGTGACCAAAGTCACAACAATGACCCCTTCACACAGCGTGAAACCCACAGAAAGACGGTTACCGGACCTTAGAATGGCCGGACTAGCGTCTGAGAATAGTCAAGAGAAATAGCCAGAGGTCAAGGGAATACGGAAGACGGGCACACGATTTTCCAAGCCAAGTGACGGGAAACCAGAAAACAGAATAGTCAGAGAGAGTAGCCAAGGGTCAATTACCAGGAAGGACAATAAGAAAAGATAGCACCAGGGGACTTAAACAAGAACCACACTAGGGCATCTGACAAGTGTCATGATAGCCCTTTTATAGTGTGGGTTCTTTGACTTTAATTCCGTAGCCACGCCCCCAAAAAGTCCGGGAGCGTGGCCACGTTTGAATTTTGGCGCCATTTTTGGTCTGACGTCGGCGCGCATGCGCCGCGTCATAAATGTGGGCGTGTTCCGAGCGGCCGGCGTCAGAATCGCTGAGCCGCCCCCCGGAAGGATCGGAGGCGGACCCGGCGCTGCGCGGGACCGGCGGGGAAAGGTAAGCGCTTGTTACAGTACCCCCCCCCCCTTGAGAACCGCCCCCAGGGCGGGTGGAACCGAACCCACAAGAGTGCCGCCTCTCAAATAGACGAATCAGACGAGGGGCGTGAACATCTGATGCATTGACCCACGATCGCTCCTCGGGACCGTACCCTTTCCAATCAAGGAGATACTGTAATCTACCTCTAGAAATCCGGGAATCTAAAATAGATTTAACTTCGTATTCGACATGATCCTCCACTGGTGTGGTAGGAGGAGTGGAGACAATCTGCGTATAACGATTACAAATGAACGGTTTGAGAAGGGAAACATGAAGTGTTAGGAATTTTCATAGTATTCGGTAATCTCAAACTATAACAGACCGGATTAATGCGTTTGAGTATCTGAAACGGGCCTATGAAACGGGGAGCAAATTTCATCGAGGGTACCTTTAATTTTATGTTACGGGTACTTAACCAAACCCTGTCTCCTGCCACAAACGTAGGAGCAGCCCTACGTCGTCTATCCGCATTTTTCTTTTGAATCTGAGTCTTTTGATTTAAGATATGTTTAACCCCTAGCCAAGTGTCTTTCATATTGTGAAGAGTGCTGTCAACACTAGGCACTCCTGTAGATGAAAAAGAACTCGGTAAAGTTGTAGGATTAAACCCATAATTAATAAAAAAGGGACTATGTTGAGTGGATTCGTGTATTAGATTATTATGGGCGAATTCAGCCCATGGAAGTAGTTCCACCCAATCGTCTTGGTGCTCAGTAGTGAAACAGCGGATGTATTGTTCCAGGCATTGATTCATCCTTTCCGTAACCCCATTAGATTGGGGATGATAAGAAGAAGAAAGGTTAAGGACAATACCTAATTGGTCACAAAATGCCCTCCAGAACCGTGAAATGAACTGTGGACCCCTGTCAGATGTAATATCCTGAGGTATGCCATGTAAATGTACTACCTCTTTTATAAATAAGGAGGGTAATTTGATTAGCGGGATGAGATGAGTCGTCTTAGAGAATCTGTCGATTTATAGTCAATACAACCTTATGGTTCCTGGAAGGGGGCAAATCCACTATAAAATCCATGGCAATACTTGTCCAGGGTTTATCGGGAATGGACAATGGCAAAAGGAGGCCTAAAGGACGAGCTTTGGATGATTTCGTGGAAGCACAGACCCTACAAGCAAGAATGAACTCGCGAACGTCCTTGTATGAAGGCCACCAAAACTGTTCTTCAAGTAAAGACTCAGTTTTATGAATACCTGGATGTCCTGCTAATTTGGAGCTGTGTACAAGGAATAAGACCTTTTTTCTATAAGACAGGGGTACGTATAGTTTTCCCTTGGGAATAGTCAATGAGGTCTGATCCTGAAACCTAGATAACTCTTCCATTAACCCTGAAGAGATTTTGGCACGGACTGTTGCGATTATGTGGTTGGATGGGATTATGGAAGAGAGGTGCGTTACTGTAGGTGACAAGTGTTCATATTGACGGGATAAGGCGTCAGCCTTAGTGTTCTTTGATCCTGGTCTGTAAGTTACTATGTAATTGAAACGTGTTAAAAATAAAGACCATCTAATCTGTCTATCTGACATTCTTTTAGTTTCTCCGAAATACGAAAGATTTTTGTGATCCGTAAGGATGGTGATGGGAATGGTAGACCCTTCTAACAGATGGCGCCACTCCTTGAGGGCAGAGATAATAGCCAATAACTCCCTGTCCCCAATGTCATATCTCTTTTCTGTCTCAGTTAATTTCTTAGAAAAAAATCCACAGGGATGCAATGGTTGATCATCAGATGGACGTTGAGACAGTACGGCTCCAATACCGGTTTCTGATGCATCCACCTCTAATATAAATGGACGAGAGGGATTGGGATGCCTCAATACTGGTGCAGAAGAAAAGGCCAATTTAAGTCTCTCAAAAGCTTCTTTGGCCTCGAGATTCCATTTCATAGAATTTCGCCCCTTTTTGGTCATGGCAGTGATAGGTGCAGTGATAGAGGATAAACCCTTAATAAATTTTCTATAATAATTGGCAAACCCTAGAAAGCGTTGGATGGCTTTGAGTCCAACGGGCAGGGGCCAATTAAGGATAGCTTCTAGTTTTTTCTTATCCATTTGAAATCCAGACCCTGAAATTATATAACCCAGAAAATGCACAGTGTCTATATCAAATTGGCATTTTTCTATTTTACAGTAAAGTCCATTTTCTAAGAGTTTAGAAAGAACCAACCTAACGTGAGTATGGTGGTCTTGAATATTCTTGGAGTAGATTAGAATGTCATCTAAGTAGACAATAACAAACATATGTAAATATTCCCTTAAAACATCATTAATGAAGTCTTGAAAGACTGCTGGGGCATTGAAAAACAGATTTACAAAAAAAAAAAAGAGACTGCTGGGGCATTGCATAACCCGAATGGCATGACCCTATACTCGTAGTGACCATAGCGAGTGTTAAAAGCAGTCTTCCATTCATGCCCTTTTTTAATCCTCACTAGATTGTATGCCCCCCTGAGATCCAATTTCGTAAAGATAGTTGCCCCTTTTAATCTATCGAAAAGTTCAGTGATTAGAGGAATAGGATAGGTGTTACGTATAGTTATTTTGTTTAAACCCCGATAATCAATACAGGGCCTTAAGTCCCCTTCCTTCTTGGAAACAAAAAAAAAACCCAGCACCAGCAGGAGAGGAAGATTTGACGATAAACCCCTTTCTTAAGTTTTCCGTGATATATTCCTCTAGTACCTTATTCTCGGTTACCGAGAGGGGATAAACTGTGCCTCTAGGGGGCATAGTGCCGGGTAATAAGTCAATGGGACAGTCATAGGACTGGTGTGGGGGTAATTTTTCTGCCTCTCTTGGTTCAAAAACTGCTTTTAAATCCCAATATTGTCTGGGTATCCAAGTGGTTAAAGGTTCCATAGTAGGTACATTAAGTAGACATACGTGTTTAATAGGGGTAATACATTTTCTGCGGCAAGCCTCACTCCATTTTACAATTTCCTTTTTCTCCCAATCTATAGAAGGGTTATGTTTAGAGAGCCAAGGAAAGCCAAGAATAACCGGGAAGATGGGAGAAGTGACTTGTTGCAGGATAATAACCTCCTTATGCAGGGAACCTACGGACAATACCACTGGAAGAGTCTCTTGTGTGATAAACGGGATAGATAATGGTCTACCATCTATGGCCTCAACGGCCAAGGGTGTTGATCTATTCTGAAATGGGAAAGCATGTTCCTGACCGAATCTATGATCAATAAAATTTTCGGCCGCCCCAGAGTCTATTAAGGCAATGGTTGGCACTTTTTTCTTTTCCCACTCAATAACAATAGGTAGAAGAAGCCTATGATCTTTTTTATCATTAAAGGAGGACATACACATTACACCCAAGGCCTGTCCTCCATGAGGGCTTAGGTGCGGGAGTTTTCCGGCCGGTTAGGACAGGTTGAACGAGAATGTCCCTTTCGGCCACAATATAGGCATAGTCCCTCCCTACGGCGGTATTGTCTTTCATCCTCAGACAAACGCGTGACTCCCAGTTGCATTGGTTCTTGAGGAGCGACTGTTGTTGTCTCGGATGAAGGATAGGTCAACGCTAAGCGTTCTGGCACCCGTCGAGGTCTGTCTCTAGTATTCTGCCTGTGTCTAAGACGCTCATCAATGTGGGAAAGGTATGTGATCAATTCTTCTAGCACATTGGGTAGGTCTCTAGTGGCGACTTCATCTAGGAGTTTATCAGAAAGCCCGTTCATGAATACGTCAATAAATGCTTGTTCATTCCATCTAACTTCGGCCGCATGGGTACGGAATTCTAAAGCGTAATCAACAAGAGAACGAGAACCCTGTCTCATACGTAGCAAGGTTTTGGCAGCGTTAGTTCTCCTCCCTGGAGGATCAAAGGCCCTCCTAAATGCTGCGACAAATTCTACATAGTTAAACACTACCGGGTTATCGTTCTCCCACAGAGGATTTGCCCAAGTCAATGCCCTATCGACCAATAAAGTAATGATATAACCTATCTTTGCCCTATCTGTAGGGTATGCTCTCGGATGGAGTTCAAAATAAATACTGACTTGATTCAAAAAACCTCGGCAGCCTTTAGGATCACCCCCGTAACGGAGAGGGGAGGTAGCATGATTAGGAGTACCCATAGTAACCATTTCCATGGGTTGTTCCTGTGGTCTGAGTACTGGGGTTTGCTCCTCCGGTTGGAGATGGGCAGTACGAGCAAGCAAGGTTTGTACCGCAATAGCGAACTGGTCCATGCGATAGTCCAGTTCTTCAAACCGGTCATCAGATGCCGGTCCGAGAGGGTTAACACCTGCAGGGTCCATGGCCCTAGTGTAATGTCACGACAGTGACCAAAGTCACAACAATGACCCCTTCACACAGCGTGAAACCCACAGAAAGACGGTTACCGGACCTTAGAATGGCCGGACTAGCGTCTGAGAATAGTCAAGAGAAATAGCCAGAGGTCAAGGGAATACGGAAGACGGGCACACGATTATCCAAGCCAAGTGACGGGAAACCAGAAAACAGAATAGTCAGAGAGAGTAGCCAAGGGTCAATTACCAGGAAGGACAATAAGAAAAGATAGCACCAGGGGACTTAAACAAGAACCACACTAGGGCATCTGACAAGTGTCATGATAGCCCTTTTATAGTGTGGGTTCTTTGACTTTAATTCCGTAGCCACGCCCCCAAAAAGTCCGGGAGCGTGGCCATGTTTGAATTTTGGCGCCATTTTTGGTCTGACGTCGGCGCGCATGCGCCGCGTCATAAATGTGGGCGTGTTCCAAGCGGCCGGCGTCAGAATCGCTGAGCCCCCCACCCGGAAGGATCGGAGGCGAACCCGGCGCTGCGCGGGACCGGCGGGGAAAGGTAAGCGCTTGTTACACTTACAACCAGATGAGGATGATGATGGGCTCTAGCTGCAGTCTGGCTCCACTGGTCTGGTGTAGAACAGGCTCTTTGGAGGCGGTTTGTAACTGTGCTCACAAAAATCAATGTTCTGCGAGAACGGGAAGCAGCTCTATTTTTTGGGGGGCCCTTTACAGAGCTCAAGGTCTGGGTCCCAGGGCCCACCTTCATGTTCCACCAATGAGTTTGTTCACAGGGGGTGGAGTGTGTAGGAGATATCCTGATATGTGTGTAAGGAATGCATTGTGTGAAATTGTGTTTGTATGTGTAAGGGCTGCAAGGTGAGTTTCTGTGTATGTACGGGATGCATTGAATGTGTGTAAGGGGTGCATTGTGTGTGTAAGGGATGCATTGTGTGTAACGGGTGCATTGCTTGTGTATGTGTGTCTGTGTGTGTAATGCATTGTGTGTTTTTCTGTGTGCAAGGGGTGCATTGTGTGTATGTGTGTGTGATGAATGTCAATCCCCCCCTCCTCCCAATCTTTTTTTTTCTTGTTCTTTTTTTACTTTTTTCTTTCTTTTCTTTTCTTTTTTTTTTATTTTTTCCTTTTTTTTTCCTTTTTTCCTTTTTTTTATTTTTTCCTTTTTTTTTCCTTTTTTCCTTTTTTCCTTTTTCCCCCTTTTTTCCCTTTTTTCCCTTTTTCCCCCTTTTTTCCCCTTTTTTCCCCTTTTATTTTCTCTTTTTCTTTCTCTTTTTCTTTCTCTTTTTCTTTCTCTTTTTCTTTCTCTTTTTCTTTCTCTTTTTCTTTCTCTTTTTCTTTCTCTTTTTCTTTCTCTCGACTCTTGTCTGTCTGAATTCAACCTTGGTTAACCTCTGCAATGCTGTTGCAACCTTGGTTAACCCCTACAATTCGACTACAACAGGGGTAGGCAACCTTATAGCACCACTGTAGTTGCTTTGTATCGTTGTATTTGTGCATATATAAGCTATTATATTGTATATGTTCTTGAGTAGTTTGTGGTATGAATGTCGGCTGTGTATGGGGGCTAGTTGTGGAATTGTGTGTGTGTGTGTATGGATATATCACAAGGTGTTTTGTAGTGTGTATGTGTGGGGCTCTTTGGGGTGTTGCATGTGGGGTTGTGTGCATGGATATGGATAGTCAGTGGTGTTGAGATTGTTGTGTTGGCTGCTATTCTTGTATGAGGGGAGGGGTATTCTGCAGCTCTATGTATATCTAGCAGTGTGGGTGGCTTCTCTGGGTTCCTGTGGGTACCAGGCTGGCCATATACATGTCAAGGGCAGGAGCTGCGATAGCTGCCGACCAAAGTCTGGGCCCCCAGTGGCCTGCCCCTGAGTCTACCCACATGACCCACCCCTAGATTTAACCACAGGGCCCATCTTCAGTCACAAGGATGAAGTTTGTGTGTACTGAATTTGGTGTGTGTATAGTTGCTGTAGAATGTGTGTAGCGGATGCAAAGTGCATCAGTAAAGTGGATGCAGTGTTTATAGTGGATGCAAATTGTATGTGTGTGTATAGTGGATTTTTGGTGTGTATAGTGAATGCAGTGTGTGTTTGTGTAGTGAATGTAGTGTTTGTGTGTATAGTGAAAGCAGAGTTTGTAATAAATGTAGTGTGTATTTTTGTAGTAGAATTAGTGTGTACATAGTGACTGCAGATTGTGTTTGTAGTGGATGCCGTGTGTGTTTATGTGGTGATGCATTTTGTCTGATGTGTGGTGGATGCAGTTTGTGTGTTTATATGTCAGATGCCGTGTGTAGTGGATGGTGGGTGTGTGTGTGTGTGTGTGCTGGGGGTATTTTATTGCTGTTGAACTTTTAATACATTTTAAAAAAAATTGTTTCCCCCCTCCCTGCCTCTTACCTGTAGTCAGGGAGGAGGGACACTGGATTCCCTGGTGGCCCGGTGGCTCAACTGGGCTGGTTAGACCAGCAAAGAGGGGCTCAGCAGGTTGCATCTTCCCTCTCCGGGCTCTACTTCTGTGCATGCCACGAGCGTTGTCACGGCAACGCTTTTCAGCTGCGGCTTGCGACAGTGCCGGAGAGGAATGTCACTATATGGGCCCCGCCTTGAGTGCCATGCAAAAGCACCTAGTGCCGTAGGTTGCCTACCCCTGTACTACATCAATCAAGCCTTTCATCATTTGCCAAGTGCTGAAACTCTTGTAAAAAACTTTGTCCTTAAAGACTTTTTTTTATTACAATGGAATTGCTTTACCGTTTATACTTGCATTGGGACTTTTGCATTATATTTGTTTTCAAAATAAAACCTTTAATTCAGTGACTGTCCATATAAAATCTCTGCATACCGAGCCCATTCACCCCAAAACCCATGACAACAGGTGAAAGGAAAACATAGCGGGCATTCAATTTCTAATTTAACGTCAAAATATCTGAACTGTAAAAATTCTCACTTTGAATTCTCTTTGATTTCTCACTTTAGTGGATAACCCTGTTAGTCAAACTGCATGAGAAAATGCCAATGGCCCTAAGGGAGACCTACAATTGACATATCTTGTCTTGTTGAGCATTAAAAAGATTATGGTTTCTTGCAGGTCAATCACCTTCCCACGCTTTGTGTTGTGGGCATCTTTTCTAGTCGGTTAGTGTTGGCTTAGTTGTGGTTTCCGAGGAAGAGATGACTTTTTCTGTAATGTCGGTGTAAGGTTGGATATGGATGAATATGGCACATGAGCTGATGCATTTGATGGTCCTTTTTGTAAAAGGTTACTGGACAATGTAAACATGAGCATATCTGTTTATGAATAAATTTCATTAGGTGTAATTTTTCTTTTCTGTGAAGTCCATTTTAAGCTAATGACTTTGTTAAACTTGGAATCCAGAGTAGTTAGAAAGTAAAACACAACCTAGGCACACATGGCTGCCTTGCATCCAAAGAATTAATGGAATTGTCCCTTTCAGTGTATAGGAGGACATATTATCGGCAAACTTTCAATTAGCGATCTGAACCCTGTACTTGCTGCAGCTGGTGCCAAACTGAACATTGCTTCCAAAGGTAACATCATATAAATAATAACCTTGATAGTGTATTTATAAAGTGGGAGTTGTTAAACTTAAATTTCAGCTTTTACGCCAAAATAGAAGAACTCAATCAATAATTAGTTTGGAGCATTTTCCCAAGGTTTGGGTGTTTGGAATTCAAAGTGATCTAAAAAGTTGGGGGAAAAAAACACCTGAAACCATTCATCCTTTAACAAATACCCTTTGGTTTCTTTTAGCAGCTGGACCATTCTGAACGCCTGGTCTCAGAAATATTTCTACACTTCCTTTTCCCATCAGTCCCATTTTAATGACTATATGTAAACATGTTCCACTAGAGTGTGTGTATACAATGTGCTAAATATTCTGGTAAAATTATAAATGTCCTGGTGTTGGAGCCTTCATATTACTTTAGTACTGCACAAAAATGCCCAGTCTCCATCCTAGCTCAGTTGCTCTACATAGAAGTAAAACTGAGATTTAATCGCTAGTCTGTTACTGGTAAAATATACTGCAAACTCAAGAATGAGAAACTCGTATACTTGGGCTTTTTTACATTGCATTTTCACTTCCCAATATTCAATTTATGCAATTTGGACATTTTTCAATCCCCCCCAATCTTTCTCCCCTCTTATATAATGTGGGGAAATCCCACTTCACAGATCTATGAAAGCTGCTTTATATTGTGATGTTTTGTTTTTCCACGTCTGTTTATAGGTTCTGATTGCCAGCGCCTGCTAAACAAATCATTTTTCAACGGTGATGCATCAATAAGATCAGAAGAGGTCTTGCTCTCGGTGTTTATCCCTTATACTCATAAGGTTTGTAGAAAATGACTGGTTCCCTGTTAAACAAGGACTAATCCTTCTACTCGTACATTAAAACTCATATCAAATAGACTGTATGAGCACAGTAGAATCCAGTTTCTGGGAAATACAGTATGTATTCTTATACCTGGAATACCTAGAGCCAGTCAGCAGGAATATTGGGATTGATTGTTTGGAAAATCACTTTTTTGGAAATGCATCTCAAATTCAGTCCCAGTCCCAGGGTCCTTTTTCCAAAATTGATGCAGTCACATCAATTCTAAAATCATGGTCACATTTGCTTAGACATAGTGTAATTTATACTAGGTTGCAATCTGTAATTCAGACCCAAACTAAATCTGCATCCAGACTGACACGTTGCATATGTGTCCCAGTGATACGAAATTGATACAGGTTTGAGCCTATATTCTTGTCTCTAAATTCTTGTCTCTGATCCAGCCTTTGTGGTTTCTGATAACTCTAAAATGCATTTTGCTACTGCTCCTGACCCAGCTAGGTCTTGACATGGAGCATGCTTTCCTGTTGTGTACCAGAGAAAGCCATGTTCCTGACCACTAGTTGTCCCATCTACAGTGTACTAAACCTGGTTTGGTCCCTGACCTTGAGTTTAACCAATTGATTTATATATTATATTCTTTGGTTTTTGCAGTGTTCCCTTGGTCAGAGTGGCCAAGTTTACTGTTTTTAGGGGAGAAATTAGAAGTGATAGAACTACCCTAATTCAAAGGTCCATTAATGCACCTTTCAACCTTTCCCGCTGGACCTTCTGGTAGGTTGTTTGATTGCAACTTGCTGATGTCCCTCTCAGCCTGACCATGGCATTGAGGGAGATTACTGATGCAATTGCAGTTGTCATACTATGTCAGTGGTGTGGACATGTAAGCTAAATAATAACAAATGTATATTTAGTTATCCTAGCACAGATTATAGATGAAATGTTGGGCTCTATAAAGTACAACCATCCTCTTCTTGCATGACCATTGCTTTTTAAATGCTCTTCCACAAAATGATCTTTATACTTCTTGTATTTTTATTTTCCCCAGGATGAGTTTGTGTCCGCTTTCAGACAGGCACCAAGAGAGAGAAATGCATATGCTACAGTAAATGCTGGAATGAGAGTACGTTTTAAAGAAGGCACAGATGTCATCCAGGAAATGGACATTTACTATGGCTGTATCGGTTCTACTACCCTCTCTGCAAACAAGGCAACCAAGGCTCTCATAGGCAGGTAAGAGACACAATCAAGTGACTATCAACCATTTTCTGCCCAGTCATGTATATTTATAAAATTCACACATTTTATATACACACTACGTAAATGAGTTGTGATTTTTTTTTTTTTTTAATCCAATTTGATGTCTAATAATTCAGTGAGAAACTATATAACCTACATTTCAGAATAAAACATTAAGGATAGGATAGGATAGCAAAACTTAAAGACCTACACTTATCAGCCAAAACATTAAAAACCACCTGCCTAATATCATGTAGGCTACCTTCATGCTACCAAAAACACTGTAATGCGTCGAGGTATCGACACAAGATCTCTGAATATGCCCTGTGGTATGTGGCATCAAGACATTAGCAGCAGATCAATTAAGTCCTGCAATTTTGGGTCTTCATGGATCAGAGTTGCTGTTCCAGCACATCACACAGATGTTCAATCAGATTGAGGTCCGAGGAATTTGTGAAGCACGGTGCATTATCCTGCTGAAAAAGGCCACTGCCATCAAGGAACACCATTTCCATTAATCGGTGTATGTGGTCTGACATGTACCACCCAGTGGCAGATCCAGAGTAAGTCCTGTTTAAGAACAGTTTGACAACTTACCTGGGGTCTGCTGGGATATAGGGCATAGGAGCATTGGTATGTGTTAGGGGTGAAGTGTGTAAAAAGTGCAGTGTGTGTGAAAGGTGCAGTGTGTGTGTGTGTAAGGTGCAGTGTGTGTGTGTGTAAGGTGCAGTGTGTGTGTGTGAAAGGTGCAGTGTGTGTGGGGCACTTGGGAGGCTTTTTAATTTTTTTATTTAATAAAATTAATATACTTTATGTCCCCTGTAATGGCACCCCGGGCATAAAGGGGTTAAACACCATTTAGAAGATTTTTCCCTTCCAGAGACACAGGCAGCTACTGTAGACACCAATCCACCGAACCGGAGAAGCATATGAATGCTGTAAACAGCCGAACCGGAACCATTCGAATGCTGTAAACAGTCGAATAGGAAAAACCATACAAATAGGTTTACACTCCTAGCAGTTGAACTGGAACAGCATACAATATATCCCCCCAGGAACGAGACAAGGCTCCATTTTGAGGGTCAAGCAGGAACAGACAGAGATGTGGGTTTATTGTTCTTATATACACATTAGTACCACCCACAGGGTTTTGGAAAACAACCAATAAACACATACAACACACTCAGACACTCCCACACAAAATCCTCCCCTCTATCTGTGATATAATTACCTTACACAATGGGTAATGTAATTATCACAGGCAGAGAAATACAGTTTTTCCACATTATTCATAACTTTAAAAGTATGCATCACATTCAGGTAATTTACATTTACATTTTCAGAATCAGCATACTCCAAATACAAACGTATGTCAAAATCAGCCAAATTGGTCCATTGGTTCAAAAGATAGATCAAAATCCTTTGTGACCAAATGAAGCATGGCTTTTTTGCCCAAAACCAGTTCCACAGAGTCTTCTATCCTGGAGATAATTGAGAAGTAATCCAATTATCTCCAAGGACAGAGGCAAATATCCATTAGCCACATGGTAGCAAAATATAGTAAAATACAATAAAATACACATGGTTACATTTATTACATAAAATACAGACATGCAACATATCCCCAGATAGCTTAGGTCTGAGTGCACATTACTGAATGGCGCTCAGACCACACACATACAGTTCAATTGCCATGGAGCCAAAGTCTTTTATTACACGAATAGGCTCCATGGCAGTGCTATCTGGGTTAAATGAGTTCATTCAGTAAATCCGAGAATCTACCAAAGGCCAGGGCAGAAATACATGAATAGACCTTTCTGCATAGGAAAATAAAGTATTTAAATGCCGGTCCATAGTCAAAAGGCAGCAGGCAGGCAACCAGGCTCCTGCAATGCACAGTGGCGAGATTGGTCTCGTCACATCCCCCTCCCTTCTTACCTTTACTGGGAGGAGGGGGGACATTTCTGGATCCCCGGTGGTTCCAGTGAACTCTAGCCGGCATCCAGGGCTAGAGTTCACTCTCGCAAGATTTGGAGCGTTGCCGTGGTAACGCGAGAGTAGGACCAGGAGGAGCTGCAGGTAAGAGCTCCTGGGTCCTCTCTCCCTCCCTCTCCCTCTCCTGCTAGCTGCCAGCACAGTGCCTGCAGACCGGGGAGGGAGATCTCTGGTCCGCAGGCACATTGCAGGGCTGGCACTTGGATAGTGTTTTGACCCCTTTCTATCATAGTGAGCATTAATTTTTAAAACAAGTAGTAAAGGTACAGTATGGAACAGTAAAGGTAGAGTTACAGTTACCTCTTCTGTGTGATAAAACCAGACAGGCTACCCTTCGCTCCCCTCATGCATCATTGAGCTTTGGGCAACCATGACCCTGAAGCTGGTTCACCAGTTATCCATCCTTGCACCACTTTTGGTAGGTACTAATCACTGCATACTTGTAACGAGAATATACCCCTACACGCAGGATCCAGCTAAACAGAAGCCAATACAGAGGAGAGATAAGTCTACCGGACCTTAGAACGGCCGGACTCGACGTATATGAGAGGAGACAGAGCCAGGAACAAACCGAGGTCAAGGGCACAGAGAGACAGCGTAAACTAGGACAAGCCGGGGTCTGGTACACGGAAAACAGCAAGCCGGCAAACAGTACAGATAAGGATAAAGCGAAAACGAAGTCAGAATACAAAAGCCAAAGTCAATACGAGAAAACACAACTGAACACCACAAGCGCTAAAGGGAACTGAAACAGAAACCACGATAGGGCAACGAGCTAAGGGAAAAAGGTAAGTTTAAATAGCTTTTAAACGAAAGTGATTGGCTCCTGTCACTTCCACACCCCCAAAAGGTAATTGTATAGGGAGTGTGGTATGACAGGAGCCAATGGGAGCCTTTTGGCAATTAGGCTCCCACTGTCTCTTTAAGAGTGCGCCCGAGACTCGCGGCGCGCTCTTAGTTTCAGGCGGGACACGTGACCGCTTCACGCGGTCACTGCCCGCCTTCCATCTAAAGCAGTTGGATGAGCCGCAGGACCGCGCGTGGCTTGAAGAGAGGACCGCGACCGGCCCCCGGTTAAGGTAAGTAACGCTACAATACTGGAAACACCAGACTTGCTTTTTTTTTTTTAGAGATGCTCTGACCCAGTCGTCTATCCATTACTATTTAGCCCTTGTCAAAGTCACTCAGAATGTTTTGCTTGCCCATTTTGTTATTCCAACACATAACATTCAAGAATAGACTGCTGCCCAATATATCCTACCCATTGTCAGTTGCCATTGTAATGATATAGTCAATGTAATTCACTTCAGTTACAACATTAAAACCCACTGACGTGTATAAATGTGTATAAAATATGTTTACCGGAAAGAAGCCTCCAGACAAGCGACTTCAAATTGCTGAAAAATGTATAATAAATGTTAACAGATGATTGATTAGCACTTGTCTAGTATTTAGAAAGTGACAATTTCTGGCAGGAACACAGCTGGCCCATCAGACATGTTTTTGACTGATGCGGTTTTAACTTTCCGTTATCTAGGATTTCAGAAAGCGGAAAGATGGATGGGGGGCAGCAGAGCGATCTGTAGCACAGATTTGGGGGTTAAACCATTCGGAAATGGTTTAACCTCTAAGGGTGAGCCAGAGATTAAGTTATAGTGCCTGGAGTGTTCTTTTAATAAGACTACTTTCTAAGCAGACACATAACATTGTCCTTTGTGATTGCTTCAATGCTTGACAGAAGTTTACTGTAGTTTTATAAATAATTAATTCTCTTTTAAGCCTATCCACACTAATCAAAACCTCTTTATCTGGTAGGCATTGGGATGAGGGAATGCTGAATGAAGCCTTCAAACTTGTCTTGGATGAGATTTCTATCCCTCCCTCTGCTTCAGGAGGAAAGGTGGAATATAAGCGGACATTGACAATCGGCTTTCTCTTTAAATTCTACTTGCAAGTCCAACAGAGCCTTCAGAAACCTGTGAGCATCATTAGTACTATTATCTGACAAAATCCTGTTCGTAAAGTCTAAGCAGACACTAGGTGGCAGATGATTCACAGAAAGAGGTTTGCAGGCATTTTTAAATGTTAAATCTTTTTAGTTCAGATTATAAATCTGATGTGTGCACTACTTTTCATAAGAAAAAAAACTTCTGAACTGCTTGGCTTTGTCTCAGTAAACCCCCTTCCCCACTTTATATATCTCTGCCACATATTTAAGTTGGCGTTTTGAATTATAGACCTGTCAAGTTCACTCTAAGTTTAGAATATTGATGCTGGATCTATAAACATTTTAAAGGCATGTTACCCCTTAAAAAAAAACAAAAAAAAAAACTACTCCATATTGCATGCTATTTGCAGTTATAAATCTCCTGGAGTATCTCCCATTTTGTATTTGGGGGTCATTATTGTGGTATATGGTACCAAATTAACCTTTTTGGGGATTGGCTTTAAACTTAGTGGGACTTTAAGAACCCGTAAAGTCCAACCAAAAAGCGGACGACCATTAGAAATACTTGTATTCAGTATTCTTGGAACTGTAACTCCCCCAACTCTCAGCCAGGCAAAACTTGTCCTAGTGATGGTATATACCAGGCATACACAACCTTTGGCACTCCAGATGTTTTGGACTACATCTCCCTTGTTGCTTTGCCATCATTAATGGTGTAAGAGCATTATGGGGATGTAACCCACAACATCTGTAGTGACAAAGGCTGCTTTTTCCTGGTATATACGGTACACATATCCTTTAAAATGAGCCGTCTTAAATCGTGGCTACAGGGAATCTAACAAGCATGACTGAGTAACATTGGGAATTTCCATCCATTGCATATTGGGTTTCAGGGATATCCCCTAACCCTATAGAATTGTGAAGACCCCACCTCCAACTTTCTGTAGGCAAACTGATTCTGTAGGTTGGCATCACTATCAGCAAAGGGATTTCCCTTGGTTACACAGGACAGAGTGCTTCTGCAGGGAGTATTCAGAAGCCTGTAGGGAGATCAAAATATTAGTCAAGTACTCTGTTCTCAAAAAATTGATTTGTGTGTGATCTCTTATAATCTTGCTAGGTAACTTTCTCAGGAAATGCCACAGAATATCTTGGCATTCTCAGAGACTTTGAGGATGAAGCACCCAAGACAATGCAAATCTTTCAGGTACAGAAGCAAAATCCACAGAAGTGTGTGTAGATGTGTTTGTATTCAAACTTCATTTTAGACATACTGTCTTAATTTGCCTCCTGCAGGAAGTCAGTGCCCAGCAGCCTGCCAATGATCCCATTGGGCGTCCTATAGTACATCTGTCTGGAATTAAGCAAGCCACAGGAGAAGCCGTATATGTGGATGATATTCCGGCGATGGATCGCGAGCTGTTCATTGCATTTATCACCAGTACAAGAGCTCATGCCAAGATATTGTATGTGCTATATGTACACTTACCCAGTTGTACAGGACATAAGATGCACTTAATTGCACTTCTTTCCCCTATAGACCGACTGAAACAAGTGCAAGCAGCAGGGGCATATGTGGCATCTTGAGACCTAGCTAGTGTAGGATTGTAAAGTCTGCATTTTTGTTTTTAACCAGATTTACATTTTTTTTTTTTTCTTTAGATGGCTCTGTAATACTTTGACAAATGAGAGAGCATTTGCCAGAGTAGCAATGAGCAATTGTGATTGGCTGAGTGCCAGTGCCCATTGTAGACATAAAGTAGTATATCTAGAAGGTAGTGTGTAATCTGAGCTTTGCCATACCGTCTGTAGTAGCTGGGTTGTGAGTGTTCAAGTCTCCCAATTCATTTTTAAACTGCTCAAAAATTGTTAAACACTGATCAGAGGAACTGTGTGACAGGGAACGCAATAACTAATTCTATGAGATGAAATAGTTATGGTGCTTACAGCTGGTTAAGGCTATACCGCTTTCAACTGGCAAAGTTTAATTTTTTACAAAACCTACCAACTAGCACCAAGTAATAAAAAAAAAAATTAAAAAAAATAATAATAAAAATAAATATATATTAAATACAAATTACTGCAAAAATGCACTTATAAAAACTTTACAAATTTTTTTCAAGAATGACTTGCTTTGTGGTCAACAATGTGGGAAAATTACACATTTCTAAATCACCAGATTATAAAAAAGCATTTGCTCCTCACGTGAAACTGGTTAACTAATCAGACTGGCAAACTCCATTAGTCATGTGGTCTTTTCAGATCTAGATATCTTTACATCTTACCAATTTTCTTTACGAATTCTACTTACATGTACTATTGTTACATTCTATCACGCAGGGCTTGAAATCTGGGAACCCTATTGTCGGGAGCTGCCACTTGATGTGTAAAAAAAAAAAAAAAACACCAGGAGCTTCACCCACCCGTATAAAGTTCATAATGTTACTAAATTTCTGTGTATTAACTAGTCACTAAGCATTTTGACCGGTTTTAAACAGACCATTTACTTTAAAAGTAATTTATGTATAATCCTCCCCTTTGCATCTCTAGGTCCATCGATGATTCAGAGGCCCTCAAGGTCCCAGGAGTTGTGGACATGGTTAGAGCAAAAGATGTTCCTGGGAAGAATGAGGTAGATGGACAAGGTAGCTTGTTCGCTGAAGACGAGGTACAGTTTCATTTTGTATGCTCCTAACTGTCGTGTCCCATTCACAGAACCTGTAATAGTGCTGTAGGCCTGTGATTTTGTTTTAGTTAATGGAATATCTTTAGATTTTTCGTTTGCATTGGGATTTTGAAGTTTAGTGATATATTAAGCAAAACCTCCATGGCTAGCCTTATGCCTAAGCATGCGTGGGATAGGCATAAGGCTATCCTAACTATAAGATAAGGCTAGGGACTAATGAAAGTATTTGGAAAATTGGGCTGACTAGATGGGCCGAATGGTTCTTATCTGCCGTCACATTCTATGTTTCTATGGCTACATTTTTCCTTGTCTTGATTTCCTAGGATTACCAGAAGCAAAATATTTCCACCAGTGCATGTCCTGTGACTAGATTGCTGCTCTCACTGGAATGAATAGTTATTAATGCTCTATCGCCACATGCTTAACATTAAATTTGTCCATGTGTTGGTGAATGGTGGAATGTTGGGTTTAGGAAAATAGTGGCTTTTAAATGTGTCTTCTTTGTTTCAAAGTAAATAAAGCACCCGTAGTAAACACATGTGAAGATCCCTGGGAGATAGTAAAGTATATATGACATTAGATGGTTATGTCATGCATATATATATATATTTGCTTGTAAATGTTTTATTTATTTTATATTTTTTTAACGTGTACCATCCTCTTAATGGCTACCATGTAGTTGCCATATGAAACCATAAAGGATGCGACTAAGTTCCATGTGCACTAATTCAGGATTTCAGTGTTCAGTAATGTCTTACCTGAGAAACTATTTAAGCTCTTAATTTGTGGCTACAATCAATCGGCTTGTGTAAATCTGTAATTTACTTTATTTTTTTTTTCTGTGCTGTATTGATGTATTTTTCCTGTGGCTGCAGGTTGAATGTGTGGGTCAGATAATCTGTGCAGTAGTGGCAGACACACCCGATCACGCAAGGCGTGCTGCAGCTAAAGTGAAGATTGCCTACGAAGATATAAAACCAGCCATTTTTACCATGGAGGTAATGACACCCATTTACTGCTGTTTTGCTGTTAAGAGGTTGAGCATTGCAAATTTCCTTTACTCAACATGTTGGGATACGTTCAAACAAAGTAATACAGCTTGTAGGAAAAAAAATAGATATTTCTATATTCTGATATGGGGACTATATCCTATCCCATTTCTTAAGTTCAGAAATGCTATTGTTTTCTACATGCAAAAGTTCTTAAAGCTCGCCCATTGAAACCTTTCTGTTATGCAACTGCTGTTACACTATATATTGTGCTTGTCGTCAGGGAAAGTATTCTAAATAAAGATGGCTGATATTTTGCATGGAAATAAAAATGAATAGAAAACGAGGCTAAAACTCTGTTTAGGTGGTACACCCCAACTCCAAACAACTTTGTGTGAGTGCAGCGCTAAAGAAGCTATATAAATAACGTACCCCTCAAAGTTTCAGGGTTTGTTTAATTTACATAAAATAGAAACAAATAATACAAAATAGTATAACACTGTATTCAATGTCTCAGCAAGTAAAATTACAGATACAATGGAAAGTAGATGTGCATCCAACTCTCATTTGTTAGAGCCTTTTGTTGGTATAGGCTCTAAACAAAATGGCCTCTATGCCTTTAAATAGGTGGCAACATCTACCTTCTTCTGAGACCCACTTCTTAGGAGATTTATTTTTCATAAATACATATTATATGAAGAAATCTCCTAAGCAGTGGATCTCAGAAGAAGGTAGACGTTGCCACCTATTTAAAGGCACAAAGGCCATTTTGTTTAGAGAGGACGTGGGCAAACTTGAATCGGGTGGGAGGAGGCACGGAGTAGTTTCCTCTCCGTAATACAGGTGGTGGTTTTGTGACTTGACCAGAGGCTTCAAATGTAAAGATCTGTTTAACCAGATTTATGGTAAACCAGTTTACAAAATCTTTTTAAAATTATGACTGATGTTCCAAAGTCTAACTTACAGATCATGAAGAATGTGCTGTATATAGAAAGTAAAATATAATTTATATAATCCGTAATAGAAGACACATTTGCACATAAATAAACCTGAAAGTTATGTGCGACTTCACCAGCAACCTTTTTGCTCCCAAATCCAATGAAGATGCTGCCAAAAAGTAGAATGGTCCAATGCACCTTATTTAAATGGCATCACTCTGTATTGGTTCAAAATCACAGTGCAGCAACATTCCAACCCTGTTCAGGGTCTTTACCATTCCATGGGTTTTATGGCGCTCTGGTGGAACAGTAAAACTTGCAGTGTACTGGTTTAGCTGTACCAATCTCATGCATCCTAGACAGAGGAAGATGCTGCATTTAAGTTAGTGCAGGCTGGCTACTTTCTACTTTGACATGCCATAGGAGATGCTGACATGGCCCTGCAAACTGGTCCATATTATGAACTGGCCATTGGTGTAGTTATTACCATGGCAGCATGGTAGGCTTCTATTGCAACAGCTAAAAGCAGACCTCTGCATTTGTCATCATTAATTCCCATGTAAAGTCCTTAATGACTGCGGTTTTAGAATCTCTTCTTTTTCAGGATGCCATTAAAAACAAGTCCTACTTTGAACCGGAGAGAAAAATAAAGCGTGGGAATCCAGAGGAAGCATTTAAAACTGCTGATCATATAATTGAAGGTAAGAAGAGCATACAACATTTCTCAATCCACTCTAGAGCACTACATTATAAAGAATTTTATATACTTGTCAAAGAATCATTGAGCTGCATACACAAGGTTGAAAAGACTAAATGTATTCAATTAGTTGTTGTATTAAAGATTGATATTGGGAAGCAAGATTAAATATCCCTTTCATGACCTCCTACATGAAATGGCATATCCTGTATACAAGATCTATATCCTCTTTTTGTGATTAATGGGGTTATTCACTAAATGATAAAATCAGGACTTTGTTCACACTATATAACCAGCCCCTGCGCAGATTTTGCAATTCAGGCCTTGAGCTGGTCTGAATATGTTCCAGAGTTCAGCTGGACTAGACACAACCAGGTTGGAAAGATCAATTACATTTTAATACTAGTTGCAAGAAAGGCCCAATCCCATGTATAACAGGAGGGAGAACTATGCCCCCATTGGCAAAACAGTTCCACACAAAATCTCCCACACTCTACAGTAACTTTAAAAGCATCCTGGCTGAGGTTGATGAGAGAAGAAATACTTGGATAGTAAGGTCTCTTCCATTGATTATTTCACATGGGTTGGAGTCTTTTCTAGTGGCAATAAAGCAATCATTGGCCAGACACCAGTATTAAACATTTAGTAGGTATGGCTCTATAGGGTTAAACATTTAGTAGGTATGCCGCCCCCCATGCATTCTGCTCAATCGAGTTGGTTCTGTATGTTATTTAATCCGGTACTTTGTGTCGGAACCCTCTATAAAGTATAGGATTGCGAAGATTCACAAACACTGATTTAATCCGGATACCAAATTAATTGCTGCCGACCAACACAGCTGACTTAATTCCAACTGGAATTGGTGTTGGTAGATCTGAGAATTGCCATCTGGACAAAATTTTGATGGACACACTCTTACTTTAATGGCACAATGGCATCTTTCAAGACAATTTCTTTTATTCTTGCATCACACCACTGACAACAGCTAGTAAAACATTAGTAAATTGGAACCCGCTTTCTAACCTTTACCTGTAAACCGTACCATTATATTTGTTTTGTAAAACAATGCATTGCTTTCTTGCTTAGTAAATTCACAAATATTGCAGCTGCTAACTTACAGTAAAATCCAGGAACCAGTCAGTGGTGGTTGACGTTTTAAAATGATGCTCTTGACGGAGTCTAGACTCCTTCCCTTGGATTTGACCCACCCCTCTCTGTAAACCCACTTCCTGACCCTTGTATGTCTCCCAATATTTCAAATGGAGAAAGGGAGCACTGTCAATGTTAGGAGTGTGAGAGGGGTGTAGCCTCAGATAGCATTTTTCTGAGAAATCTTTATTTATTTATTTTTAATTATTTTTTTCTTAATTTACATGAAACTGATATCTAAAATCTGCTTGTAGTTGAAGGTCACATTACCGTGAGTATTATTGCTGTTGAGCTTTGTTATACCCAAAAACCATATAGGGCTCCTGGAAAAGAGGGTCATTAGGATAGAGAGAAATGGGGACAGTCTCTCCTACATAAGGACATTCAAAAAGTATGATTTTGCTCTTTGCCCAATTAACTCAATGTTCTCCATTCCTTGCCAATAAGACCTCATATTAAGAACATAAACCTACAAAAATACTGGTTTTAAAAAAATGCAGATCTTTTGATCATTTATTTTAAAAAGTATTGTTGCTTTTTGCTGTGCCTCTCTGTAGAGTTTTACTGTGTATCTGCATTGCCAATGTGTCTCTGTTGTTTGTGAGGACAGTGGTGGCAATTCATAGTAGGATGTCTAGTGCCGTTTTGAGTAAATGGGAATACCAGAGGGAGGTGAAGACAAGCTCCTAATAACACACACCTTATAGTACCCAACACTTTTCTAGTAAAGCCCCTTCTTCTCTGTGCCCCTGCCTTAAAGAAAAAAATCCTCCTCTGCACCAATTTCTTTTAGCATGAGAGGTTTCCTCCCCAGCAGTGCACTCTCCCTTCTCCATGGCAAAATCTCCAGTACCGACCCCCTTCCTTATGACTGATGTTCCATTGATTTTCCCTTAAATTCCAAATGGACTAATCCAAATCTATCCTGTGGAGCCTCTTCAAGCAGATCTAGTGTGTAAGGAATTGGGATATGTGGATTTCGAGGGCAACATTTTTGCCCTCTGCCTGTTATGCACTGAAAGGCTGGTCAATTGTTTCATAATTCAGATAGATGGAGATTAGAGGACATAAGTGTCAAACCATACGGTCCCCTAGCCCAGAGAATGGACTGGAACTACCACAATACTACACTGAGCTATGGATCAGAACTGTTGTATTAAATTGGAGGATATCTAGGGGCTCTAACTTGACATTCTAGCACCTATAGGTTTTCTAACTATAAGGGACAAAGCAAGTGACTGGAGAGACGTGGAAGTACATTATGGAAAAAAATATAAATTATCTAAATGTTCCCGAAAAAGTTTATTTTAATTTTTGTTTTTTTTTCTTTGTTTTGTTTTTTTAACTGCATGTATCTACTTGACCATTTGACAATGATTCTCACATCCATCTAAAAGGGAGCTCTTTTCTGCCTATATTTGTAGGTGTAGTGCAGATTGCTGGTCAGGAACAATTCTACATGGAGACAAACACTGTTCTGGTTGTGCCAAAGGGAGAGGACGACGAGTTTGATATTTATGTATCCACACAGGCTATCGCCACTGCACAGGTCAGTACTTCTACAAAAATAGAATCTTTTAGGTACTTGTGTTTGAAGGTAGTCTTCAACAATACTTGATGGTTGTGTTCTTTACACAACTATATAGGATCAGAAAAACAGACCTGTATTCCTGATCTATAGTGTCAAACACTATCTATCCCTCTCGGCCCGCCTTACCTCCAGTCTGCAGCTTCTGCCTCCTTGGCTGACATCAGAAGTGGGGATCTCAGCCAATCACATTGTTTTGACATAGGAAAGAATTGGATTAGCTGAGATTGTTTATTCTGATTATCTCAGCCAAGGAAGTGGGCCTGGGGTGGAGCTAAATGCCACCCTGGCTAATTGGCATCTCCTCATAGAGATGCAGGGCTGGTGCACTTCCTCCCAGCTCACTCCACGCGGGAGCCCTGCTGAAAAATGACACAAAAAGGTAAGGATAGTATTAGACTAGTGACAGTTGCAGAAGAGGAATCAGTCAGGAGCTATTAACAGTTTAATTGATACGCTTTTATGAAGAAGTGGGTTTTAAACGATTTTTTTGAAGGAGTGGAGACTGGGTGAGCATCTAACGGAGGAGGGAAGCGAGTTCCACAGGAACGGTGCAGCCCTCGCGAAATCTTGAAGGCGAGCATCAGAGGTGGGAGAACGGACAGAAGATAGACTTAAGTCTTTAGCAGGTCGTAATGGCCTAGACGGGACATACTTGTGTATAAGGGAGGATAGATAGGTGGGAGCAGCATTATGTAGAGATTTGAAAGCAAGAACCATAATTTTAAATTGAGCTCTATATTTTATAGGAAGCCAATGTAGGGACTGACAGAAGGATGAGGCATGGGAAGTGCGGGCGGATTACAGTAGTCAAGGCGAGAAAGGACAGTGGAATGGTGGACTTTAGTCGCATCTAGCGTTAAGTAGGGGCGGATGCGCGCAATGTTTTTGAGATGGAAATGACAGGATTTGGCGATAGATTGAACATGAGGCTTGAAGGAGAGGTCTGAGTCAAAGAACACCTAGGCTGCGAGCCTGCGTGTTGGAGCTAATGGTAGCACTGTATGACTCTCTGTCTGTCTGCCTGTCTGTCTATGTGTATGTATGCCATTATGAATGTATGTGTATGTATGCCATTATGAATGTCTGTGTGTATGTGTGTCTGTATCTGTCTGTCACTATGTATGCTTGTGTGTATCTGTATGTATGTGTCTGTCTATTTCAGTATGTGTGTCTGTTAGTATGTATCTGTGTCCTTTTGTATCAGTGTGTATGTTTGTGTGTGTGTATTCCAGTGGGCAGTATTTGGAGGCGGAACCAGTGGGCAGTATTTGGAGGTGGGCCCCAGGGGGCCCAGACCTGAGCTGAGTTAGGGGCTCCAAAATTTCTGGTGGCGGTCCTGAATGTAAATACTGCCTTTTCTCTGAAAAGATAGCGTTTACTGCAAAAAGCCTAAAGGGAATGTTTATACTCACCAGAACCACTATATATTAAGCTGCAGTTGTTCTGGTGACTATAGTGTCTTTAATCACGCAAAGTCTCAGTCGGTAAATTTAATCTCTACATAGAGCAAAATTCTGACTTTTTATTTTTATTTTTTATTGGACGTCTTTCACTGTGTAACTAGTCTAGAACATTACTTTAACTCTTCAAAAGTCATTATTTTTCTGCTGACTTTAACCAATAAACATGTAATATGTAACACAAGCTGGCAAAGTTCATTTGAAACTATAAAGGACATTTATTAAGGAGACCTATGTTATTTTGAGTGTAATGTTCTAAATTGTTAGGCATTCTATTGGTTTCCGTTTTTAGCCATTCAAAATTTCCCCCTATGTTAATGTGTCTTGCTGGTGTGCAGAATGTTGGAACCATGACTATTTTGAAACTCCCAATAAGTTTCCTCCGTGAATATCAAATCGTACTATTGTGCTTTTTAGTGCATGGATAAAGTGGACGGCACATTAAAGTAGTATACTTTCTGAAAGTTGATAAAACACTGAGGAATGTAAGATTTAAAATTGTGCACTAAATGGTACATTTAGTGGCCTGTTTGAGAATAAATACGATTGGTATTGGTGCTAGTATTTTCTCTGTAGCAAATTTGAAAGGTTTTTTTTTCTTTCTTTCTCTCCCAGTTTAATGTGGCTTCCAGTCTTGGTGTTCCGTCTAATAGGATCATGAGTAAAGTAAAACGAGTTGGAGGAGCTTTTGGCGGTAAAATTACGAAGCCAGGGATATTTGCTTCAGCCTCAGCGGTGGCCGCTCAAAAGTGAGTATTAGCAGGGATCCCTTTAGCCAAGCATGGTGAATGAAATGCAGCACCCATTTTTATTTTAGTCACTCTAAAGATTGGCTACCCTTCTACATCCACAGTGCCTGCAGATTTAAATCAATTGAGATGGTCCTATATATTGTGAGATTAGGTTGATGGAGAGCTTTTGAATGGCTTTATTTTAAATCTCTTGGTATTTTTGTATGGGTGGCTTTTTTATGGCTTTATTTTAACAATCCGAACAGAACAAAAAGACCTATTCGATGTGTTCTGACGCGAGGAGAAGACATGCAGATTACGGCAGGTCGGCACCCATTGGTTGGAAAGTACAAGGTGAAATAATCATTTACAGATATCACCATTGTTTTGGACTAATGAAAAGCTAATTTAATTTTGACTTTGTCAAAACGACTGTCCATCTTTCTTTTCAGGTGGGCTGTATGGATGATGGCAAGATTGTTGCTGCCGACCTCTCCTTCTATACCAATGCAGGCTGCACACCCGATGAATCTATATTGGTATCAAATATTATTTGCCTAGAACTACATGTGTTTTTTTTTTCTTCCCTGTCACTTTTCCTCCTTAATACTTTGTATTTATCTTTTATTTTTCTTTCCTGTGTTTACCATCCGCCTGACCCTAGGTTAATGTGGATAATAAACTGTACTTTATACAAGTTTTATCTCAAAACACTCCATTACAACGACTTCCATTCACTGTTTTTATTCCATGTCTGAATTTAAGGTATTGGTGGTGGCTTTAGTAAAGCTGGATAATGGTTACAATTTTCCCAACCTTAATTGCCGTGCATTGGCCTGCAAGACAAATCTGCCATCGAACACCGCTTTCCGAGGCTTTGGCTTTCCACAGACCGGTCTGGTGACAGAGACCATAATGGATGCTGTAGCGACAAAGTGTGGTCTACCTTGTCATAAAGTGAGACCCTGAGTTTATCATATCTAACTTATTTAATTTATTTTCCATTGGCTTGTCTTAAATTTTGCATGTGGGATTTAAAAAAAATAATAATTTTTGTGGGTTTTCCTCCTCTTCAACAAAGTTAATTGCACAAACATTCACCTTCCTGTTAAAAATGAAAACCTCTTTATATGCATGGACTGAGACATCCAGTAATAGGCAGCTAGAGATCTGTTTTGGTCTGGTGGTCTAATCAGGGTCAGAGCTCAGTTAGCAGCTCTGCAGGGTTTACTGCAGGAGTGTCCAAAAAGGTAGATCCCCAGATGCTGTAGAACTACAACTTCTATGATGCCTTGCACGCCTTTAGAATGACAAAGTATCATAGAAGCTGTATTTTTTTTAAATCTGGTGATCTACCTTTTGGGCACCACTCGTTTTCTCATCTAGAATACCTTTTCCAAGCAGTTGGCTGCAGTCTGTTCCACAGATTAAATATGTAATCTATTAACTAGTGCAAGGTTAGTTTCCTGGGTTTACGTACCATAACGTTAATTTGACTAATTTCTGTATCTTCCTGGCAACGCTCTAGGTTGTTTAAGCTTAGATCATCAAACACGGAATCTAGTTTTGTTAATAAACCTTGCAGCCTGCTTGCTTGTAAGGGGAAAAATATAGTGATCTGTCTATTGTGCATTAGTTAAAGGACCACTCTAGGCACCCAGACCACTTCAGCTTAATGAAGTGGTCTGGGTGCCAGGTCCTTCTAGGGTTAACCCATTTTTTTATAAACATAGCAGTTTCAGAGAAACTGCTATGTTTATTAATGGGTTAAGCCTTCCCCCTAATCCTCTAGTGGCTGTCTCATTGACAGCCACTAGAGGCGCTTGCGTGCTTCACCCTGTGATTTTAACAGTGAGAACACACCAGCGTCCATAGGAAAGCATTGTAAATGCTTTCCTATGCGACCGGCTGAATGCGCGCGCAGTTCTTGCTGCGCGTGCGCATTCAGCCAACAGGGCGGAACGGAGGAGGAGAGAAGGAGGAGAGCTCTCCACCCAGCGCTGGAAAAAGGTGAGTTTTTACCCCTTTCCCCTTTCCAGAGCCGGGCAGGACAGGGACCCTGAGGGTGGGGGCACCCTCAGGGCACTATAGTGCCAGGAAAACAAGTGTTTTCCTGGCACTATAGTGGTCCTTTAAGCCTTAGTGTGAATGTGACCCAGATAAAATTCTAAGTCACAAACAGAATTTCATTACGTTCTACAGGTAATTTTTTTTTCAGGTTCTAGGTTCTTTGCTTCTATTTTCAGGTTAGGGAGCAGAACATGTACAGAGGTATGAGCACGACCCATTACAATCAAGAGTTTGATTCCAGCAACCTGATGCGATGTTGGGAGGAGTGCATGAAGAAGTCGTCATATCATGCTAGAAGATCAGAAATCCAGAAATTTAACAAGGAAAATTACTGGAAGAAGAAGGGCATTGCCATTATCCCTCTCAAATTTCCTGTGGGCTTTGTTGAGAAAGCATTTCATCAGGTTGGTATTCATTGGTTGCTACCCACTCACTAACCTAATGTTCTCCCTTCATTTCTAGCCAGGGTATAAAGTTAAGATGTAGTTAGTTAAGATGTTTACCCACTATTTATCTAAATTTTAAAGTATCCACTCACCACATTTCAACATCTTGGTAAAGAAACCGTAGTAAATAATTTATTGCATTTTATTGGCACATACCTCTGAAAAGTGTGGTGGGTATTTTTGTTTTTTGTTTTTTTATTGCACTTTTCTTTCATTCTTTTTTCCCTCCAGGCTGCTTCTTTGGTTCATATTTACCAGGATGGAAATGTTCTGATCAGTCATGGTGGAGTCGAACTGGGTCAAGGTTTGAACACAAAAGTAATTCAGGTAGGACTCTACCTTAATGTAGTCATCTTATAATAGATATTCCAGTACTGGATATTGAATAAAATTGCATACTTCCAGCCTAACAAATTGTCAGCTGATCATAATGAATTTCTCAGATGTTGTTTTTTTTTCCGTTTTTTTTTTCATTTGTTATGTCATCTTAAATTGGCATAACTTTGGCATTGATTTTAATATTTTTAGAAAAGTTTTTTAAATTATATTTATAAATACAATTTTGTATTTTTTCTAAATATTAAAATGTAAAAAATATAGAATATATAACTATATAAAAAATATGAGGGGCGGGGCCTAACTCATGGAAGAGATTCATGTTTTGAGCGAGCTCCTCCAGTAGCTTGCAGTAATTGGCTCTCTGCAACCTCAATTGACTAGACTGGCACAAAGTGTGAAGGGTTTGCTTCCTGAACTATCTGACATATGGTGACGCAGTCAGCGACTTCTCAGGCACTTACTCCAGTGCAGCAAATAAATATACCCTGGTTGAAGAAAGGTGAAGTGCTACCTTTAAAGGCACACCTGCATATCAAGTGAGCCTTTCTTGTTAGGCTCCACTTCATGTGAGTGTACCTATTACAGATGGACTTCCTGCACTACAGGTTTTTTTTCCCTATTTATTGTACAAATACTGTGGGTTGTTTACACTGAAGTGCTTCTTTGCACATTATTATTCCTGCACTTTTGAACTGGCAAATAGTCGGTGTTTACTCACACTAAGAGTTATATTCTAGGGTGATCTATCAGTGATTCCAGAGAGAGCTTAATCTATTGGAGATATGTAGCTAAAGGAAAAACGGTTCCAATGACAATCTCCTTATATCCATCTCTAAACTGTGCCGTTTTTAAGTGAATCTCTGTCAAAAGCAGCATTAACCAAAATAAAGATCATTCTATTTGCCCAGCAACATGTCCATATTTCACCTTCTACAGAGCTCCATAATGGCTGATGTTGTCATCACAGTGACAATGATTATTTTGTAACTATTTAAATGACATCTTTCACGATTGGCTATGAACAAATTCTGAAACTCAAGCACCCTCTAGAGGGCCCAAAACTACAACTGTACTGTAATCTGTTATATAAATACCTTTTTAACATAAAATCCAAAAGCCATTTTTCAAAGATTAAAACCCAAAATAACAACGGTTTGATCTACTTGGCCCCCCCCCCCTCTTTCTTTCCTGTATTCTACTCTGTGGTTGTGTCCTATTTTCCTTGTACAGTCTTAGTGCACAATAATCCACTTTTCATCATATTGCAGTTTCAGGTTACGATCACCAAATATTTATTTAATTCGTATGACAGGTTGCAAGCCGGGAATTGAAGATACCCCTGTCCTACATATATATCTGTGAAGCAAACGTTGCATGTGTTCCAAATTCCATTCCGTCTGGGGGTAGCATTGGAACAGATGTGTATGGTTTGGCTGTGAAGGTAATAAATCGTGCTCTAATTTCTGTAATGATTGCTGGTTAATGGATTGAAATTATAATCCCTATAAAATTGTGACCTAATGATGAATATAAATTGTTTATGGAATATTGAATGTGATACATTTCCTTGATCCTAGTTTAACCAATAGCCATTGACCTCATTAGAATGAGTGCGATAAGTGTTTAGAATACATGTTCAGAGCATCCTTTGAAGAATCAGTGATAAATATCTTTGATTAATTTCCTAAATGAGCATTTTCTTCTAGAATGCTTGCGCGACACTTATGAAAAGTTTGGAACCTGTCATCAAAGAAAATCCAGAAGGCAAATGGGAGGACTGGGTAATCTTTATTCTGCTCTCCTTTATCTTCCCCATCCCACCATTAAGGACCATGGCATATGATGTAAAGGGTTAACCCCCCGGTCCTTAAAAGGCTAACTTACCCTTGTTACGCCTTTGCTGTTCTGTATTTGTTACACACCAGTCTGCAATTGTACAAACTTAAGTGTACAATCTAATTTTACATTTTAATTCCAGGTTATGCAAGCTTACTTGCAAAGAATTAGTCTTTCAGCTACTGGATTTTACAAGTAGGTTATTTTTGAATGGTTTTTCACTGGCTCTGGGGACATGCCTTTACTGTGGAAACAAATTATATATTTTTTTTCTCCCCACCCCCATTTTAGGGGTTATGACACTTACATGGATTGGGACAAAGGAGAAGGTCACGCAGGGCCATATAATATATTTGGAGCAGCATGTTCTGAGATTGAGTTAGACTGCCTGACCGGAGGACACAAGGTAATTAAGATTTATTTATTTCTACTAATTGAGTAGTGACAACCATTTTGTCATATGAAACCTTTTAAAGATGCATACAGTGAGGAAATCATGTTTAAAAAGCAGCCTTTGTAATTAGATTTCCTTAAATATGGGGGGAGAGGGAGTGAAAGTGCATGACTTGCGCAGAACTCTGCATTTAGTGCACTTAACGCTTTAATTTCTTCAATGAGATTTGAAGTATTGGAATGGAAGTAATGCTTGATATTCATAGCTGACTTTCTTGTGACAAACCTGATCATTTTATTAATTTTTTCTGTTTACAATTATTTTTCTATTTCATTCTAGAACCTCCGTACAGATATTGTCATGGATTTTGGACAAAGCATAAATCCAGGAATTGATATTGGTCAGGTTAGTGAGATTAGTGTTTACCGTTTCTACAGAGATCAGTCCCCATAGACCAATGAAGTATTTCCTTGGCATTGCAGTTTTTAAACTGTATTTCTCTGATGGGGTTAGAGTAGCAATTTATTGTACACAACCGTACTTGCATATTGTATCCTAGTCTACATCAAAGGTAAAATAAGAGCAGTAATCTGCACCAACGCGGTGAGTAAATTTAATTGAGTAAATTTAATTACTGTAGAAAAATGTATATCTAGAAATGGTTTTATGTTAGTCTTTGGTACCAAAACTGCACCTTATTGTACTCATTATGGCGAGTAATGAAGGATCCATCCCAGCTTTCTGTCAAACCCCTTGACAAACTGACTCTCCTCACATCCCGTAGCCAATTCCTCTGCAAACATTGTAATACTGAAATTGGACTTCAACATTATCAGTGGAAATCCATCTAACATTGGGCAGAGTTAGTCTGTGAGTACTGGTTGTAAATTAGCCCAGCTTTTATGCTTTGTCCGAAAATTGAGATTCCTAGCACCAGAACCAATGGCAATTTTTTATTTTTTTTTTTTTAAATGTGTACTTGCCTTTTAGTAAATTTGCACAATTTCCTTGTATTTTTAATCTGCGCTTTTTAGATTGAGTTGGTCTACTTGTATACTTATTATAAGAAGAAATAAAGCTGGAATAGCTTAATTTAGCTATTTAGACAAATTATGAAAGCCTATATTTCAAATGCTGACTGTGACAAAGGGATTTAGCAGCTATCGAATGTTAATCTCATTATGGAGGATACTGGGCTCGACATATTTAACTTAAATTGGTAGTCACCAATGAACTTGTAGGGATCATGGATAAACAAGGCTTCAAAGACTTCATTCTGACTTGGCATGTGGGTATAGCGATTCCCTAGAACATTATATGGAATAAGACCTATAACATTGTTTTAACCCCTTAAGGACCAAACTTTTGAAATAAAAGGGAATCTTGACATATCACACATGTCATGTGTCCTTAAGGGGTTAATATACTCGCCACACATTTTGACTTTAAATCTTTTTGGGTTCAGTAGTTAGTTTGCTCAATCCCTGCTATAATGAAAAATAGTTAAACAAATCTAATATAGCCATAACGATTCCCATCCATATGAATCTAATCTGTTATCTAGAATTCTTTACTTTGTTTACATTAGGTCGAAGGTGCTTTTACTCAGGGGGTAGGACTCTATACAATGGAGCAGCTTCATTATTCACCTGAAGGTGTGTTGTACACACGAGGACCCGATCAGTATAAGATACCAGCTGTTTGTGATGTTCCCACTGAATTTAATGTGTCCTTACTGGCCGGTTCCCAAAACCCATATACAATCTACTCATCCAAGGTAATGCATCTCCATATAGACATCTTTTCAATGCAAAATACAACTTTGTTCTCTGTAACAAAAGTAGACAAATGCTGATTTTTTTATTTGGATATATATTTATTTACACATTTCATAGGGTGTCGGGGAACCTGCCTTGTTTCTGGGGTGCTCTGTCTATTTTGCAATAAAAGATGCAATTGATGCGGCTCGAGAGGAACGTGGATTGACAAAGGATTACACTCTAAGCAGCCCACTAGTCCAAGAGAAGGTTCGAATGGCGTGTGCTGACCATTTAACTAAAATGGTATGTGGAAGTTTAATACATTAACCTCTCATTTTGTTAGTCATGAACCTATCCTGCACTTCCTGGATTCCTGGGCAATTATTCTTCTTGGGTTTTGAAGCTTTTAGAAGTAGACACTATCAACAGAACTGCCTCTGTACAAGCCAAATAACTTTTTGGGTGACCAAATTAATAGTTCTCTCCTTAAATAAAAAATAAATTAAAAAAGTTGAAGTATATTGGCCTATTGAAATCAATGATCTGCATTACATATCAGATTTCTGCACTCTGAGTTTCCTTATTGGTTTGTCTTCTCAGATCCCAAAAGATGAGGCTGGAACCTTCACTCCATGGTCTATTGATGTCTCGAGATAGTGAAGACAGTCTGTACTCCTGGTCATATATCTAAAACTGTGTACTCTGTTCCACTTTGGTAGAAAAGTAAGAGGTTTACTGTGTGTTCTGGTTAAGGATTTGGGTGATTAAATACGGGAATAATGTTAAAAAAATTTTTTTATAAACCATTTTGTTATTTTAAGCAAATAAAATCTATATCCTATAAACTCCATGAATGATATTTGCCTTCACTTTTCCCTCTGGATGTGTAGTCCTCGATATACCCAATACCTGTTGAGCTACATGATCTTTTTATAACTGGACCACATACATAATGTGAGAAATAAATAGTTCAAGAATGTAATGAGTTATTCTTCATATGTAGGTGTTGTAGTTGATCAAATTGTGTTTGTACTAAATGTGGGAAGATGGCAAATAATCACAACATCTCTACTTTACCAAGTTTAAATCTGCATTTTGGCCCATTAGTGTAGGTGTATGTGTATCCCAAGCATTATTTTCTGCATTTTAGCATACTGAGGTTGATACCAAAGGTCAATAATCTGGAACACTTACAGGATTGGTTGTCTGACGCTTTAAACCTTGTACAGGGATATTGGTCCCAATCTGGTTTAAAATTCTCAGCAATAAAATGAATGCACAAGATTCCATTTTATTATCAGAGTTAAAAAATGTAGGTTACACTGTTACTGAACTGATCTCAATTTATCCACACAGGTGCATGGTTTTATAATAGTAATATACAATATATAAAATTGGTACAAATACACCAGTGTGCAGGCAGAAAGCACACTTAGTGGGTAATAGGTGAAGATACACAAAAATTACTCTTATTTAGTGTAGTAGATGAAAGGACTCCTCATATGTCCTCAAAACACTATTAGTATACTACCAAAAGGCAATCTACAACACAAAAATAATAGAGACGGACATAGAGTAGTAACGTAATATAATGGGGATTATAGAGGTAAATGATTACACTCACAGACCCAGTTTGATTGAAGGCATATCATAAATGACGATGAACAAACTTCAGGACTTGAGGAACGTCAATAGCATGCATAGGAGGAAGAAGAAAAATAATAGTGCAGAGTATCTTAAATAAGAATCACACAATTTATTACAGGATACACTTACAAAAAGGCAGTATCAAAAAGGCACATCAAGCTCTGCTGGAAATGCAACACAATAGCAGGATCAAATGAACAGGAAAGCCAGATAAGATAAACTTAAAAAAATATACAAATGAATACTCTGTACATAAAACAGGCCCTACGCGTTTCGTTCATAGAAGAACTTCCTCAGGGGCATCTAACCCTATGCAGAGGGTTAGATGCCCCTGAGGAAGTTCTTCTATGAACGAAACGCGTAGGGCCTGTTTTATGTACAGAGTTTTTATTTGTATATTTTTTAAGTTTATTTTATAATAGTAAAACTAAATGTGTAAAATGCATACATTTGTGATGGAACAATCTTCTTTTTATTTATTTTTGCATTCTTACACTTCAACACATGTCGAGCACTCAATATGAATGCAGACACTTCAAACGAGAAGGTGGAGTTTATAGCATTCATTGATATAATATGCTAATTTTCCCCAGATTTCTAGGATTTAATATTCTAGAATTGGCACCAGTGTATTTTCTGTAGTGGTTTGAGGGCTTACTTGAATTCTCTCTACCCATGCAACTGTGATATGCTGTGGCCTAGCAGAGGTTCAATAAATTGCTATGTCTGGGGGAAATAAAAAAAAATCAATCGCACATGGTCGCTCTAATCACTTGAACTTTTTTTAATGGCCATGAATGTGAGGCACTGCTTATATTCATGTATTTGTCATGGAAGACTTGGATATGTATTTTGGCCTTGTTTTAGTGTAACTCATGTTTATCCAAGGCAGTGATTTCTACCTATTCTAATCTTGTGATAGGAGTACAAAAATATGTAATGTGTGTTCTTTGTACAATCTTCCACTGTAAATCGAATAATAATACACTATACTTGTATGGAGGTCTTGGACATCTACTTGTTTTTAATGGTCCACATAATGTTAACCCCTTAAAGGGACACCGTATGCACTGTATCTGCTTCATCTCATTAAACTGGTTATAGTGTCTGGAGTCCCCTGGTGCCATCATTTCTTTCAGCATTAAACAGTTTTTAATGTTGTAATGTTTTAATGCTAAACAAGAGACCACGGCAGTCCATCCCCTCTGTGCTGCTTTGACTAATAAGGAAGTATTACCCTGAGCAGCAATGGGCAGCTGTGATTGGCTGAGAGTGTCAGCTGACTACTTTTAACCTGTCAGAGCTCCAACTGACGGTATGAATTGGTATGACGACAAGGAAGTGTGTAATCGCTGCCTTAGCTACACATACAGAAGGGGCCGGACTGTGGGTGGCCAGGGACTCTTATTTTGTGGCATACTGCACAAACATGGTGCAACACTGAATGGAGGGACAGTGCCAGGGCACTCCAGGCACTATAACCAATTCAAAGAGACAAAGTCGTTATAGTCACTAGTGTCCCTTTAAGGACACAGCTTCAGAAGCTTGACATACCCTTAAGGACACAAGCAATGTTTGCATTGTTTGCTGTTTGTGTTCAAATGCAATTTGCATCACTCTCATTTATTGTGCAAACACATATTATATACCGTTTTTTTAGACAACAAAAAGGGCTTTAATTTGATGTGATCTATACATATATAAATGCTCATTTATTTAAAAAAAATGCAAAATAATGTGGAAAAAACACTTTTTTCCCCCCAAGTTTTGGCAATAATAATGTGTGCATAATATGTCCAGCTTAGGAAAAGTAATTCAAAATCAATTCATTTATGTGTCTTGATTTACAAAGTGCATAATATGTGTAGGATTTCAGTTTATTTTGAAAGTTACAGGTCACAAACTACAAGGTCTAAAATAAAATTTCAATGTGAAACAATTTTAGAAGTTGGTATGTTTGTCTTGGAAGTTTAATACCCATTACAGGAAACAAAATTGCCACACAAAAGTATATATTTCTATAAAGTAGACATCACAGGCTATTTACCTAAGGTTAGTTTGACACTTTTTGCGTAACTATTTCACCGCCAATCTCTGCTAAATATTGGAGTAAAATTGTATTTTTTCTCTATTTTGGCATATACACATATAACAAGGTTTTTGTAATGTGTATTTCGTAAACCTAGTGTGTGCTACCCCTGTACAGAACCCCATATTGTATTCAGCTACATCTGTTGAGTAAAACGATACCCCCATTGTATACCTTTGCCCCTATTCTGTGAAGATACAATGCCATATAGGAGACCATGCTATTTCAGTTTCTATAGTTGGAATTTTCATAGATGGTCATATGTCTGATTTTGTGGCATTAAAGCCATTTGACTGTTCAAATAACCCCACAAAGGCCTAACATTTGAGAAAGCAGACACTTCAGGGTATGTTATTATGCATATATTATACCTTAACTTGCCACCATTTTTCCACCAATTTATTTCAAATTTTGTGGTGAGAATTATTATTATTTTTTTTTTACATACATGTTGCATTTTTGCTGGGTATTTCTTACATGTGATAAGTGCCACTGTCATAAATTTCCCCCTAAGTATGCTCAGTTACCTCTTCTGAGTAAAACAATAAGCTCAATGTATGACCTAGACACTATTTTGTGAAGTTACAATGCTGTGAAAGAGACGTGACGAGTTCAGGTTTTTAAGTGTGAATTTACATGGAGAGTTTTAATGGGTCCGTATTCTATTTTTAAATGTGTTAGCAGGTTGCTTTTTCAAACTACCCCAAAAAGGCATACTATTTCTTAAAGAAGACACCCGAGGGTATTTCAAAAGGCATTTCTGCCAGCTTGTACCAAGTGTAGTGGTAATAAGCATGTTTTCTGCTTTTTTGACACACATAGTGAGTTTGTACCAGGGACGGACTGACAACTCATGGGGCCCCTGGGCAATAAAAGATCATGGGCCCCCCTTGTACAAACCAACTTGCAAACTACTCAAATATACATCAGACACATACACACACACAACCCACATGTTCATCCTTGTGTTACAGATAAGGGCTTTCATGGGCGACAAGGGCTCCAATGGGGGAACAGGCGCTTTAGTGGGATTATAGGGGTTGTAATTGGGGATAGAGAGTAGTGTGGGGCTTGGGCGGTTATGGGCTGTCATGGGGGATAGGGGCAGTAGGGACTGTAGTGGTGCCATAGGGGATGTAGTGGATGGAGAATAGCTGTAGTGGGGTATAGGGGTTGTAATTGGGGATAGTCTGTATTGCCAACGTTAAAGGGACTCTCCAGTGCCAGGAAAACAATCTGTTCTCTTGGCACTGCAGGTCCCCTCTCCTTCCCACCCCTCATCCCAGGTTGCTGGAGGGGTTAAAACCCTTTCAGTGACTTACCTTTATTCAGCGCCGATATCCCTCGGCGCTGGTTCAGGGTCCGCCCACGCTCCTCCCCCGCCTACGCCAGGCGGGAGAGACCTGTTGCGCACGCGCATTAGACCTCCCCATAGGAAAGCATTCAAAGATGCTTTCAAAGCTTTCCTATGGGGATTTCAGCGACGCTGGAGGTCCTCACAGCTGTGCTATAAACCAGGAAGTGCCCTCTAGTGGCTGTCTAGTAGACAGCCACTAGAGGAGGAGTTAACCCTGCAAAGTAAATATTGCAGTTTATGAAAACTGCAATATTTACAGTTGCAGGGTTAAGGGTAGTGGGAGTTGGCACCCAGACCACTCCAATGGGCAGAAGTGGTCTGGGTGCCTGGACTGTCCCTTTAAGGGCTGTCATGGGGGAATAGGGGCTGTAGTGGGGAGACAAGGACAAGGACTCTAATGGGGGAACAGGAGCTGTAGTGAGGTGGTAGGGGCTGAAGCGTTGATATATGGGATGTAGTATAGGAAGAAAGGCTGTAGTGGGTATAAGGTATGTCATTAAGGATAGAGACTGTAGTGTGGGGGTTGGGTGGTTTGGGGCTTCATGTAAGATAGGGGCTGTAGTAAAGGGATAAGATTATAACAGAAAAGCTTCAGTGCAAATGGAGCACTATATTTGTTCTGGTGACTATCGTGTATATTTAAGTTTGCCTCTGATTAAATATTCCCCTGCAATGCTAAAATTAATGTTTTTATATGTGTACCATTTTTTAAGTTGATAATCTGCATTGCTCTCAGTGGTGGAACTAAAATAGAAATTGGCCTGGTCCAAATATTATTTTGAGACCCCCCCTATCGCAAGGATGGAAAAAAGGTACAACTCCCACAATGCTTTGCCAGCTGGGCATCTACCATTTGTCCATCGTTGCAGGGTTGTACTTAGCACTGGGTATGTTTATCTGTGAGCATGTTTTTGAATGCAGTATGTGTGTGAATGTAGGGGTGTATTTGTGTGTAGTGTGTTATGTACTGTTACCATTTTAAAGCAGTGGTTTATTTGTGTGTTGTATTTGCTTTTGAATGTGTGTGTATGTAGTGTTGATGTTTGAATGCAGGGGTATATTTGTGTGAAGTGTTGTAGTTTGAATGCTGAGATGTATACACTGCCACACACACACACACACACACAGAAACACACGGTCACATACAGATACACACACTGACACATATACAAATACACAGGCGCACACACATATACAGATAGAGACACACAAATACATATAGATACAGAGACACACACAAACACATACAGATACACAGAAGCACACTGACACACATACAGATACAAAGACACACAGTGGCGTAACTAAATAGAGAGGGTCCTGGTGCAAGAAAATTCCCCCCCCACCATTGCAAGGATGGACAAAAAGGTAGATTCCCATCTGTCATACAACTAGCACAATACTTTGCAAGCTGGGGATCTACCATTTGCCCATCCTTGCAGGGTTGTATTTAGTACTAAGCAGCATTTGTATGTTGGATTGTAAGTATTTTCTTGTATGGAGTATGTGTGTGTGAATTTAGATGTGTATAATGTTGTGTTGTGTGTTTTTATGTACTGTGTAGTGTTTGATTTTGAATGTAGGGGTGTGTGTGTGTATGTAGTGTTGACGTTTGAATTCAGGGGTGTATTTGTCTGTAGGGTTGGCGTGTGAATGCTGAGATGTATACTAATTTACACATACACATATAAAAAAAAAACACATAACGACACACACTGACACAGATACACACACAGATACACAGGTACAGTCATGCTGATACAGACACACATAGATACACAATAACACATATACCAATATGCAAGCACACACACACTAACACACAGATATAGATAAACACACTAAAAATACATATACACAGCCTTACACATAGACACACAGATAACATTACATAGTAACCACCGCTCCTGCTTTCATACCTTTTTGATGCAGGAGGGTTTTTTCCCTGGTGTCCAGTGGCATCTGGCTGAATGTGATGGGAGTCAGGCTCACCTTCCTTTGGTGCTGCCTCTTGGTCTCCCTCTCTCTCTTCCAGCAGCTTGTATGTAAGAAGGAGACTTCCTCCCAGCAGAGCAGCAATACATAGTTCAGGGGTCCGGACGCACTGAAATAGGGACCCCTGATTTTATTTATTTTTTTATCGTTGCGGCCCGTGCAGGAGGCGCACATCGTCAGTACGCAACATAGCGCACCTCCGCATTCACTATCTCCTCCCCCGGCCCCACCTGTACTTCTGGTAAGTACTCACAGGGCTCGAGGATGGCGCACTTATTGCGTGTCGGACTCGAGCGGCCGGTGTAAAAGTTGTAGCGTGTGGGGGCACCCTTTCTCGGCCGGGCTCTCGGACCACATCCGAAGTGCCCGACCGATCAGTCCGCCACTGGTTTGTACTGTATATTTTGTAAACCTTGTGTGCTACGGCTATATAATACTTCCTATCTTGCTCAGCTATGTTGTCTGAGCACAGCAATACCACCATATGTACCTTTGCTAGGTATATGCGGACATTGAAGAGGCACATTTGAGACACAGCCATTTAAGTTTTTTCAAGCTTTACATTTTTATGCTGTGTACATACCCCACTTTGGAGTTTTTTTTATTATTCCAGCTACCCCATAAAGGCATACCATTTCTTAAAGAAGACACCCTAGGGTATTTCAAAAGATGTGTTTTGAACCTTAGCGTGAAATTATTTTTCCACTAGCTTATACCAAGTGTAGTGATAACAAGCATTTTTTTATGCCTTTTTGACTCAATGAATTTGTAATATATATTTTGCACACCTTATATGTGCTACAGCACTATAATACATCATCTGTTGCTCCGCTATGTCATCTGAGTACAGCAATACCCCCGTATGTACCTTTACCATGTATATGACAACACAAAGCAAGTTTAACATCACTGTTTGTATCTATGTTTTTGCATATGTGTCAGTGTTTGCTTCTGTGTGTCTGTATCTGCATGTGTCAGTGCATCTCTATTTGCCCAATGCAGAAGTTGCAGGACACCAAATCTCTCCACAGATTTTTGACAATCTTTGAAGCGTTTGTGCCACACTTTATTTGCGCTGCATTTATTGCATCTTCCTCAAAAGCCTTTTGAATCATCTGAATAAATTAATGCAGATTCATTGCATTTGCATTGCATTTTGAATGCGATGGCCACACAGTACACATGCTCACTTAACTGCGTCTAGCGCCCTTACTCACTAGTACAGTAAAGTCGTCAATGCGAGAGAGAGAGAGAGAGAGAGAGAGAGAGAGAGAGTGTATATATATATATATATATATACACATACATACATACACACACACACACACACACACACACACACACACACACACACACACACACACACACACACACACACACTGAAAAATAAATAGTTCTGGTAATAGAATTTTGTAGCGCCCCATGACTGTCTTATGAACGTCACCTATGGATTTTATCTCATGCAGTAATTACCAAGCTTTTTAGGTTCAAGGCACCCTTAATATTTCAGTATTTTTCCAGAATTTCACACACATACAAGTGATTTTTTTATTTTTATATCTCCTGCCACCCTCCTGTCAGCTTACCTTATGTGCCAGGAAAGTGGCTTGGAGTACCGCTGCTGGTGGGAGTGAGAGGTCTGGAGCTCTTCATTCTCCTCTCCCCTCACGTTGCAGCTGCCTCCTCCTACGCTGCCTCCCTGCAGGATGCTGAGAGAAGTGACAGGCTGTCATTTCCTCCCAGTTGGCCGACATTACAGGGGTCCGGTAGCAGTTTTAAAGGACCGCGGCACCTGACTGGGCCCATGTTGAGCAGTAATGTTTCCCCGGTGCTATAATCATAGCACCGGGAAACATTCCGCAGCACCCATGTGTTGTACACACTTTGGGAACCGCTGCATTAATTCATTTAAACTGCTACAAACAAATCAAATTCCTTTTAATTCCATTTTACCTGTGAATTCTAATTTGCTGAATAAGACTCCACAGGTGAATCCCGGACTAATCAATTAATTCAGGCACAGGTTGCAAGGCATTTGAGTTATTTGTAGCAGCTGATATGCATTAACCCCTTCAGGACGGGTGACGGACGAGGTCCGTCACACAGGGGAGACCCTTAATGACGGGTGACGGACCTCGTCCGTCACGCGGTAAAATTAACCCCGGATCGCCGCTATCGCGGCGATCGCGGGGTTAATGGTGCTCCCGGTATGCCTCTGCATTGGAGGCATACCGGGAGCACCCGGTCAAGCTGCCCAGCACATGTGCTCGCTCTGACCACAAGTCGGAGCGAGCACATGTGCTCTGAATACTTACCTACCGGCTCCCTGCACTTCCGGGTTCTGTGTGAAGTGCAGGGAGCCGGATCAGTGCTGATCCTGCCCCCTGCTGGAAAAAAAAATAAAGTTAATTTAAAGTGTCCCCCCCCCCCTTACCCATTTTAATAAAAAATTAACCCCTTCCCTGCCAATTGATCACTGACTACAGTGATCAATTGGCAGGGATTACATTTTACTATGATCTGATTTTTTTTTTTAACCCCTGAGGGTTAATTCTTTTTTTTTTTTAACCCTCAGGGGTTAAATTAATTAAATTAATTAATTAAATTATTTTTAAATTATATATTTAGATAGCTGGGGTAGGTGGAAGTTAGTGGGGAATTGGGGGATTTGACGTTAGGCTAACTAGGGGTTAACGTTAAAAAAAAGTTTTAAAAGAAACTTTAAAAAGTTAAAAATTAAGCTTAAAAAAATGTTTTAATAACATTTAAGTAATAAAAACAAAAAAACACACTTTACCTAGTCCAAATAAAAATTAACCCCTTCCCTGCCAGTCGATCACTGCCTACAGCGATCAAATAGAGATCACAGTATTATACTGTGATCTAATTTTTTTTAACCCCTGAGGATTAACTTTTTTTTTTTTTTAACCCTCAGGGGTTCAATTTATTTAATTAATTAATTTAAATATTTTATAACTATATATTTTGCTAGCTGGGGTGGGTGGGAGTTATGGGAAAATGGGGAATTTACTGTTAGTGCTGCGTACTGCTAGTTAGGGGTTAACAGTAAAAAAAATAGCTTAGAAAAATGTTAAATCTGTAAAAAAGTTTTAAGAAAGTTTAGGAAAGTTTAAAAAAAATTTATAAGCAAAACAAAAGTTTAAAAACTAGTTTTTAAAAGTAAAAAAGTTATAAAAAGTAAAAAATACATTTTAAAAACGCTCATTACCACTACACCTGGAACAAACTAGAGAAAAAATTATCCCACGCCAAGGTTCAAAATATGCCTTTTGAATTACCCCAGGGTGTATTCTTTAATAAATAGTATGTGTTTGTGGGGAAGTTTCAATAACCAACCGTCTAAACTACTCCAAATTGGAACATGGACACAGCGTAAAACTTCAAAGTTAGAAAAAAACTGAATGGCTGCGTCTCAAATGCGCCCCTTCAACATCCACATATACCTGGCAAAGGTACATACGGGGGTATTGCTGTACTCAGCCGACATAGCTGAGCAACATATGAAGTATTATACAGTCATAGTACACATAAGGTTTGCAAAATATGCTGCGCAAACTCACTTTGTATGTCAAAAAGGCAGAAAAAATGCTTATTACCACTACACTTGGTACAAGCTAGCGGAAAAATGATCCCACACTAAGGTTCAAAATATGCCTTTTGAAATACCCTGGGATGTCTTCTTTAAGAAATGGTATGGCTTTATGGGGAATTTGGATTATATAGCCTGGTAAAATACTCTAAAATGGGACATAGTCACAGCATAAAAATTCAAAGTTTGAAAAAAACTGGAATGGCTGTGTCCCAAATGTGCCCCTCCGATGTCCACACATACTTGGCAAAGGTACATACGGGGGTATTGCTGTACTCAGCCGACATAGCTGAGCAACATATGAAGTATTATACAGTCGTAGCACACATAAGGTTTGCAAAATATACTGTGCAAACTCACTTTGTATGTCAAAAAGGCAGAAAAAATGCTTATTACCACTACACTTGGTATAAGCTAGC